AAAACCAGATCAATCACAATAGAAAACAAATCTTATTTAGTCAAGCACTTTTGTTGGTTTCTGACTATGAATTATTTGTAACTTTTATTTACAACAATATACAATTTACAAAGAAAATTAAAACTTATAAGATGAAGAACAATGTATGTATCACTATTTTTCTGTGATATTTCTTTTCATTTGAATACATTCTATTATAACATATATATCATCATAATGAAAAGGAGTATAGAAAAATACATATGAATTACAGTTTGTCATTCAGAGGCATAAATATTTCTGATTCTTTGCAAAACCTACTTTTAATGACATTATATGACTCACCATGGTCGATGATGATATACAATTCTGTAAAGTAATAAAAGGCCTTTTTGCCGTCATATATCCTGCATAATTTTTAATAATAAATATAGCATAAAATGGATTACATGGTGAACATATTTGCAGTGAATGAAAATCTCAGAAAATAGCTGTTATGTCTGTTATAGGACACCAGTTCATCGACTTGTATGAAATTAAATACCAATAAACTAGCCCTACAGAATTAAACAAGTTTTTTTTTCTGTACCACATTACAGTCTAAGTTCCCATTACAAATAAAATTAGTTTGATACACCTTATGAGCAATCTATGCTGAAATGTGACACCTACCAAGGTTTTCTTTATATTTTACTAATCATATAAGGAAATCTTGACTTGTATGGCTACACATTTTAGTTTTGTTTACAGTATTCCAACACTCTAAGTTATTGGAGATGGACATAAATTCATACATCTGTCATCTACTTTCCACATCAGCTTTTTCTTCTAATCAAATACCATTTTTTCATCAATGTCTCAGCTATCAGCACCAATGGGTGAATTATTTGATGTATAAATGTAATCATATTGCAATTCTTCTAATAGAATCTTTACTGTGCGATCAAGGTCTCTAGTCCAAATGTACCACTGGCTTTTCCAAGAAAAAAAAACACCTCATCATAGCAGACACTATTTACAATATTTCTTATCATTAATGAAGCACAATTTAATTCGAAGTAATTTATTTCATATCTGGTTGATTTCAAGTTATTTGACTAAATTGTGCATTTTTAATGGTTAAGTTACGAGTGATCCATTTGTATACATCAGTATAGAATTAGGTGAATCTCAGCCCGAGGGGAAAGGCAAATAAGTTAGCAAACATGTGGCTTAGCAAGTGTTTGCAACTTAAACATCTTTTCTAAGGGTTGTGATCACCTCATCTCATCAACAAGTGGGTAAATGATAATTTTTCTCTTACGCTGCTGGCTTTATTAGGTACACGTGACATGACATCAGTGAGTTGTTACTGTGACATCATATCATTGACCTGACAATCTGAGGATGAGAGAAAAGGTTCTCTCACACTGGTTAATAAGTGTGGATTTACCTGTCCAAGGTAACAGAAAAGGTAATCTCACACTGGTTAATAAGTGTGGATTTACCTGTCCAAGGTAACAGAAAAGGTAATCTCACACTGGTTAATAAGTGTGGATTTACCTGTCCAGGCTAAGACACACTGGTTAAAAAGTGTGGTATAACCTGTCCAAGGTAAGAGAAAAGGTCATCCCACGCTGGTTAAAAAGTGTGGATTTACCTGTCCAAGCTAAGACACACTGGTTAATAAGTGTGGATTTACCTGTCCAAGGTAAGAGAAAAGGTCATCTCACACTGGTTAAAAAGCATGGATTTACCTGTCCAAGCTAAGACACACTGGTTAATAAGCATGGATTTACCTGTCCAGGCTAAGACACACTGGTTAAAAAGTGTGGATTTAACCTGTCCAAGGTAAGAGAAAAGGTCATCTCACACTGGTTAAAAAGTGTGGATTTATATGTCCAGGGTAAGAGAAAAGGTAATCTCACACTGGTTAAAAAGTGTGGATTTACCTGTCCAAGGTAACAGAAAAGGTAATCTCACACTGGTTAAAAAGTGTGGATTTACCTGTCCAGGCTAAGACACACTGGTTAAAAAGTGTGGTATAACCTGTCCAAGGTAAGAGAAAAGGTCATCCCACGCTGGTTAAAAAGTGTGGATTTACCTGTCCAAGCTAAGACACACTGGTTAATAAGTGTGGATTTACCTGTCCAAGGTAAGAGAAAAGGTCATCTCACACTGGTTAAAAAGCATGGATTTACCTGTCCAAGCTAAGACACACTGGTTAATAAGCATGGATTTACCTGTCCAGGCTAAGACACACTGGTTAAAAAGTGTGGATTTAACCTGTCCAAGGTAAGAGAAAAGGTCATCTCACACTGGTTAAAAAGTGTGGATTTACCTGTCCAGGGTAAGACACACTGGTTAATAAGTGTGGATTTACCAGTCCAAGGTAAGAGAAAAGGTAATCTCACACTGGTTAATAAATGTGGATTTACCTGTCCAGGCTAAGACACACTGGTTAAAAAGTGTGGATTTAACCTGTCCAAGGTAAGAGAAAAGGTCATCTTACACTGGTTAATAAGTGTGGATTTACCTGTCCAGGCTAAGACACACTGGTTAAAAAGTGTGGATTTACCTGTCCAGGGTAAGACACACTGGTTAATAAGTGTGGATTTACCTGTCCAAGGTAAGAGAAGAGGTAATCTCACACTGGTTAAAAAGCATGGATTTACCTGTCCAGGGTAAGACACACTGGTTAATAAGTGTGGATTTACCTGTCCAAGGTAACAGAAAAGGTAATCTCACACTGGTTAAAAAGTGTGGATTTACCTGTCCAGGGTAAGACACACTGGTTAATAAGTGTGGATTTACCTGTCCAAGGTAAGAGAAAAGGTAATCTCACACTGGTTAAAAAGTGTGGATTTACCTGTCCAGGCTAAGACACACTGGTTAAAAAGTGTGGATTTACCTGTCCAGGGTAAGACACACTGGTTAATAAGTGTGGATTTACCTGTCCAAGGTAAGAGAAGAGGTAATCTCACACTGGTTAAAAAGCATGGATTTACCTGTCCAGGGTAAGACACACTGGTTAATAAGTGTGGATTTACCTGTCCAAGGTAACAGAAAAGGTAATCTCACACTGGTTAAAAAGTGTGGATTTACCTGTCCAGGGTAAGACACACTGGTTAATAAGTGTGGATTTACCTGTCCAAGGTAAGAGAAAAGGTAATCTCACACTGGTTAAAAAGTGTGGATTTACCTGTCCAGGGTAAGACACACTGGTTAATAAGTGTGGATTTACCTGTCCAAGGTAAGAGAAAAGGTAATCTCACACTGGTTAAAAAGCATGGATTTACCTGTCCAGGGTAAGACACACTGGTTAAAAAGTGTGGATTTAACCTGTCCAAGGTAAGAGAAAAGGTCATCTCACACTGGTTAAAAAGTGTGGATTTATATGTCCAGGGTAAGAGAAAAGGTCATCTCACACTGGTTAAAAAGCATGGATTTACCTGTCCAGGGAAGAGAAAAGGTAAGTGTTAAAATTGAAACCCAAACAATTCACTGAAAGTAAATATATTCATTAAATTAACATAGTTTCATATTATTAATCTTTATCCACCAAGCCTTCTTGTCATCCCAGTGCAGACCCACCCACTTCAGTTTTTGCTGATGTCAACAATTGCAGATATTTTTGACAAAGAAATGACCTTTGTTTTGACCTTGTCACATGATTTTAGTGGAGGACATCTATAAAAAGAAGAGATGACATAAATAATGAAGGGAAAATATATTCTTAGAAAATGCTACACTTCAAGTTGAATGGATCACCTCTCACAACAGCTGTACACTAACATGCCTGTCTACTCTCTGTTAAATATACAATGTGATGTTATCAAGCTTTGAAGTAAATGAGTGCAACTGTCTATTGAAATTGTTGAAAATGTCATTTAAGTGTTGTATCATGCATTACTCATCTATTAAACACCACATTATAGGATTTCATAGAAGCCACCATGCCCTTACATGGATATGTATAACTGAATTAATAGAATGAAATTGTCTCACAATTTTGTTTCTTTTTATATAATGTAAATTGACAAATGAGTCACTTTGCACTTTTGGGTCAAACTTCAAGGTTTTCTTAATGTTGATTCAATTTAAGTTATTAAAAGCGTCACTTAAAATTCACAAAAGTAGTCACAGTTTTAAAATTTTACAGATCTTTTATGATTACAAAAAAAAAAAATTACTGAAATCTCTTCATATGTCCATTTCCTTGTAAAATGCCCCGAACTATGAAAACCATTGGAATTTCTTTATCTTAAAATTAACATATCGAGGTGCATAACACTTTTATACTACCTACAGATTTAATCAGCTGAGAATGATAAAGTACTTTACACTAATGGTTACATAACACCACCCCTTCGAGCTACTATCCTAGACACAGGCCTCCTGATAATATACCAGACAATCTGGGAGGTAATGGACTGACGAAAAAACCCAGTGTTCCTCAGGGGAAAAGTGACAAGAGACACACCATTAACTTGTAAACAATAATTAGCAGGCTTGAGGTGTCAACTCAGGATGCAAAAGTTCTAAAGTGCTGACCTACTCCAAAAGAAACCCTCCAGTTATATACAGATATTTCAATGCAAGATCGACTTTAACAGTCTCTATACAATACTAGTTACAAACCTGAAATAGTTATATAATCATACCTTAGAGAGAAAAAGTACTGGTTGTTAGGGAAATCTTCAACACTAAATGAAATTCTGGACAAATACTAGTATATACATGGATACATATTAATTACAAACGGTTGGTACATCAACTTATTCATATATTGGAATCTGTGAACTAATTTTAACTGAAATCATCTGTATTGTCACATCCTGTAGCTTGTTGGTGTATCTCCATGGTACCAGGAAACATACATGTTTAAAGGCTGATGGTATTAATTGGTATACCACCATTTCTTCCTGATGTTGACCTTTTCAGAGCTATTTTCTAGTCTATCTTTTAGTTAATACTGTTGGCTGTTGATTAGTTCAACCTTTCACCTGAAGTGTTGCAGACATCAATGAACAGCTGATTACCTGGGTCTACTGGCGCCAGGTGAGAAAGTGGATGTTGCCAAGCTGATCACCACAGACAAGACGAACCACAGATTTCCCAGCTGAAGCTGATTGGCTGATAATGGCGATACTCTCCACTGGAGCAGGACAGAAGAACAATCCCACCTGAAACAACATTTTTTCAATGATTATAAATAGCTCTAATCTATTCACATCATCTGACGTAAGCATAAAGATTCATCATTAAACTTCAAAGGTCAACAGAGAATGTCATAGTGTTAAAATAAGAGAAATACACACTGTCAAGTATCACAAGGTATCATAAACTGATGTAAATTAACTTTGTCACTGGTCAAACAAAGGCCAACAATACAAATTGTTAAAATCAAGTCAAAGTTAGACATAGATATATGTCAATTATCACAAAGCAAGGATGCTTGACCAGGGTCAAGAGTCATGAAAATAGAACTAAAACTTGTAGTATTACAGGTCAAATATCACAAAACACACAGGTCAAAGGTCATAGAGAAGACATACATTATTAAAGGTGAAATATCCTTAATGAGAATGTTTGACCTAGTGTCAAAACATAAGTACGGTATCAAGACAAATGTCAGAAAACAAGAATGCTAATGCTTATCCAATATCAGAGGTAACATGTGAAAATTGATGTAGACAATCATGTCAAAGGTCATGTGACACAAACAGGAAGCTCCAGGTTCATACAAGACGAGGTTTCTTTCAACTAAGTATGTTTCAGACCAAATTGGTACAGAATCAAGGCATTCCCACAAAAGAAGGATTTTAGAAATTTTCCTCTATTGCCAATATTTAGCTTTGCCCAAGAGGGCCAAGACTCACTATTCATACAAAATTGATTTCCTTTCACCCAAGTATGCTTCAAACCAAATCAGAATAGTATCCTGATATTTCTACAGAAGAAAAAAGATTTTGAAAAATTTGCTCTATTTCCCCTATTGGGCCCTGCCCCTCTCTTCCGAGGGGAGACTAAAGAGACCTACACTTCACACAAAATTGAATTACCTTCACAAATAATGCTTCAGACCAAATCAAGTAGGAAGAGTAGGATTTTAAAGAATTTGGTCTTTTTCCTCTACTAGGCCCCACCTCTCCCTCCCCAAAGGACTGAAACCCACAGTTTATACAAAATGATTCTCCTTCACCAAAGCACGATTGAGACCGAATTCAGCAGTATCCATTCATTCATACAAGTGGATTTAGTTTTTAAATAACTTGCAAAATTTCCCCTTCAGGGTCCTGTCCTCAGGCCTTTGGGGCTGAGAACCAAAATTTTGTTTATTTCCCTGAAAGGGATGCTTCTGACCAAATTTGGCCAAAGTTATTTCAGTTGTTCATGACTAGTAGTGATTTTAGGTAAAAAAGTAAACGGGCGTCGAACGGACTTCGGATAATGAACCATGGTGTCTTTCCAACCAGGTGAGCTAAAAGGATAGTGAATAAGTACCAAAGGTAAAAGTACCACTACATGTCAATAAATCATTCCAAGTTTTCATGGAAACTGGTTGAATGGAGAAAAAGAACCTCATGGCAAGATTAAAACATAACAAATAAGGGCAATGACTCATCCAACAGAAGACACAAAAAAGGATGATTTAATGTTTTCTTTAAATCAGTGGGAAACTGTGACAGGAAATCACAAGAAAAAGTTGAATTGCCAAGATAAAGGGCTCTAATTGAAAAAAAAAAACATTACACAAATTACTCAGAAATCTATTTACTGGTAAAGCACTTCATAATTCGATTAATATAGAAAGTTGATCAGATAAGCAAAAAATAATTATACTGAAAGCTCAGCAGTACTGCTACTATTGCGACTTGACCTTTAACCTAGATCTTTGACTTGGGAGACCTAAAAGTGCTATGTATGATGCATGATATAAACAATAGACAAATGTGCAAATCAGTTCATTACTGGATTTCAAGGTCATTATAATTTACAATCTACACAAGCATGACTTGACCTTTGACCCTTTGCCAAGACCTTGGAATACAAACATGAAGATATTTAAAAACATATTGTTTAGCTGTGAATAGTATGACATTCGATCATATTTGTTTGAATAAACTGACAATCCAAAATCCTATTGACACCAAAATCTGACTGGTAGAGGAGGCTAGAGATGGTGTTACAATATTACTCCAATGTTTTGACATCTGATAGTATTTGTTTGAACTAATGGACAATATAAAATCCTATGTCACCAAAGTAAAATTAATGGAAAGGTCGACTAACGGTACACCTAAACACTATTTCGTACTTATTAATACATTTGAGCCAAAGGTTTTTCACCTGACAATGGAATACACAATACTTTGTATATATTCACTCTTTCAGCCATCTTAACTTGTACATGTCAAAGTCTGCCATATTTATTTTTAGTGAAGACTATCATATTAAGATTTACTTTTATTACATGATTTTGACACAGGTACACAAATTTGATTCATTGGGACTGTAAGAGTTGCAATGAAAAATCAAACATGATAAATATCATTTAAATTGTCCTGTGTTTTATATTCATAAAACGAAAAACACTAAATGTAAAGGTATAGCAGCACACTTAAATTCTGCACTGCATACTTCAGCTGTGACATATGTCTTATAAAGAAATCACACACAGGAAATTTCAGTAGGATTCATCCAGCGCTTTCTGACAATGAGTGCTAACACTAATTGTTAAAGGATGAGTCCTGAACCATGGAGCAAAATGGAATGGAGAAGCTTACCAACTGATAATTATTAACAAAAGATGGAATCTACCTGATCCAAGGACATAAAAGGTTGTCATAATTTGTTCATGTACTAAATTGTCAAAATTTCTCCATGGAATAAAGTGGTCATAATTTGTCCTTGTACTAAAGTGGTCATAACTTGTCTTCATACAGAAAGTGGTCATGATTTGTCCTTGTACTAAAGTGGTCATGATTTGTCCTTGTACTAAAGTAGTCATAACATGTCTTCATACAGAAAGTGGTCATAATTTGTCCTTGTACTAAAGTAGTCATAACTTGTCTTCATACAGAAAGTAAAGTAGTCATAACTTGTCTTCATACAGAAAGTGGTCATAATTTGTCCTTGTACTAAAGTGGTCATGATTTGTCCTTGTACTAAAGTAGTCATAACATGTCTTCATACAGAAAGTGGTCATAATTTGTCCTTGTACTAAAGTAGTCATAACATGTCTTCATACAGAAAGTGGTCATAATTTGTCCTTGTACTAAAGTGGTCATACAGAAAGTGGTCATTTGTCCTTGTACTAAAGTGTTTGTCCTTGTACTAAAGTAGTCATAAGTCATAACATGATTTGTCCTTGTTCATACAGAAAGTGGTCATAATTTGTCCTTGTACTAAAGTAGTCATAACTTGTCTTCATACAGAAAGTGGTCATGATTTGTCCTTGTACTAAAGTGGTCATGATTTGTCCTTGTACTAAAGTGGTCATGATTTGTCCTTGTACTAAAGTAGTCATAACTTGTCTTCATACAGAAAGTGGTCATAATGTGTCCTTGTACTAAAGTAGTCATAACATGTCTTCATACAGAAAGTGGTCATGATTTGTCCTTGTACTAAAGTAGTCATAACTTGTCTTCATACAGAAAGTGGTCATAATTTGTCCTTGTACTAAAGTAGTCATAACTTGTCTTCATACAGAAAGTGGTCATGATTTGTCCTTGTACTAATGTGGTCATGATTTGTCCTTGTACTAAAGTAGTCATAACATGTCTTCATACAGAAAGTGGTCATGATTTGTCCTTGTACTAAAGTGGTCATGATTTGTCCTTGTACTAAAGTAGTCATAACTTGTCTTCATACAGAAAGTGGTCATAATTTGTCCTTGTACTAAAGTAGTCATAACTTGTCTTCATACAGAAAGTGGTCATAATTTGTCCTTGTACTAAAGTAGTCATAACTTGTCTTCATACAGAAAGTGGTCATAATGGTCAATGTGTCCTTGTACTAAAGTAGTCATAACATGTCTTCATACAGAAAGTGGTCATAATTTGTCCTTGTACTAAAGTAGTCATAACATGTCTTCATACAGAAAGTGGTCATAATTTGTCCTTGTACTAAAGTAGTCATAACTTGTCTTCATACAGAAAGTGGTCATAATTTGTCCTTGTACTAAAGTGGTCACTAAAGTGGTCATGATTTGTCCTTGTACTAAAGTGGTCATGATTTGTCCTTGTACTAAAGTAGTCATAACTTGTCTTCATACAGAAAGTGGTCATAATTTGTCCTTGTACTAAAGTAGTCATAACATGTCTTCATACAGAAAGTGGTCATAATGTGTCCTTGTACTAAAGTAGTCATAACTTGTCTTCATACAGAAAGTGGTCATGATTTGTCCTTGTACTAAAGTAGTCATAACATGTCTTCATACAGAAAGTGGTCATGATTTGTCCTTGTACTAAAGTAGTCATAACTTGTCTTCATACAGAAAGTGGTCATGATTTGTCCTTGTACTAAAGTAGTCATAACTTGTCTTCATACAGAAAGTGGTCATAATTTATCCTTGTACTAAAGTAGTCATAACTTGTCTTCATACAGAAAATGGTCATAATGTGTCCTTGTACTAAAGTAGTCATAACATGTCCTCATACAGAAAGTGGTCATAATGTGTCCTTGTACTAAAGTAGTCATAACATGTCCTCATACAGAAAGTGGTCATAATGTGTCCTTGTACTAAAGTAGTCATAACTTGTCTTCATACAGAAAGTGGTCATAATTTGTCCTTGTACTAAAGTATCCATAAGTTGTACTCATAACAAAATGGTCAAAATTTGTCTATATACAATCTGGTCAAAAATTGTCTATATACAATCTGGTCAAAAATTGTCCTCGTACCAAAGCGGTCATAATTTGTCCTTGTACCAAAGCGGTCAAAATATTTTCTTGTACCAAAGATAGTTTAAATTTGTCATAATATCAAATGCAGACAAAAAATTGTCCTCATACAAATAGTCAAAATTTGCCCTCTTACCAAAATTGTCCTCATACAAATAGTCAAAATTTGCCCTCTTACCAACGGTTGTCAAAATTTTTCCTCATAAAAATAGTCAAATATGTCCTCATGCAAATAGTCAAAATTATCTTCATACCAAATGAAGACAAAATTTGTCTTTATACAAAATGTATTCAAAATTTGTCCCTGTATTTTTCTATGTAAAAGTAAAACTGACCTGTCTAAGTTTGTCATCTCTTCTCCAGACCTTGACAGTACAGTCATGTGCTCCAGTGAATACAAAGTGATCAGAAGTTGTGACACTGGTGACAGGAGCACTGTGGATCTGAAAAATTAATTTCAAATTTATTGAAGTAAGAAAAAAAATTTGGATTGCACAGCTGAGAATTTAAGATAATGGTAGATAAAAGACTAGTATTAATTTGTCGTTGAGACCTTAAATTCTACTAAACTTAGGTCTTTTATTATAATTTATTTGTGTATGTTGCACCAGGAATTCATTAAGGCTCTCCTACTCTCCTTATTAAGTCATTCAATGATGATCCTGTAAATGAAAGATGTGACAGATGTGAAATACCTTTGTTTCAGTGTGATTCTCCAATAACCTGCTGATACTGCTAATATGACCAGTCGAGGTAACAGCATAACTATCCCTTGGGCAGGCTGTTAGATCCAGGATTCTAACAGGAACCTGTCTGTGTTGGGGTATGTCGGAGCTTGGAGGGATGTATAGACAGTCTACAAAACTCAACTTCTGACCCAACTGTAACACAGACAAGTTTTACATGTACTACAAAACATCCAAGTTGAATAACATTTTCAGTAAATTTAGCAGGACTATGTAAAACATATATATTATGTATACATATTAATCCTATAAAAACATCACATTACTCAAATGACCATACACAAAAACGGGTTAAGAGCTCAAGGATTAACTTTGAGTATTTCTAATGTTACGGAACCATATGATACACTGCATATTAACAAATACATTACATATTAACAACAATAAGCATGTGTTGTATGTCTACCTTGTTCACTGTTCCCTTACAGACATAACCATTTGCTGTGGCAACATGGAAGGTTGGTGTGGCTTTCCCGATCATGAACTTTATCCCTAGTATCCAATCTGTTTTACCAAAGTCAAAACTGTAACATAAAAAAAAATACATTAAGTATCCATGTTATTCTGTGAGAAGGTTGGGTACTTATCTAAGATCAACAATGTTAGGTTTATTGAAATTGAAAACTGCAATCTCTAGAGGCTAAGAGATGCTAGTAATGAAAAGTAAATCAAATCCAAAATACAACAAATGGAAACAACCAGTCACACAAGATCTATTATAATTAAGCCCTGGAGAAGATCTTTAATGGAAACAACCAGTCACACAAGATCTATTATAATTAAGCCCTGGAGAAGATCTTTAATGGAAACAACCAGTCACACAAGATCTATTATAATTAAGCCCTGGAGAAGATCTTTAATGGAAACAACCAGTCACACAAGATCTATTATAATTAAGCCCTGGAGAAGATCTTTAATGGAAACAACCAGTCACACAAGATCTATTATAATTAAGCCCTGGAGAAGATCTTTAATGGAAACAACCAGTCACACAAGATCTATTATAATTAAGCCCTGGAGAAGATCTTTAATGGAAACAACCAATCATCCTAGATCTATTATCATTAAGGTCTGAAGAAGAACTTGAAGAGGAAACAGGTAACAAAACAGGATGAAATACGATCTGATATGGAAGGCTGGTGAACAATCAATAATTGAATCTATATATAACAGAAATGTATACAGTAATACCCTAATTGTCTTCTTTATCATAGGATTTCTCACTACGTTGGTGTTTACAGAAATCCTGACTTACCTGTTGGAGAGACCAGCCTGCTGTTCAGTGTTCCATACGATGAGCTTCCCACACCATTCTCCAGATACGAAAATATGACCAGTTTTAGACTCTATCTCTGGGGAGGTGGCTAAGGCAGTTACTGGTGACATCGTACTGAATACTTTCTTTTTCTGGCACACTGGTACACTGTGGAAAAATAAACATCTTAATTTCTGAAACAGTGCAAATTTGAGAAAAGGAGTGGCAAGAACTAATCTTCCTAAATCTTTGCAACAATTTTAATTAAATGTTTTGTCCCATTCTAAATCTTTGTCACAATCTTTAATTAAATTTTTCATCTCATTCAAAGCTTTGTGACTATAGCTAGTATACTCAACACTGGCTAGATTCTCACCTTTTCCCAAACTGGATCTTTTTGTAAATGTTCCACAAGATAATCTGGCCATCATCTCCTCCAGTTACAAAAACATTGACTGCCAGGAAACAGGCTGCATTGATAGATTTCTTGTGGGCCTAAAAAGGCAATGATTCTAATTAGACTTCATTAATAAATATCAAAATTTGTTGAAATTAAACAAATCAGAGTTACCTGTGAGTCTAACAGGACACTAGTGCCAAAGAGACACATTTCGCACTAGGATTTGTTTAATCTTGTTTTTATTACAACTTTTTCAAGTATGGACAACTCCTAATGTTAAACACATTGCTATAGCCTAAATTCAAACAGACATTATATAACAAACTCATGTGAAACATCTTACCTGTATGGATGCGACACAATTTGGTGTGCTGACGTCACTGGATTTATGCCAAATCTTCAAAATTCCATCTCTGCAAATCAAATATCTCATATTAAAAATCACATTTTTCATAACTTGTCTATAAGATGCAGTTTGATAATCTCTGCAAAACAAAATATATCACATGTATTTATTATTCTACATCAAAGAAATTCCTTTGCAGAAATAGCGATGATAATCTTTACCTGCCACATCTAAAATGGTCACCTGGAAGCCATTCTCTTTCTTCTGATCAGTCCCAAAATCAAACAGGCACATGTAGAGAGCAATGAAAACATATTTATAAAATGTGAGAGGGATTCACTCAGTACTTCTTAAGAAATTGGGATAACAATCTTTACTAGGTGAATTCCAAGATGGCCACCTGTCAGCCATTTTATTTTTCTGATCAATCCAAAAATTAAATGGGCACAACTAGGGACAAAGGGGAACCTACATAAAAAATTGGAGAGAGAGATCCATCTAGCACTTCTTAAGAAATAACAATAACAAACTGTCTAAGTAAAAATCCAAAATAGTCACCTGTTGGCCATTTTGTTTTTCTGATCAGCCCTAAAATCAAATGGGCAGAACTAGGGACCAAAGAGAACCTTGTGTGACAAAAGTTAACCCTTTTACAGTAAATGTGTTATCTCTAGTCATCATCACCTATCCAGCCCTTTGTCATAAAAAAAGTTGAAAATAAGATAAGTGATTCCATTGCATACTGACCTACTGCCAGTAAGCAGAATGGTTTTGTCTTGTGACATCTCAACAACAGTCACAGGTGCATTATGTACATCACTGGCAGATTCTGTAGACAACTGGGGCTCCCAAAGACGAATGGCTTTGTCTAGGGACGCTGTACACAAGTGCCCATCTTTATTGGCGGCAACGCTGACAACACGATCAGAGTGACCGGTCAGATTAGCCATCTCATTAGCCTAATGAATAGAAAATCAACCTATGAAAATCGAGATCACATGGTACATTAGAAATAGATTTGTTCAGAATGGACAGGAAAAAGGGCCAACATACACACACATCAAGGTTTAAAAGGATGATTCTTAAAATGGAACAATCAAAATGTCTGCTTTACAGTATCAAGCATTAAAGATATCTACCCAATAGATTCTATAGACTATATTTCATAAATAAATATGTTTAGAATATCTATTGCTAGTGTAATATACCTTGGCATGTTTTTCATTGGTTGTATCAGGCAAAAATTGATTGTCAAATCAAAGTACGGACAATGACATTAAATCATGAATTGAAAATGATACAAGATGGCTTCAAATGTTATGCCCAAATTATTTGTTAAAAAGTATCTTAAGATTGTTTTCATTTCACATGAGATATTATGAAACTCATCTTGAACTTGTAATTTATTCTCACTAGGGCTAGCAAAAATGAAAACAAAACTCGTTTCTATCAACAAGAAATCTTTTACATTACCACACATCATGTAATAACATGCATTGGGCTCTAATTGAGTAAAGATTTCCATTGTTTCAATTGTGATGTCATTACTTCATGACATCATTTGTATGATGTCACTAAAGAAAGTGATAAGAAGTTAAAATATCATTGAATTAGCTTACATATATATATCAGCTTATATATTATTAATAACACACAAGATCTGGGAAGTAAAGTTTCTGTTCAGGTAAAATCTGTAAGGGTTGAGAGATTTGATTATTTAAACTTACCTGTAAAGGTTTCCACAACACAGCAGTGCCATCGTCACCACAAGTGGCTACGATAACCTCCTCTAGTTTCACAGCGGGTTTGTATGCTTTCTTTGCCTTTGCCTCAGATTCCTCTGCTGTTACTGCAGCACTCCAATCCATGCCATCAGAATCTAAACGACAGGAGTAATAACTCAAACAATGTAATTCAAATGTATTGATATTGAAACTAAAGTCTTTCTTTTCTATCAAATTATTAAGTAAATTTCACTTTTTCTTATTTTAATTTACCAATTAAAGAATAACTTCTTAAAGTCTCTCTAATCAATTAAAACTTTAACCACAGAAATCTGCTTAAAGGAGATATCTGAAATATCCAGGAACAGCCTACCTGAAATATTAATTTTGTCATCCTCAGCCACTCTGACGTAAAGGTCACAAGCATGCACTGCCCTCTGATGGGAATGTAGGGTGGTAATTTCTGTGCCTTTGTGTGACCACACTTTCACTGATCCATCATTACAGCTTGAGACAACACAGCCATACTGAAACCAAGGAAACAGGAGAACTTGATTATCAATCACCAATGAGGTAAGAAGAAGCACTAGATATCTGTTTGAATCTGTCAGTCAGTAGTTACTGTAGGATAACTGAATACCTCACAGAGGTCAGTAATTATTTCAAGGCTCTGTTATGAATCAAACTTGTGACCTTTGGCTGACTAGTTTTATGCAAAACCAATCAAGCAACAGAGAAGTTCTGTGTAGCTAAGTGGTATATTACTCCCCCTCCAAGAAAGAACTTCCAGTTTCCAGGTGTTACAGGTATGTCTGTGTGATAATGCTAAGCATTATTACTAAGTCTTTATATAAGCACCCATGTAGCAAGAAAAGCTTGTCTTTATCAATGCCTCTGCTTGAATTTAAACCTGGGATTCCTGGCGAACTAGTCTATGCTCAACCTATCAAACTAAAGAGAATTTCTCTCTAGTCGTGTAGTATAATTACAGCTAGTGTTTAACAAGGATACATTACAATATTCAAAAGATATCTTTTAGTTTTTACCTTTAAGAAAGTTTCGTTACAGGTAAATGAGTATTACTAGTGGTGGAATTAATGTATTACAGATTCAAGATCATAACTTATGTAGTTGTAAAGTGACTAAAGTTGTATCTCAAACAGGTGAAGTACAGATGTATCACACACAGGTGAGTACAACTATATCACACACAGGTGAGTACAGCTATATCACACACAGGTGAGTACAGCTATATCACACACAGGTGAGTACAGCTATATCACACATAGGTGAGTACAGCTATATCACACATAGGTGAGTACAGCTATATCACACACAGGTGAGTACAACTATATCACACACAGGTGAGTACAGCTATATCACACATAGGTGAGTACAGCTATATCACACATAGGTGAGTTCAGCTATATAACACATAGGTGAAATACAGATGTATCTCACACAGGTGAAGTACAGATGTATCTCACACAGGTGAAGTACAGATGTATCGCACACAGTTGAGTACAGATGTATGACACACAGGTGAAGTACAGATATATCACACATAGGTGAAATACAGATGTATCTCACACAGGTGAGTACAGCTATATCACACACAGGAGAGTACAGCTATATCACACATAGGTGAAATACAGATGTATCTCACACAGGTGATGTACAGATGTATCTCACACAGGTAAAGTACAGATGTATCACACACAGGTGAAGTACAGATATATCACACACAGGTGAAGTACAGATGTATCACACACAGGTGAAGTACAAATGAATCACACACAGGTGAAGTACAGATGTATCACACATAGGTGAAATAGAGATGTATCTCACACAGGTGAGTAAAGCTATATCACACACAGGTGAGTACAGCTATATCACACACAGGTGAAATACAGATGTATCACACATAGGTGAGTACAGATGTATTACACACAGGTGAAATACAGATGTATCACACATAGGTGAGTACAGATGTATTACACACAGGTGAAGTACAGATGTATCACACACAGGTGAGTAAAGCTATATCACACACAGGTGAGTAAAGCTATATTACACACAGGTGAAGTACAGCAATACTGTACACAGAAAAGAGGACAATGGTTAAGGATATCATATTTTCCATAACTTGTTTGAATTTCATCCAGCCCTATTTTACACATCAGTTCTCCGATAGTTTCCGGTTATGAAAACACATTTTCCAACACAATGCACACATCTCACCTTGTACGCTACTGAAGATATAGAAGACATGTGACCGGTCATCTTCTGTTTCTCAGCACCAGTCTTAGCATCCCATACTTTCAGAGTGAAATCGTTGGAGGCAGTCACCTGAAGCCAAACACACAGTATAAATACAATCTAGAGACCACTGATAACAACAGGTTAGGATATAAAATTAATTGTAATTGTACTTTCTATTATCAAAACAATTAATACAAAGTATTATTACGTAATTCTGAACATTGTTTATTTATGTCTGACTCACAACCTACCCTAAACATCTTCTCTTTTCATTAATCAACTTTAAGAAATAGAATCACATTGGATTCACTAACTATTAATTAAAATTATTGGACTTTTCTTAAGAGTTCTCTGGAAACAATGAAATTGAAACTATTTCTAATGTTTCCTTCTATATAGGTACATATATTCTGGTACAATTCTTTAACTTATAAATTACTAAGATTAGTTTTTGTACATACCAGGAAATCTCCAAACCAACTACAGCCAGTGACCCAGTCATTGTGACAGGCATGGAAAACTTGTAGTGGGGCTGTGCTAGAGTCCAACACATTCATCCTCAGCTCCCAAATCATCACCGACTGAGAATAAAAAGAGATTTACCTTACTTATCAAATTATAAACTTTGTTTATTCTATCACAATAACAAAATTATTTATATATAATATATATTTTGGAGTGCATGACCATCAACATTTATTGTAGCTCAACTTTACACCATGTACATAATTATGTGTTTATAATCTGTTAAGTCTCGCATAAGTTCTTTGAAGTCATTATTTAAGTGGTGCTTAAGATTTGTGTATGAAAAGGAAAAAGAAAAAAAAAAACAATACAAATATTTCCTTGGCACTTGATTTACCAGATAAGAAGTTCAGATGAAATCCAGTCCATGACAAATTTTTGGTTTATTTTTTGTAAAAACATGAACTCATAGTTGAAAAGTACAGTTCAGTTAAACAGAAGTATGTATGAAATGGAGCAGACTTTGATAGACATTATGCATTCTGATATAGACATTATGCATTCTGATATAGACATTATGCATTCTGATATAGACATTATGCATTCAGATATAGACATTATGCATTCTGATATAGACATTATGCATTCAGATATAGACATTATGCATTCTGATATAGACATTATGCATTCTGATATAGACATTATGCATTCTGATATAGACATTATGCATTCTGATATAGACATTATGCATCCTGATATAGACATTATGCATTCAGATATAGACATTATGCATTCTGATATATAGACATTATGCATTCTGATATAGACATTATGCATTCAGATATAGACATTATGCATTCAGATATAGACATTATGCATTCTGATATATAGACATTATGCATTCTGATATAGACATTATGCATTCAGATATAGACATTATGCATTCTGATATAGACATTATGCATTCTGATATAGACATTATGCATTCTGATATAGACATTATGCATTCTGATATAAACATTATGCATTCTGATATAGACATTATGCATTCTGATATAGACATTATGCATTCTGATATAGACATTATGCATTCTGATACAGACATTAACCAGAGTCTCATTATGAGGTTACTTTTCCAAGATGGTTTCAATGTAATAATATGACTTTTTTTTGCATGGTTCTCATTGTCAACAAAACAATTTGTTTTTTTGCTGCCTGAATCCAGATCTTCACAACAACAATAACAGTACTAAAGTGATCCAATGAAAATTTTAACATTTTACAGTCTAAATATTCAAATATTTTATAGAATATTTTTTACTGTCTCACCATGTCACGACTGGCTGTGGCAAGTTGTTTCTCATTAGGGCTGAACACACAGCTAGTCACTGGTCCAGTATGGCTGCTCAGGCAAGTTACAGACTTCAGCTCTCGAGGGCTGTCAATTAACAAATATTTCACTTTTGCACAACATTTATTTATTGAGTTTTGTGTCATATCAATGCTATTGTATTTATTATTGAATCTATGGCTTGAGTAGAATGCTAAAAAAAAAAAAAAAAAATGAAAATCACTGTTACTTTAAGTCTGGGACATAGGTAATACCTATGTAACAAATCAAAACGGAAGAAAACAAATCTGCACAAACCCCATCATCACAATCCTCAGTTATCTAACATGATAAATTGATAAATCACCTATCATCACACTCTGAATGGGTAAAGAGGAACTGTCAAGTTATCAGACACTGATACAGAAATGACATTCTGATTTACGACTCTAAAAGATTTTGTGGTCAAGACTATCATTGGTGTTTTATAATACAGTGTTATGTCTGTTATTTTATCATCCTTCTATTTAATATAAAAAATCATAAGGCCACACTCTGAATTATACCATTTACTGAAATACTCTTTGATATAGTATGTAAATAGCCAAGGTATAACTACACACTGTACCTGCTCTTTGGATTAGTCCATCTAGAGGGAAATATATAACACAGACAATCCTCTCCTCCTGTAGCAGTATAGTGTGTAGACACTGAGACACACATCACAGGTTTTGTGTGACTGTTCATAGTATACTGCAGCTTGCCATCCCTTGCATGTACAACCTGAAAAATAGTAATATATTTAGGATATGATTCCACATCAATTTTTACCTTAAACCTACTGCAATCTATTGTATGATATAAAAAATTTACATTCTTTCAATTTTCACATTTTCAATCATTTACTGGAAACAAACACTAATGACTTCTTACATAAGATAATGAAAATAGTAATAATATAAGTTTTATCATTCAACAAAATGAATTGAAGGTCACGAAATTCCATGCTAAGTCAAACTGAAGGTCACGAAACTCCATGCCAAGTCAAACTGAAGGTCATGAAACTCCATGCCAAGTCAAACTGAAGGTCACGAAATTCCATGCCAAGTCAAACTGAAGGTCACAAAATTCCTAGTCAAAGAGATATTACAATAGGGAACATGTCCTCCTGTCTGCAGCTTTGCAGCAATGAAATGTCTTTAACTACCTTGCTTGTGTTGTCATCTGCTCCTGTGAAGAGGAAAGCACCATCTGGCCTGTAACTCAGACCTCTTACTCTAGAGTTGTGAAGACGACTGCTCCATAACTCAAGTCCTGTAATATATAGAGAATCCAAGTCCTTATATTATGTTACACTTGAAACTTATGTCTATTTCATTTTAATGAATTAATTTTGTTACTACAATTATCAATTATCATATACATCTATGTTTATTTACTAAAATATCTGAATATTTCATATCATGGAAAAATTTTAAGCATTTCATGATGACATCAAATCCTGGGGAAACTCTCTCTTTGGGCAAAACCTGTTGACCTTTCCTAATAGAGGAAATTCATCTTATCCCTAGCTTGCATGAAACAAGCAAACATTTCCAGATACAAAAAATTCAGCTTATCCTGAGCTTGTTGTGACTGTCTTCTAGTTTCAAATGAGCAAACCTTAAATGACCATGTCATATGCATTTTAAGCTTGAATACTTTACTTCAGTAGATATGACTTACCAGTGAGAACATCAAACACCTTCACCATGCCTGAGTGGTAACCAAGGGCAACATAAGTGCATTCTGGGTCAAAACATACTGATACAATGGGTTCTCCTCCCTCTTCACCAATCTTCATCATAGGTACACCCAAGTGTCCAGACCACACCTATCAAAGGGCAAGAATTTAAAACTTCAGAGTTCAAGAGGTCAAAGATCCAAACTATCAAAATGCAAGATTCACAATTACACTGTACCAGATGTCTGATGTCAAACAGACAACACATGATTCACAGTGCAGATTCAAATAAATTGAAATAAAATTTATAGAAACTTTATTAAATTCAACAATTATTTATATTTTGAATAATACTGGTGTAACAGAACACTGTACATTTTTATCTGTTTTTGTTTAATCAAAAAAATCTAACTCATTAAATATCATACATATATTTATATAAGATACTAAGCTAATTGACATAAAACAGTATCAAGTATCACACACTGACCATCGTCCATGTCTTAATCTAATCGTGTATAAACTAAACTCTGTACTTACAAACAAATGTTACCTTACAAATATGTATATATAAACTGACTCTGCATAACCATAAACCCTATTTAATATGAAACAAAAGAATGATCAGAAAAGGATAACAAAGTTTTAAATAAATCCTTACCTTGACCTTGTGGTCATCACTAACGGTGATGAGTTCTTTACCAGTAGGTGAGTATATAAGCTTGTTGATTGGTGCTGCATGTCCCTGGATACTTCCAACCTGGAAAGTCAAACAAATATTTGGTTAAAAACAAATATCATTAAGAGAAAATTTAATTGTCCCCTAAACATAGTGGTGCTAAAAAATTTTCAGAACTCAATTTTACAGAACTTTGAACAATGAAATTCTTCAACAAACTTTAACCAAGGGTAAATTTACTTACTGATATATAAATACGTGAATCACACAGGTTTGAAAATGACATTAGAAATCTGGAAAATGTCTTTCATTGTAAACATCTTAACATGAGACTTACAGGACAATGGAACAACCTCTGATAATGATTGAAATCTGGATAAACTAGCTCTATTTGCTTTAAATCAGTAAACTGACATACCTGAGTTCCACTCTGTGCTGCCCAGATTTTCACATCACCATCAAGAGCAGCGGAGGCGATGTGGCGTCCTGAAGGTGAGTATGCAACATCACGCACAGATGTAGAGTGTCCTCGCAGGATCTGTATACGATGTACATATTTGGTAAGGTTTTTCAATTTAATAAATCTTCAATGCATTTGTGTTTTTTACTGATGCCATATTGTTAAAATTCTAAAATGATATCATCGTCTATAATATCAAAACTGAGTATAAAAGCTGTGACACCAGATAATTATTCCGCCTATTTTAATGGTTCTGACAAATTTGAGTACATTAACTAACTTCAAACTGCAGCCTATGACAAGGAGGACTAGGAAGAAAGAAAGTCAAGGCTAGATGCTGGATGCTTATATGTTTTTAATTATATCACTTCTCTCTGTTGTTCTTGTTTCACAAACCTGGAGTCCTTCCTGAGGTAATCATTTTGATAGAAAAACCCGAACTGAATTAACTACTTAATTCTCAGTTTTAATCACAGAGCAAGTGAATCTCATTAATAATTTCATCTGTGAAAAGTTATAAACTAAAGGAAATGTTAAATAACTGTTAGGCCTGATTAGAATAGCCATAGACAAGGGCTGATGATATTATTTCTCAAGTTTTGGCTCAATACTTACAGCCTTCCTTTTTTTGTGGAACACATCCCAGATCTTGATAGTAGCATCCCAGCTTCCAGTCACCAGGAGCTGGCCTTCAGGATGGAAGGACACACTGTTCACAGGACTGTGGAAATCAATACACCAATGCTGATTTATTTATAAAACAGTCTACACATTTGAAAATCAAGGTATTTATATCCACTGACTTTTTGCAACCATAAATTTACTTTATAACAACAAGTGAACTGTTGCACTAAAAATCTGTGACTATACAATACATTACAGATATTTTCAGCCCTCAATCAGAAACACAATTTACTTCCCAATATCACACCGTGAGTTTTTCACCTGCCCATGATGAGAGACACAATTTACCACTCAACCTTGTGTACTGACATAACTTAGCTGTCTAAATCCCACCTGTGAGTTTCTTACCTGCCTATGTTGAGAGAGCAGGATAGAGATCCCTTTGAAGTATCCCACACCTTTACTGTACAATCCCAGGAGGCAGATGCCACCAGTTTTCCAGCAGGATCAGCTGCACATGCCTTCACACGTCGCGTATGGCCCTTCATCAGGTGGACTCTAAGGACAGTATCATATAAATTCAGGAAGAAGGCAAAAAAATTGAGTAGCAAATAAACCATGACCAAGCCAGCGTGTTTTTCATTTATCACAGAAAAAAATGGTTTGAGTAGCTTGACCAATGTAATTATTTCTTTATGAAAATGTAACAGATATAAGCATCATATTTTGCCTTCCAGCAAGCATTATGAGCCCCCATAAACAAGAAAAATAAAAGTGCCACATTTGTGAGAGTGGTTTCTACACTCACCGGTGTCCATCCTCTACATGCCAGATACTGAGGGTTTTGTCAAACGATGCACTACAGAGGAGTGTCTTGCTGACGAAACACACACCTGAGACAGAATCAGAATGGCCACGGTATGTACGAAGTTCCTGAAACAGAATAGCCATCCCTGGATTAGTATAATCCCTGTCATATCAATTCTCCCAGGAAAACATATAGAAGACAGGATATAACCAAAGATTTTCTGTTTAACAATAATATTTGACTATACAGAAAACCATCTACTTCTTCAAATAGTCAAGGATAGTTCACCTAGTTCTAACTACCTCTAGGCAAACCACTGATAAGTAGGGGTTGTTAATTCACTTATAATCACGACCAGGTAATCTACTGATAACCAGGAGTTTGTAATCCACTGCTTACCAAGCCAGTTTCATCCAATGAAAACCAGGATCAGGTATTGACAACCTGAACTTGTTAATCCAGTCCTAAACTGGGCTTGTTAATCCCCTAATATGATAATCAGAACCAGGTAATCCATTAATAATCAGGGCCAGTTTAATCCACTGATAACCAGGGTAGGTAATCTACTGAAAACTAAGGCTAGTTTAATCCACTGATAATCAGGGCATGTTAACCTAATTTTAACTACCACTGGTGATTCTACTGATAACCACAGCCTGTTAATCTACTTACCTTGCCAGTGTTCATGTTATACAGTCGTACAACTCCATCCAAACCCCCACAAACAAAGTACTGACAGTCATGGCTGATAGCTATACACATCACAGGCTGTAATACATAGCAAGATCATCAGTTTATAATCATTCAAACTTATATAAAAAAATTCACACAGGGGACACATTTAGATAAGATTATTTTAAGAAATATTGTAAGAAACTTCATCTGTGGGAGAAGGACTGAAAACTAAAGACTAAAAATCTTGGAGACTGACTGAAAACCTACCTCTGAGAGACTAACTAAAAATTAATCTGTGGGAGATTGACTAGATGTATACCTGAGAGATTGACTAAAAGCTAATCTGTAGGAGACTGACAAGAAAGAAATCTGCGGCAGACTGACTTAAAAGTTATCTGCGGCAGACTGACTTAAAAGTTATCTGTAGGAGACTGACCAGAAACTAACCTGTGGGAGACTGACTCACTCAAATCTTATCTTGAAAGATTGACTAAAAACTTATCTTTGGGAGACTTACAAGATGCATATGTTTGAGAGAATGACTACTTACCTGTGAGAGACTGACTAGAAATGTACCTCTGAGAAACTGACTAGAAATGTACCTGTGGGTGACTGACTGAAAACTTATCTTTGGGAGACTTGACGTACCTGTGGGAGGTTGTCCAGGGTTTGGTAACATGGATCTTTAGTTTCAGGCTTATTGGTCCACTCTATGTAACATTTTTCCTTGGCGTCTCTTGGTAAATTGATGGCTTGTTGTGCTGGTATTGAGTCTGATGGTTCATTAATGGCCTGTTGCCATGTTAACCCAGGGTAGCTGTATAAAGACAAAGGAATTGGTGTTACTTAGATACAAAACACTGATAAACTATTAGTGAAATAAATGTTTGCTGTATTTGAGAACTATTTTACAGACTTAGTTGATTTTCACACTGAATATGACAGTCATACTATATTAAGCTTGTTTCCCTTTAAAGTTCAAACATATATGTACAGTATATCTGTATGAAATCCTACAATAGATTGTTCAGGTATCTACTCAATGGTTTAATCTACTCTCACACAAAGTTAGACCCAAACCCCTTAAAAATAAAAACTTTTACCGTAGACTTCACAGGATGAGATAGAATCACTAACCTGGTCAGGATGTGCATATTCCTTGATACAAACATCTTGTACTGCTGGAAACTGTCTGATGACATCATTTTGTTCTGATCTCTTTCGATGGTCTTATTTCCAAACACTGATAAAAACATATAAAGCAGTTATATAGGATCATAACACAATGTCTCAAAACATTATCATCTAAATTATGACAATTTTCATGGAGGATATTGCAAAAAAAAAAAAAAATAAAAAAATAAAAAACAGCAAAAATTTCAACAGAGAAACTCTGTGGTGTTTACTTTCGAATGTAAAATTTAAAGTTACAGAATCATCATTATCTACAGAAAAAAATCAAAACTTTAAAAAATTACAAAAAGCCCTGTTGAAATTAAAAAAAAAACTTTGCTGAACTCAACTATCAAATGTATTATAATTTTGGGTCATATGACCAAGAATATTCATGTTACCTTTCATTTGGAAATCATCCATCAGCCTGGGGCCAAGGCCAAGCTGAAATTTTCTGTCAATGAACTTGATGTCACAAATTATATCTTGTAGCTCCTTAAACTCTCCAGCACAAGACTGCAAAAACAAGATGCACAAAGATAAACCTATGATGTAAGTACTGCTACAGGTGAGACAACAGACAGGTAATATTAAATCTGTGATGTAAGTATTGCTACAGGTGAGACAACAGACAGGTAATATTAAATCTGTGATGTAAGTACTGCTACAGGTGAGACAACAGACAGGTAATATTAAATCTGTGATGTAAGTATTGCTACAGGTGAGACAACAGACAGGTAATATTAAATCTGTGATGTAAGTATTGCTACAGGTGAGATTGCTACAGGTGAGACAACAGACAGGTAATATTAAATCTGTGATGTAAGTATTGCTACAGGTGAGACAACAGACAGGTAATATTAAATCTGTGATGTAAGTATTGCTACAGGTGAGACAACAGACAGGTAATATTAAATCTGTGATGTAAGTACTGCTACAGGTGAGACAACAGACAGGTAATATTAAATCTGTGATGTAAGTATTGCTACAGGTGAGACAACAGACAGGTAATATTAAATCTGTGATGTAAGTATTGCTACAGGTGAGACAACAGACAGGTAATATTAAATCTGTGATGTAAGTATTGCTACAGGCAAGCAATAATAGACCAATAGAACATAGATGTAGGTACGGTGAGGTGAAATTTTAATTTGTTAAAGAAAATAAAGATAGAAAAGCACATCAAATCTTCTTCCTAGGCATTAATTTTTCTTCAACTTACTGTAAACCAATAAACCTTCATCATCATTTAACTTTCACCATTTTAACCCTGTAAGAATGGGCCAAATTTGACAATGTAATGAGTTACTAGATCAAATGTTTTTGTCAAGGACAAAAGATTCCTGGTATACAGTATATAAACAACACATTCAGTATGATTTACACAATTATTGTTGTTAAGTAATAATTGTTGTTGATACATGGTATACTCACCAAATGATACGGCAGTTCACAATAGGCCCGCATGCTGTTACCATGGAAACTCTGGTTTCTGTCAGGGTCAGCTTGACGGTAGAAATAACCTAAAAATGATATGTTCAAAATCAACACATATACAAGAGTGATGTTTTGATATTGTTAACAGTGTTTTAATTAAACATTCACCCAAGTAATGAGAATTGTTAATAACATCTATCTCATTCAAAATAGTAGATGTGCTGCTGCTGTCAAATTTTTCTTAATGCTTGGTACTAACAACTGCTGTATCAGTATGTTACAAACTGTGATCATTGATCGATTGTCTATGTCATTTGAAGAGATAAAAGGAAAATTAATAGTGTTATTGAAAACACTGCTCCCCTTGTCAAGAGTTTTACAGTAAATATGGACACTGACTTGTCCTAATTCTAGGAGAGACAATGCCTAAAAGTAGGACGTGTCAAAGAAATGGACTGTATCAAACCAACCAACAACACTGACAGTATATAACCAATATATGTTTAACAATTGTACCCTTGTCATTGTGAAACAGAAAGTGTAAGTCATTGATCATTTTGAATAAACATACCAGCCAGAAGTTTATGAAGAGTCAATTCCTGTTCTGCAGCTGATCCTCGGAGGTAACGTTGTCTCACAGCAGTCTCTATATCAGCATGGGCTAGACTCAGTCTGGTACTCCTGCGAAATATAGGCAAAGTGAAAGTAGGGTTCTCCTTTAAAATGTAAGTTAAAGGAAAATAAGGTTCAGATCTAAATACACACCTAACATGAAAGTGAAACAAATTGTATTATCTACAGTACACTTAATAGAAGAGCATCCAATTTTAAGTATTTTAACATTTCAAATTTCAAAACTCAGCCATCTATTAGAATACATAAAAGAATATAAGTTAAATGGTAGTGATGTAGATTTGTATATACCAGCGATCCTGTGGGTTAAGGAATGTCTGCAGTGATCGCTTGACCTGGGAGAAAACGAGCGGTGGTATCAAGTTCTCTTGTGCCAGATGGATATTGATGACTCCCTGAACACTGATCTTGGTTTTACCTAGCAGTGACTTCAAGCTCAACAATTCATGTAGCTCCTCAGCATCCAAACCTGACAACACAGTTACATCTATATTAACAACAATGTAAAGTAATTAATTAGATAAAATATCTTGCTAGTTACAGTAATCATTAAGAACATTTTTAAGTCACAAATTTCTATATCTGGATGGGTAAATGATTCAACCATTCCTGACAACAAAAGTATGTAGACTAGCTACGGCAGTATCTAACTGTCCTATTACATGTACTACATACTTAACACAAGAATATTTTCACCCTTGTACCATTATACATGACTTCGCCTCATGTTCATTTTGCCCTCTGAAGATTATATAAAAGGGCTATATATGTGTTATAAATTTTTGCCCCCAAATCTTGCATTCACCCTCCCTGTTCATGGAGGAAAAGTGTGAAAAATTGTATGAGGGCAAAAATTTCCCAGTATACAGTAGTTGTACAACAAATATAGGGAACCATTCATGGAAAGACAGGTGTCATTCCAGATGAAAAGGATTAAAACTCATGATGGAGCCAGTGAAACTACACCCATGTGGAAAAATATCACATTTAAATGTTTATTTATAATCACCCTCTATGACACAAAGCTTTTATTCTCTCTGCTTTTTTTAAGTTAATTTTATAAACTCCATCTGTAATATTAGGGTATCATTCTCTCCAAAATTATCATTATACACAATTTCATGTCTTACCTTCCCTGGCACAGATGAGGAGTGACATTGCCATGACAACAGTTTCCTTGCCAAGGTCATTTTCAAGGCGTGAAAGTACTTCCTGTAGCAACTGCTGGACAGTGTGAGGGAGGGCTTTCAGCTTACTGCTAACCTAAAACATTGTGCTTAAGTATAGTATCATGCCAATGTTCTCAGCTTTCAGTTACAAGAAACAATGTTTGATCATTAAATTTACACTTTTAAAGGTGATAGGATATGCTAGTCCAACTGTAACTTCCATTTTTGTTTAGAGCACTGGTTGAAGCATCCAATATGATGCAAAATGTAACAATACTACCATAATGAATCATAAGTTTGTCACGAAGACAACCAAAGTGGTGGTTTCTGGAAGTTTTTCCTGGATAGATCATTGTGTTAATTTTCAGACTATGCTTTAACATATGGTAAAAGTTGAAGTTATTCTCACCTTTTCAAAGACTCCAAACACTCGTAGCTCCTCACAAGCTAATTTGAGGAACAACGGCACTGATGCTTCTTTCTTTGACAATAAAAGCTTCAACTAAAACACAGAAAGGGTAAGGCTTATCTCATCAAAAAGATAATCATCACTACTGAGGATAATTAATGATAACAGACTTTATCTTTTGTTTATTACATCTTGAGTCAATAACTTAATGTGATTAAAATGATATACACAATATTTACAGCAAAGTTAAATAAATTTAATTTGTTATGTAGGCAGCCAACCTCTTGCTATCTAGTATCTAGACATAGCCTTTTAAAATAAAGGTTGACAGAGTGATTGAAAGTTTGACGAGAACTTTATACTCAATTCTATAGTGTAGTTATAGTTTGCATGGATTAGGACCATGGATTAGGACCATGGATTAGGACCATGGATTAGGACCATGGATTAGGACCATGGATTAGGACCATGGATTAGGACCATGGATTAGGACCATGGATTAGGACCATGTTTTACTTATGTTTTAACATCCCATTGACTACATCAGATTGATATTATCAAACACTGGTCAAATGTAAAGAAATGTCAGGATCACCTAATGATATTTGGTGCATTGTCAATACTTTCGGTATCTGAAGTTGAGAAATTTTCATAGGGACACCCCGTTTTTCCTGTGAGTAAAAAGTATGTTACTGTGGACGTACCTGGTTGTTGAAAGGCGTCTCATCCAGTGCTTTTCTGTGAGTGGCCAGTGTTGTCCTGACAACATCTGCCTTGTCCCACATGTCAAGACCCCCAACACTGACCTCTTGACCTTTGTGACGTTGGAGAGACATGTGACATTTTCCACCATCCAGCACAGTAAGTACGAATATCACATTCTAAAATGAAATACAAGTGTAAAACAACATTATGTGAACAGTGAAGTCAGGGACATTTTACTCAAAGGTTTAACAGAATGAGTAACATTAATCAAGAAAACAGACAACAGACAAGAAGCAACTTCTTCTTCTAAAATCCTGGGAACCTCAACAACATAGCTTAAAAATACAAAATTTATCTATGTAACAACAATTACAAAACAAAATCTTTTAACTGTTGTTGATCCAGATGGAAACATGAATGATCTTTCTTTAGAGTGAAGTACCCAGGAAAAACACAAAAGATTAATGAATTGACACCCATACATGTAATAGGGACATTGAACTCTGGTCACCTTGGTGAAAAGTGAAAACTTTATATAGCTAACATACCTTAGGTACTGGTGTTGGCAGCCACTCTAGGTTGTCTGGTTGGTAGGCGCTTTCCATGATGTCCACACCATCTATAAATATGAGGAGAGGGGACCCACACATGGTACCAGCTTCCTTCAACATCTCACCAAACACCAGGCCAAGGTTCCTAAATCAAACATGATACTTCTTACATAGTCTGTAATACTTCAGTTCAATTTATAATCTGCTTCTACTATCAAACAAGATTCAATGTACAATAATAATGTAATTCAAGAATGGAAGGTCTGACTAACTTAACATTGATATTTTCTAAACATTTTGAGCAAATTTATCCTGACAAGTAAAACCTATTTAATCCAACCATCAAAAAGACAAATATTGGTTAAATTGCTACAGTAAAACCTGCTTAATCTGACCACAAGAGGGACCAGTATTTGTACATTTGCTACAGTAAAACCTGCTTAATCTGACCACAAGAGGGACCAGTATTTGTCCATTTGCTACAGTAAAACTTGTTTTATCTGACCATCACAGATGTTAGAAATTGTGAAGGCAATAGAATGATTTTATATGGTCCAGATTCAATCAACATGAGAATGTTTAGAGTGAATCTGTTTACACATTTCTCTTGGGTTTTTTGGGAGATCAAGCTTCTGTGAATATTAGTGACAGTTTATTAGGGTAGATACTTACTTAAAATCCTCAGGGACTTCTTTGACCAGCCCAAATCGTCGTTTTACTTCATGAGTAAGGCGCCTAAGAGTTGCCAGGATGTTGGTAGATCCTGGAGCAGCTCCTACGACGTGGGTCAGTACAGACAAGGCACTGTCACACATGGACGACTCTACATAACTGTGCACTAAGGAGGCCTATCAACAAGTTATGACATGACAATCACAATATGCTATAGTAAATAACTTAGCCTATTTGTGATTATACTACAAGTGACATAATCAAGGGGAGATGATAGAATGGAAAATACTTTTAATATTCCTTTATATCAGTCCAGTTTATACTAAACAAAAAAAGAAAGGTAACACTACTTTATTCTGTGATTAATTAACCCCTTCTTAAATCCTTACCAATCATGTACGAATAAAGTAATTGATCAATTCTGATAAAACTGCAGTCATGGTTCATTATAAAACTTTGCGTTCAGTTGATTTTATTCGACTGTAAAGGACGTTGGGGTCAATTTCAAAGGTAACACCATTAGTAACAGGTATGGCCACCGTTTGTGAAATAAACAGCATTGCAGAGTCGTCGCATGGAACTCGTAAACTGGCCGATAATTCGAGGAGAGATGTTGTTCCATTCAGCGATCAAGACTTGGGCCAGCTCCTGCCAGTTTGACGGCTGATTTTGACGTTCTCTCATGCGTCGCCCAAGAACGTCCCAGACATGTTCAATCGGTGACAAATCAGGTGATTTAGATAGCCAATCTAACACCTGTACGTTATTCTGCTGCAAGAAAGTTCTGCTGACGCGACTGATGTGCGCTGGTGCGTTATCCTGTTGAAAAATGGCGCCAACGCCATGGCGTCTTAAGAATGGCAGAACCACTGGTCTTAAAATTTCGTCCCGATATCGAATGCCGGTGAAATTGCCATTTAACACAACAAGCCTGGTACGAGTTCCCCCACAAATACCACACCAAACCATTACAAAGCAGTCCCGTTCTGCGACGCAGCAGTTTGCAAAACGCTCCCCTAATCGCCTCCACACTCTGCGCCTTCCGTCACCGTGTTGCAGACAAAACCTGGACTCATTTGAAAACAGAACATTGTTCCATTGTCGTAAGGCCCAACGACTGTGAACACAGGTCCAGTTACGCCAATTATTACGGTGACGTTGCAACAAAGTGGGTTCAGTGTAGGGACGTTGCGCTTTCAATTGGTAGGCCCTCAACCTGTTGCGGACTGTTTGGGGAGACACACGACGCCCAAACAATGTCCTTGTAGTCTCTACTGCAGTTACGAATCGATTGCGCAAGTGTATCAATCGTATACGACGGTCATCCCTGGTGGTCGTTTTACAGGGTCGGCCGCTTCGGGGACGATCAGATGTTGACCCAGTTTGGTTTGAACGACTTACCAACTGGCAAATTGTCTTAACACTGCAACCAAAATGCAGTGCAACTCCACAGCGAGACTCCCCAGCCTGGATCATGCCTACAGCCCTTTCTCTCTGTACTTGTGACAGCCGGGGCATAATGATAAAGTTGATAGATAGCAAGATTCGGTGATTTCTAAGTCCTAAGGATCTAAGGAACAGTTGTCAGTTTGAATGTTTATGAAATTCAAGCGAAGATACAAGTTAGTCGCAAAAAACCTTGTGCAGCTCTTTCGCTAATACAGACTTTCACGCTTGAATGATTTTGGTAACCCCCTTGGATTTTGTAATGTAACACATTACCATTTTCTAATATTGCACAAACGTCATTTTGTTTTCACTCATTTACAGGTATTCGCCAAGGAAACATGTTAACCTTTCTTTTTTTGTTGAGTATATGTTTTAAGGCCTACATTTGACTCTAGGTTTGTTTTTTAAAATTCATTTATAGCGCTGCACAATCTCCTTAGAATTACTATGATAAATACATTATTTATGTCCTCAGGATTATAATTTTGTATACTAGGAACCGACAGCGCTAACCTACACAAATCCAAATTGCAAATTCAATATTAGTTAAACTTCTACAGAAGCAATCATTTCAGTCCTTACCATCACAGCAGATTTCCCAGTTCCAGGTTTGCCGACCAATCCCAAAATTCCAGAGGGCACAAACTGCAGTTGTTTCAGACAATCTTTGATCATAGCTTTTCGCCCGACGAAGTTGTCTTGGTGCCGTTCCAACATAGCCTGATGTTGCTTTGATATGTGTGTATTCTCATCCAAGATTTCGGCCTGTAACATACAAAACATGTTTTCTTGTCCTTAACATTCTGCTAAAGAGGTCTTCAAAATACTATGCAACTTATGATTAGAATGATCAAGCGAGTACTGTTGGTGTTTTTTGATACCTAGAAATTGAAATTTAAAAGTACAAGAGATATACCCGTTACCCCCTCCATCAACCATGGGGTACTTTTACAGAGTGGATGGACTATGACAAGTTCTTATTTTCTCAAAAAATAAAAAAAAAAAAAATCAGTAATCTGACTTCATATTTCGTGTCAGGAATACTATACCTCTTCTATGTAGAGTTTGTTGATTGAGTTCCAGAGGTTATTAAGGACTCTTGCACCAAACAATTCCAGGCCTGACACAAGAGGTTTATCCTCAGCCACCCCACCCCATTGACAAGGATACTCGTCATAAACTTCCAGGCCACTGTTTCGTATCCTTGTTTTCAGGTTGGCCATTTTCTCTCTACATTCATTGTTCTCAGCCATAAAGTCGGCTGTGAATTCTCCTGGAATGTTCCTAAAATTGAGACAGAAGGATTCTTTTTCTTTTCAACATGATCATGACACAGACAAATCAAAACCTGAACTTTTCACAATCAAATGTTAGCCTCACAACTATTTACATTTCATAATGAGAATGTGACACTGAATATCTTGCTGTACTTACTTTTCAAACTGACTGTCTCTGAGGAAGAAGAAGGCTGATTGTTGCACTTTCTCTGGCTGACTCAGGGCTCCAGCATACATCTCCATTTCGGTAACTGACAGCCCAGGTTTACTTTCCCTGACCCAATCATACTCAGATGTATCTGGGACAACATACTTTTCCGGTACCCAGCCATAACGCTCTCCCAGTATTCCCAGAAACAGGTCACACTGTTTGACCTCTGAGAGACATAGCTCCATGGTTCTGGAAATAGCAATACCAATTAAGCATATCCCAGCTTAGTATAATTAAACATTTATAACTTCTGATAATGAAAATTGCATTGAAATATTTTTAAGATGATTTTTTATATAAAAATGCAACCTTTTCATATCAGGCATTGTTAAAGAATACCTTGATCTGATAGAAATTTACTGCTTATATGTGATATAACAACAAATGTGCACAAGAAAACCATATACAAAGATTTCCAGTCAGTTGAATTTAACAAGCACTTTTCTCATTAAAGATAAAGTTTCAAAATATTATGAACATCAACACTTCTATCTTTGGAAAATGATGTCACATGGTAAATGAAAATGTGAAGTTTTAGTTAAAACCTGTAAAGGATGTTATCATCTATTTCTCACTGTTTCTGAGTGTAGAATAAAGCCATGAAAAGCAGACATCTTGAAAAAGAAATCGTTAAAGAAAACAAAAGTCTATTTCATGGTATCAGCCAAAATTACAATATTTTTGTATCAAGGTAAATTTGATAAAGTTGTGAAAATTTGAACCATCTGTAAAAACAACCTCAAACTGAGTTGTGATTTACCTGTTTGTCTTTGTATCTTTTTCTGTTACTCCCCATCTGAGATCCACTTCATATATGTTGATGAAGTGTTTCTTTGCAAGGGCACGCAACTCTGGAAATATGTTTCTGGTGAGAATGTCTCTCTCACCATGCATGTCCCGGAATGTTGAGGAGATGAACACTCGCAGTGTTTTCCAGCTGCAAAGATATTATAAAGAATGTGGACTGCCAATAAAATTGCAGAAAATGAAAAGATAGGTTATAAGGTAATGTCTCTCTAATTGAATCTGATTGTCCAAAAGGTAACAGTTCTGTAGTTAAAAGAAACACATTAATCATGAATTAAAAGCTGCTGAAACATTATTTTCTACATCAGTACTTCCTGTCAGATCATGGTGATTTGCTGGTTATCTTAAAAAGTGCTACATAGGGGAGTGTTAAAAACTCCTGACCATCAGATTATGCAGCATTCCTATTAATGTCAACTTTCTAGCAACAGAAATAATCCTCACTTGATTTTTTCATTGTTTTGAAATAAAGCAATATTGAATATCAAAACACTCAATAAAAACACCCAAAGTAATACTTTTATGTTGATCACCAAAAACAACTCTGTGTACCCTAGAACACTGACAGAATTTGAAAGTAGATCTGTAAAATAATCAACATTTTGAGGTACTGTAATAGAACCCATTCTTCTGTTACCTGGGTGAGTTGGACACAACAGGCAGAGGTTTGGCTGGTTGGACTAATTTGGGTTTGTTTTCTCTGTCTGCTGAGATGGCTGGCATGGGTCGAAGGTCAAATGCTTCATCTATATTTTCTACATGTCGGAGTTGTCCCCCTTCTCCTCTCTCTGCTATGAACCTGAAATAACAAACAAATCAGTAGACGTAACCCTGTAATCTATAAAGTGACATCCAATCAGAAGGTAGATAACTAAACATATCTTGTATTTCAGTTCTGTTAACATCCTTAATTAAGGGCAATCAAATTTTAGTACAATTTCACATATCCACAAATAAATGCAATGCTAAATTTTCCCATCAATATTAGTAGCATTATATCAACCATATAGAGAAGTGGTAATTGGTGTAATCATATCTAGACATAATACTTTCAGTGTGAAAAGTGCTAAAATAAAACTGCCACTAAAATATGTAAGGTTTAACTTGTTGCCATGCTGTTTAATCAGAAAATATGATACACTCTCAATATTACCGGAGTATCTGATCACTGTATCCTGAGATATAGATGTCATTGTCATGTTCTGGAATAATACTCTCAGAGAATCTAAAAAACACAAATTAATAAAATTCTTCAAACACTTCATATCTTCTCAACATCACTATATCTGTAAATCTATTTCAATAAAATGCATTTCATTTTATTTTCACATTATTGTTAATTCAAAATAGTGAGATATTATCAAATACAAAAACTGTATAGTTGTCATTCTTTTATTCATTATATAATGTAAAGTACAAAAAAGTAGCAGTGTTGATATTGTTCCATTGGATGCTATTGAAAAATACATCGTTTTCTCGACATACTGAGTTTTAAATGTGACCCTTGGTGTTTTTCTGACACTTTTTTTAACTTCTTTCTTAATTTAAACCAGCTCAAAAAATCTTTGAGCCAATACATTCTAGTTTGAAGAACAACCAATACAATGATCAAGAGAATATATTTTTATTTAATGATTTGACCATCATTCTAGACAATTTACTTACCCACAGTTCTTTCCTGCAAACGATATGTTGACATACAAGAGGTCCGTGTTGACAATTTCTCTATACTTCTTCAAAAATGTTGAGAGATATTTCTGTTGGGTGGGTACATTATCTCCACCACTCAGGAAAATCAAGTTATCAATCTAAACAAACAAACATCATATCATCAACATATTTCTATTATGTTGTTAGTGCAGACAAGAAAACACGTAAAATTGATATTTGTAAAGCAAATTGTTGCAAAGTTATCAATACAATTAATTTTATCAGAAAACAAAACACCTTAACAGCTGCCTATCTACCTGAACTCTGTCCCGCAAAGCATCCGACAGTATCTTGTGTGGTAACATAAATGGCAGAGACTCAGAATTCTTCATTTCAGCATTGACAAGCTGTAATACAAACAGAATACCATATTTATTAGCTGTATTTCATAAAGTTTCATTGAAAAAATTATTACAATTCTATATAATATGTTAGGTATATTTAGAACGAGTATACGAATGAAAGGCTTGATTTTTTGTTGTTAAAATCAATGTATTGTAATATGTAGTAAGATTATAACCATACCACAAAGCCAAACTAATGTCTCTAGACTGTAGGGACGGCAACTCAAACAGGAGTCTCCAGAAAGTAGGGAAAATACCTCAATAGGGAATTTTCAGACAGCAGGTGAAGTGATTCAATAGGAAGTTTTCAGACAGTATGGGAAGGTAGCATGGAGTAACTAATATGGAGTTCCAAGACAGTAGGGGGTAACTCCACAGGGATTTCCAGGACTGTAGGGGGTAACCCTACAGGGAGTTCCAGGACAGTAGGGGTAACCCTTCAGGGAGTTCCATGACAGTAGGGGGTAACCCCTACAGGGTGTTCCAGGACAGTAGGGGGTAACCCTACAGGGAGTTCCAGGACAGTAGGGGGTAACCCTACAGGGTGTTCCAGGACAGTAGGGGTAACCCTACAGGGAGTTCCAGAACAGTAGGGGGTAACCCTACAGGGAGTTCCAGGACAGTAGGGGGTAACCCCTACAGGGAGTTCCAGGACAGTAGGGGGTAACCCTACAGGAAGTTCCAGGACAGTAGGGGGTAACCCTACAGGGAGTTCCATGACAGTAGGGGGTAACCCTACAGGGAGTTCCAGGACAGTAGGGGAAATGACACAACAAGGGATCTCCAGGCAGTAGGGGGTAACACAACAGGATGTCTTCTGACAGTAGGGGGAGTAACTCAATAAGGAGTCTGCAGAGGGTAAGTTAGGCAACTTAAAACGAAGTCTCAACACAGACCAAATGAGCTAAAAACAATACCCTAATGCTATCATAGCAAAAGCTATCGTTACATTTTAAAATCTGACAAAATAACATCAAATTGTTTCAAATTATTCTTCAGGATGTAAAATGCCTAATGTAAGCTTAGTATAATGAATGAATAGTGAGAATAGTAAAAGAAGGTGTTTGAAGTGAAGTGGCAACTCCAACCCCAATCCCAACCAAAACATAAGATTATGTGATCTTTACAGTCATAGGATCCAGGACAACATCCATGTTCTCCAGAATGGTGCCAGACTTGAGCTGGATGTTGAAGTAAGTCTTTGGGGTGAATGCTACAAGATCACACTCCTCACATGAATACTTGCACATTAATCCAAGTAAAACTGCAACTTCCTTCATCTACAACCAACATAAATAGTCATATAAGACAAGATCACCTGAAATTCATCGTGGTAAAAGTTTCCAATGACAAGATCAATGTTACAAAATTTCACATTAAAACTGACAGAATTGTGATGTGTCCTTGTCTATCAATGTCCCATCTATTTAATTATCTGTCTAGGTGTAACCCTGTCCATCAATATCCTGTCTGTTTAAGTATCTGTCTAGGTTTGCCCTGTCCATCAATATCCTGTCTGTTTAAGTATCTTTCTAGGTTTGCCCCTGTCCATTGATATCCTGTCTGTTGAAGTACCTGTCTAGGTTTGCCCCTGTCCATCAATATTGTGCTTTTTTTAGCACCTATCTATGTTTGTCCCTGTCCAAAAATATCCTGCCTGTTTCAATACCTGTCTAGGTTTGCCAAGTCCTTTAGCTGCAGTACAGTTGACCTCCATGCTAGGCCCAATGTCACACAGAACAATAGTTCGCCCCTTTATGGGCTCAACATTGTATGTTGTGGCAATCTTCACTGATTTATCAAGGGCTTTTCTATACCTTGCTATCAGTTGCTTGTCAAATTGAGTTTCCCTGTAATGTAGAAACAGCAGAATGAAATCCAGAATAAATAAGCATCCATTCAATTTTGCATATTTCAGCATTCTACATTGAAATTAGCATATTTCAGCATTCTACATTGAAATTAGCATATTTCCGCATTCTACATTGAAATTAGCATATTTCAGCAGTCTACATTGAAATATGCTAATTTCAGCAGTCCACATTGAAATTAGCATATTTCAGCATTCTACATTGAAATTAGCATATTTCAGCATTCTACATTGAAATTAGCATATTTCAGAAGTCTACATTGAAATTTACATGTTTCAACAGTTTATATTGAAATTTTCATCTTTTAGCAGTCCATATTGAAATTTGCAGTTTCCTATTTTCTACCACTTGCACATCACTGTCCTTCAATATTTTCTCAAACACATGATTTAATTTTACTGTAGTCATACAAAGAATGTTTTAATACACTTATAAAGCTATAACAGGGACAAAAGTAAACCTTATAATCATGCAATGTGAAAGAATATCGGGCTCCTTGAAGTAATTCATATCAAAATTGCTACTGAAACACTGAGTTGATTTCACATGTGTATATATACATACTGTGGCCCCTTGTTTTTATTTTTCTTCTTATCCAGCCACCACATCTCTGGATTAGTTTTCTTGGCCCCACGGCCTGCCCCTCTGGTCCCACCACCCCTTCCTCGTCCTACAGGGGCTGTAAAGGACACAGCTGCATCTTCTGCTGCCTTCACAATATCAGCTTCTGTCAACACAAGTATAAACATGATCATTATGACTTCTACACCATTAATCAATGTAAATATAACATAAATTCTCCATAACAAGGCATATTTTTATAACAGGACTAATTTTGAAATTAAATAAAAACATTACTTTATTTTTAGTTGAATTTCAATCAGTAAACTTAATTTGATGATAAGTGTAATGACTGTTGGGTATAAAATTATTTTGATATGTACACATTCCAGTACAGTGATGACAGACTGTTTACCATAGGGATTTTCACTTTTCAGTTTGACTGGACTGGCATTGTTCTTTTATGAAATAAGGATGGATCAACTGATGTTACATTCCTTTCTGATGATTCCTCCACTAAGCCTCTCAAGGCCTGTATCAATATTTGCAGGACTGAAATGGTATGACCAATCCATTTGTCAGCATAAACAAACAGGCCTAGATTTTTCTTAGAGCATTAGAGAAGTTTTCTCCATTGAAATGGTGTCTAAAACATCTGTTATCAAGATGATAACATCCTACTGCCACTCAGTCAATAACCACAGTATGTCAGCGTACTTACGACTCTTCTCATAATCCTTCTCCAGGTTCCCTAGAACTTCATAGGCAGAGAAGAATCGGAATGGAAACTGCTTACTGTTCACAACTTGTCTCTGGAAAAACAACAGATACAAAAAAATTACTGAATGATAATTTTTCCCAAAATAAACCTTCCATCCATTTAATGTATCTCAGTGATTATCCAATTACACATTTGACACATCCCACAAATAATATGGATTACATTGTCTTATTAAAACACCAATGTTTATCAAATTTTTAATATAAACTGCCTTGTTTTTTTATATTAATGTATATTTTTTATGTGGTTAGACTATATTCTATGATAACAAATCTAAATCTTCTCCATCCTCCATTAATCAATTAATCTGTTAATCCTCTTGTTACCACATTTTACCCTTGATTATTCTATGTTCTGTATTAAGCCCACCCCCTTGTCATGGCATTTAAAATTCTCAATCATAAACCATCTTCCTGTAAATACACTTCACTGATGCTCGTTCCCATACTCTATATTCCTGTCTTTTATAAGTCCATCTGGAATTGGCCCCATACTCGGTATATTCCTGTTTTTTATAAGTTCATCTGGAATTGGCCCCATACTCTGTATATTCCTGTTTTTCATAAGTCCATCTGGAATTGGCCCCATACTCTGTATATCCCTGTTTTTTATCAGTCCATCTGGAATTGGCCCCATACTCTGTATATTCCTGTTTTTTATCAGTCCATCTGGAATTGGCCCCATACTCGGTATATTCCTGTTTTTTATAAGTCCATCTGGAATTGGCCCCATACTCTGTATATTCCTGTTTTTTATCAGTCCATCTGGAATTGGCCCCATACTCGGTATATTCCTGTTTTTTATAAGTCCATCTGGAATTGGCCCCATACTCTGTATATTCCTGTTTTTCATAAGTCCATCTGGAATTGGCCCCATACTCTGTATATCCCTGTTTTTTATCAGTCCATCTGGAATTGGCCCCATACTCTGTAATTCCTGTTTTTTATCAGTCCATCTGGAATTGGCCCCATACTCGGTATATTCCTGTTTTTTATAAGTCCATCTGGAATTGGCCCCATACTCTGTATATTCCTGTTTTTCATAAGTCCATCTGGAATTGGCCCCATACTCTGTATATCCCTGTTTTTTATCAGTCCATCTGGAATTGGCCCCATACTCTGTACATTCCTGTTTGTTATAAGTCCATCTGGAATTGGCCCCATACTCTGTATATTCCTGTTTTTTATAAGTCCATCTGGAATTGGCCCCATACTCTGTATATTCCTGTTTTTTATAAGCCAATCTGGAATTGGCCCCATACTCTGTATATTCCTGTTTTTTATAAGTCCATCTGGAATTGGCCCCATACTCTGTATATTCCTGTCTTTTAAAAATCTGTCTGGAATTGGTCCCATACTCTGTATAAAAATGAAGGGGAGTTTGGAGAAGAAAGCATTTCCTGTCTTTAACATGTCTGTCTGCAATAGTTATAAGGAAATACACAAACCTCGTTAGTCAGTCTGTTGAGGATGTTTGTGTGGTGTTTTTCTGATATCCCCGCTTTGATCAGGTTTCTCAGGTTCCTCAGCATCGCCATAAAGGGAAGCTTATTGTGGTCTGGGGTAGGAAAAAGTTTGTTTTAATTTCATTCAGAAAGAAGTAAATGTGTATATATATGTTATTTGAACTTTTCAGGTCTCAAGAAGACTATAACCATAGTTGTATGCTATCTGTCAGAGTAATACATACAGCACATTTTAATAAACTTAATAAATAAACAACAATCTATGATTAATTTTAATAAACTTAATAAATAAACAACAATCTATAATTAATTTTAATAAACTTCATAAATAAACAACAATCTATAATTAATTTTAATAAACTTAATAAATAAACAACAATCTATGATTAATTTTAATAAACTTAATAAATAAACAACAATCTATGATTAATTTTAATAAACTTAATAAATAAACAACAATCTATGATTAATTTTAATAAACTTAATAAATAAACAACAATCTATGATTAATTTTAATAAACTTAATAAATAAACAACAATCCAGGGAATAAAACTAAATTATGTGGATAATTTAAATACTAAGTATCAGCATATCGTATTGACATTTATAATTACTAAGAAACAGTGTATCATATTGACAGTAATAGATAATGATCAAAACTCACCTATTAGATCCTCCCAAGTCTTTGCCTTGTTGCCCTTCAGTGACACCTGTGTCTCCCATGTTTCTGGGATTGGAAGTTTCATCCTCTTGCCAGCTCTCTCCTCTTCAAAAGTTCCTGGCAAACGACTCTGATAGAATGCTTCCATAGTGTCCGGGTATCTGGAAACACAAAATGATAATAATTTCTAAATATTCACAGATTGTTACTCTATATTTGTTTTCACTGATAAATTATATTTCCATGGCAATAATAACTCTGACCTCGAGAAAAAATAAAATAGAAATGGAGTGCCAATGGCTCCAGCTTGACTAATGTTCCTTAACAAAATCTTAACTCAAAAGCAATGCATAACATCAGTCAGGGAAAAACTTAATCTAAGGAAATTTCCTTAACTTATGTAATGCTTTCCTAAGGGCAATTAAAAGTTAATGAAAATTCATTAAGTTCAGTAACATTTTTGAAACTGGGGCCAGGGTGAGATTTTGTACACAAACAAATACAGTTGTTTCTTCTGAAACATCAACAGATGTGGGTTGTCTTATTACCAGGGTTAAGCAAATCATTGGCAAATTGCAATCAACATGAATACGGCAGTAGAGCCATTTCACATCAAAAAACAGTTTGATACTTAAACCAGCACATAACATTCTGTGTTTACATTGTTATTGAATAGTCCTTACTTTTTCCCAACCAGACACATGACATGCTCCACTGGTTCCACAATGTGAAGTTTGCGGATCAGTTGCTTCAGAGAAAATTTGGCCTGGGAAAGTTCCGCTTCGCTTTCCTTCTCATCGTAAATGATGTCACTGATCTACAGACATAACAAAGCAAATCTTTAAGTGATTTATACAAGGCAAATAAAAGAAAAAAATTGGACTCCTTAAACAATCATTTTTACAAAGCACTGAATTAAATATCAAACACTACCTCTAATTGGTTTTTTTTCTCTATTTTTCCCTGGGACTGAAAATAGAATTCCTTTACATACCAAACGCATGTGATATGAAAATCTTATCAACACTATCGTCAAAACATAACTGGCAACTGAAGAAAACTATGCTAATGTAGTTTAAAAATATAAAATTAGTTAACAGCCAAAGATAGCAAACATTCATATCTTAAATGATAGTTAACAAATCCCATCTCAAAGAAGCAGAAAATGTCTGTTAGACATGAATACATCAGCTCCCATGCATATATGAATAATTATTTGATGAATAAACAGAAAATGTGAACTCTGACCGTTTAACTTTGACTGATGACCACTTTAATATGATAAGATGTAAAGTAGATGTTATGACATAATGGAGAAAATATGAACCAATTCTGTTGAGAGGTTCTGAAGATATAACACTGATTCAGAAATGGACTTGACATGACTACCATTTGTAACACTGTAACTTCCCCTACCCCAAATAAAATGGTGCAGTCTTTAACCTTAAGGATAATAGATATATAAAGCCTACTGTGACATGTACTTTAAAGATCCTCTACCTGTCTTCTCAACAACTCATCTTCAGAGTCTGAGTCTGAAGAATCAGAGGAGTCAGAATCAAATAGAGATTTCTTCTTCTGTTTTACTGCTTGTTCAGGTACTGTAAAGCCTCCACGACCTCTACCACGACCTCTGCCACGGCCTCGACCCCGTGGTTGACCTCTACCTCTTGAAGTGGAGGTGGAAATATTTTCATCATCTTTTGTCTTCTTTTTCTTCTTTTTCTTTGAACTATCCTTGTTGTATTTTGCTGTAACAAGAATGAAGTCTTGAAAAGACTCTGACTGATTCATAAAATAAAGACTTTAAAGACTAGGCTGACATACTGAACAAAGAGTTTAAAAGACAAAGACTAGTTTGCAGAAAAAAAAACTTTAAAAGACACAGACTGGTTAATAAAAGAAAGACTTTAAAAGACAAAGACTGGTTCATAAAATGGAGGTTTAAGCCTTAGTTCTATAAAGTTAATTGCTTCCTTTAACTATTATTATTCCCTTTTTCAATAACATATGTTGTTGTTTGGAGTTTTAATGAACTTGGATACAAAATACACAGTTAATAAATCACACATATCAAATAGTTAATGTTAAAGTTAACTAGATGATACTTGTCAAACTTAACCAATAGCTCTTGTTAAAGTTAAATGGTACTTGTCAAACTTAACCAAATAGTTCTTTTTAAAGTTAACTAGATGGTATTTGTCGAACTTAACCAAATAGTTCTTTTTAAAGTTAACTAGATGGTATTTGTTGAACTTAACCAAATATTTCTTGCTAAAGTTAAATGGTACATGTCAAACTTCAAACAAATGATACTTCTGAAACTTTCTTACTTGTCAAAATGACCAAATTAATACTTGTCAAAGCTATCTGATTGTACTTGTCATATTTACATGAATGGTGCTTGTTAAACTAACCTGATTAACTAAGCTGATGGGGACTGGTAATTGTTTAACTGACTTAATTGGTACTTGTCAAACTTACCTGCTTTATAACAATTAAACTTACATAAGTTGTCAAACTTACCTAATTGGTATTTGTCAAAATTTGGAAATTTTGTGATCATAACCTTCCTGAGGGCAGCTGGAATAGCTCCCTGGCCGATGGTTTTGTCGTGGAATGCCTGCGAATCACTCAAAATTTGTAGTCCTTCCAATAAGATATAACCATTCCACAAAGGTAATGTTATGATATAATAATAAAAATAATAATATAATAAAAAAAAGGTTTTGACATTGTTAAATCATGAAAACAGATCACATTCATCATCCTTCGAAGTTATGTTTTGTAGTTCCAAACTGCCAAAATATTTATATTCAATGTTCAATGAAATGTTTTTTAATCATGTATCTTAATTGACCTTATAGTAACTGAATTAGGTTTGATTTAACTACAGATGTACGTACCTGGTAGATCTCAGCTACCTCTATCCAGTCCGAAGGCAGGGCAATAGACTGGACATAGTACTTTTTGAGGTAAGGTCTACAGGGGCGAACATTTGCTGCCATTGCTAGAAGGAAGTTTGCAGTGGTACGGATGTTGAGCTGCTTCCTAGTATACAAGGCGACCTGAAAAACACATCAGATCTATATGTGACAAATTTTCATGTCAAATAGTTCTGTTAGCAAATTTTGGAGGGAAGAATATCAAATATTTGATGTCAACTAGGAGAGTGAATATATTCCCTTATGAAAATTTGATAATTTATTGGGAATTGGGGCCATTATATATTCCATTAAGTCCTCAGATAATTCTTTGTATCTGATCAGTAATGCTTATCACTGACCTTGAGGATAAACTCTGGATCATACGGCACAACTCTTTCAGCCATAGCACTCAAGGATATTCTGGTCAAGTCCTTGGAGTTTCTAAAATTTGGCTGACAAATGAGGGATCCACTTACAGCATTAATGAAAGCCAGCTGTAAAGAGAAACAACAATTTATATTGTGTGTACTTTGTAAAGGTAATCATATATATTATGTGAACATTTATTGTTACAATGATGCAGTTCTATTGTTTACATTAATGAATTAATCGTTCCTCTTAGAATATTTATGTTTTATCTTTGTGTAACAACAGATGCATTTTTCTGTGGACAACAATAATCTTTCATTTGTTGAACCCTAATTTGTATTCAATACCATAAAACATTAATATAACATAAAAATTAGTAGGTCTAAAGGCAACAAGCCATGACATTTCTGATAGAAATGACTGGTTCTGGTTTAATCTTTTACACCTGAAAGCTTAACGAACATATCAATAATTCCCTACCTTCATTCCATTGACATCATGGAGAGGTACCTGAATCCTGTTCAGGAATGGATCTTTGTCTACCTCCATAAAATCATCCATAACCGGGGTGTCCATTGAATTCTTGAGCACCTTACTAAGGTCATACTCTGGTGTCACAATTTTGTACCGTTTCATTGCCAGCATCTGCATCTGTTCTTCAGTAATTATCCCCTTAGATTTAGACTTTTTGGATTTACCCTTCTTCGCAGATGCTTGGTCATGTGACCTTTTTTCTGGACTCTTGCTATGTGAAAGCTTTGTGGCACCTGACACCATATTTGTGGACAAACCTGATGTATTAAGCATCGAAGACTTTTCAGCAGAAGATTGTTGACAGAGTAAGCTTGAAGTACCCGTAACAATAGATCCATGGGACAATGAAAAACCTGTTGATAAAGATCCAGTCAAAGAAGATTTCCCAATCAGTGTTGTTGACACCTGAGGATTTGGTGGAGTCTGGAGTTTGGATAAGCCATTTGTCATTATAGATGTCTTAGAAGTTGACTGGCTCCTGAGACTATAGGTAGAGAGGAGTGAACTCTGTCCTGACAGACTCAGCCCACCTACATTACTCTGAAGACTCGAGGTCTGCAGGAGAGAACTGTTTCCAAGGTTACCTGACAGTAGAGATGGTGTCGTCTTTAAGCAACTGTCTTCCAGCTTGTTTTTCTTCTTTTCAGCGACAACTGTCTCTGTTGTGGGGATCTTATGCTTTCCTCGTTTGCCATAATCAGAAGAGGATGTTTTTGACTGTAAAGAGGACAAGAGCCCAGACTGCAATCCTCCTGTCAATGACAGCCCAGAAGATTTCCCTCCTGTCAATGATAGCCCTGAAGATTTCCCTCCTGTCAATGACAGCCCTGAAGAACTCCCTCCTGTCAATGAGAGACCTACAGGAAATAACGATCAAGGTTTATTCACATCATCAGATTATCAAGGTAACCAACACTTAATTAGACAGTGTACTTTTGGCTATAATCTGTTTACCAACTTGTTAACACTATTTTCAACCTTAGTGTAATTAGAATTATAGTACAGCCAAAAATGTTGGTTAATTCTGTACCATCTTGTACACTATGTACATCAGTGCTAGTACACTCCACATTGGTCATTTGTCTGATGATAGTGGCCATGTAGTTATCAAAATGTCACACTCTAATCTTCTACTGATTATGTTATAAGAATTTCTATTCTGTTGTAATGATCAGTGAAACACCTGCAAAAAGGGCACTGGTTATGCAGTTCACATCAGTATATCTATCATAGTTACAGACATATGAGTACCTTTTAAGGCATATGTTAGAGGTTACATCTTTACTTTTATTATAGGGTATCTGTTTTTTGGTGTGTTTTTTTTTAGGGCATCTGTGTTACGGGGCACCTCATTAGAGTACTCCTGTACTTCTGTTGATTATAAATATTCTATATCTGTTATAAGACACCTGTATATATGGGGAACTGACATGTACAGGTACACCTGTCCTCTTTGTATATCTGTTGAAAGACACCTTTGTATAAGGATGCCTGTCATTATTGCACACTGCTATGACACCTGTATACAAAGGGCACATATGTCATAAATCATTGTACAGTTATTGTGAGGAAACCTGTGTATTGAGGGCATCTGTTGCTATGGACATAGCATTATGCCTGTAACAAGACACCTGTGTATTGAAGGCATATCAGTAATAATAAGACACCTGTAAGGCTGTATACTGAAGGCATCTGTCTCTATAATAAGACACCTGTCTATTGTGAACAGTACTTGTAAAATTCAGTGTGCAAATCAGTCCAGGTAATAATTTTTAAAGAGAGGTATTTAGATACATACCAGAGGAAGGCTTCACTGACCACTTGGATAAAAGACTGCTGCTTGATGTATCCATAATCGTGAAGAATTCACACCGACATAATAGTCAGAGGCTAAAAAATACAAGGTTGTTCAGCTTGAAATAGATATGTTTACATTTGTTTACTGAACTACTAGGCTATGTTTTTTTTTTTTACTTTTATTTTTTTTTCATTCCATCTTGTGCGTCTACAGCTAGAACCTTTATTCTATTGTTACTAATGAGAACAGGAGTTATAAGCCCAACCAACGAGATGTCAACGATATCACAGTTAGGTGGAAACTTGTTACAAATAGATACATTGATTGTAAAGTCTATTCCGGCCGGTCAAATATCGTGCATCCTACTTACCAGATAACTTTGCTTTGGTTAGAACTTATCACTGCACATAGAATATCCGAGAAGAAATGCTAACACGTGCGTAAACTGTTATTTCACAACGAATGCAATAGTTTTCGTCAGGACAAGTTTTGTTACACTCAGCACTTCCTGCTGTTATACGAAGATGAATACCGAGGTTTGTTTACCGTCTGTCATCTTTCGGAACACCTTTATTACGTAGCTTGAATCTAACCTTTTTATTTATCTACCGTAACTGTGTAGACGAACCAGACCATAGACTCCTTAATTTTTAGTTAGGCCAGTGAATTCGTAAATTTAGTTTTAACAATATTTTCATTCGATGATACTTATGGGATGGGAAACAAACTTAGAGCTTATATAAATTCCTACTACAAAAGTAAAAGTGACTAAAATCAAACTGGCATGAATTATTTGGTAAATTACTCAGTTGTTAATGCTATCTATTTAAAGATTATTTTTCTTCTGCGATTTGCTAAAACGATATGATGTATCAATATTCAGTTGCATTTTGTTTTATAAATATCAGAGGTTAACAGAAATTATTTGTCACAAAAGTATGCAAAATCAATTTGAAAATTGTTAAGCCTTCTGCTAGGCCTACTGTTTATTTTTTTTAAAGATTACTAACGTACATTTTGAGAAAAAATGGTTTGTAAATACATAAAGTCTACTGTAGTTAATTCGAACTTCGCAAAATTGTCATGAGAGATAACTGGGGTCGCTGGGGTTGAAGCTGCAAGAAAAGCGCCGTTTGTCTTTTGAGATGGTCCCGGATGAAACTTGCTCAGATGCCATAGTAAAAATTCCAAACATGTGCACGATGATTAAGGAAAATTTAAACAATGACAATATGGTTATTTTTCCAAATAATTAAATAAGAAGCGTCTGTAATAAAATGTGCTTGTTGCTTTTAAATACCATCGTACTTTCGAGATCGAGCTGAGATCAAATATGGCCGCCAATTTCAAAACAACAACAAAAATGGAATATGTGTCTGTCAAATGAAACATCCCTTAAGATCAAATGGATACAAAGGTACATACAATTTCTGTATTTATTGTTATATGATTCTATATTATATGCTATATCATAAGTTGTCTATGTCTCCGTTTGAATATGAAGAATTACAGCGAGTAACAAGTCTGCGACACAATCATAACATGTTCATTCCTGCCACCCGCGCTGCTTGCGCAGTGTTAGATTTCCGTTTGTCGTGTTTATACTTGGTGAATGTGGTTTGAAGAATTCATAAATTGGTAAGTTTTCGAATTTGATGCATTCTGAACATAATCATATCAACATTTGTGATGTGCAAATATAGATATGGTTCGTTATATGCATCTCTCAGTTTATGATAGTTAGAAAAGAAGAAAAAAACTCATAACTTGTTCAAATTAATGGTTTATGGACACAGAATAAATGCATATTGAAAAAGTAAAGTCAATTTGCATGATCTAGAAATACATGTCCAAGTATACATCGAAATAATATTTCGCACGTGCCTTTAATGCATACGTGTAGATGCTTTTTAAGTAGGTTTAATGCAAGTCGTTTCTTTTCCCTTATAGGACCATTATCATGACTACACTGATGTAAAGTTAGGCTGTTCTGATGATGTGACCACAGACATTGCATATTCTGCCTTACCACAGTTCATAAAAATGGATGGTGCAGCACCTGGTCAACACAACCAGGTAATATAACCGTGATGTCAAGATATGATGCATTTTAATTCAGACAACTACTTATACCACTGACACTAACAATGAGATCTTGTTTATAAACTTTGGCAAATGGTCTGTTATAAACTGAGATGAATTCTTTTGAATTTGCCAAACCTAAATTGGTGTAATAAAAATACAACTCCCCCCACCCAAAAAAAAAAAAAAAAAATAATAAAAAATTGAATTGAAGAATTAAATTTAATGTTTCATGACCTTTGGCAGATGGTCTATTATGAACTGAAATTAACCTATTTGTATCTGTCAAAGCAGCCACCTTGATAGTTAAAATACAAAATATGAATCAAAGTAAATGTTTGAAATGGTCAGGGAAAGTCACAACGATTTGTGCAAGACTATAAAGAATATTCCGAATGTTCATAGAATTTTGTGGTCCATATACTGCAAACCTGTTGAGAAGACTTCATGCAAGCCTCACAGTTTGTTTGTTGGATTTTATTGCCCTTTGAACAGCCAGGGTCATTTTGAGGCAGGAGTCTCCATGTAGTAGCTAGCGGCTACCTCACTGGACAGCATATAGGAGACCTGTTGCATGCCATCCAGAACATTAAGGGTAAAATTGAGTTACATCAATGCTGTACAGACTGAGCTATCCTAGCAGGCATACTTGGACAGTGTCATATGATATGTGGGGGAAGTGAATCGTTATAAAAAGTTAAAACTTTTTGATGCAAAAGGTGATTGGTTAAAACCATTAGCTGTCCCGCCTTCCATAAAGGTTGAAAAATATATCTAATATGTATTTATACAGACGGGGTCTACCAATGACAGTGGAAGGGATGACAGCTCAAACCAAGTGTCCTCACCGTCTGCTCATAGAGGTTTTTCTTCTGATGAAGGATCAGGATGGCGATCAGAGACAGAAACCTCAGATGGTGAGAGCAATGTTATATGCTTTACTTGATAGATTTTATCAAAATGTTTCCAGTTTGGGTCTACTTATCAAGATTTATTGTGTACAGCAAAGTTTGGTAATTGAAAACTTCTCATGTACTAGATACATGTACATTTTAGTTGATGAATTGATGCTAGCTGTTTAAATGCTGTTTTCCAGTGGAAAACAAATTTAAAAAGATAAACTTCTTTGTTGTTTTCTGTATTTGCTTGATTGTTACAATAAAGTAAATGTGAGAGTAGAATCCACTACATAATATATATGTATCTATTTTGATTGGTCACCTATCTGATATTATTTGTTTGTTACAGGTAACCTAAGTTTGTCACAGTACCCATTAGATGACAAATCTGGATATGACTTGGTTCATGATGGTGGCAGCGTTAACGGTGAAGCCTTATCCACTGCTATAACAGAAGTATCCAAGGACTTTATCTCTGGGAATTTCTCCCCTATGAGGTGCACGATGGAGTCTGGAGACAGTGACAGCAATTCTGATGGGGATCATAAGGGGCCTGCTGGAGACCCTAGGGGAGCTGTTTATGCTAATTACCCAGAATCTGCCACAGGAATGTCTGACGTTGAATGGAATCCATATGAGTCTGATTATAATCCAGAACCAACACCAAGGTCAGCTGATGGTGAAGGTCCAGCCCGGAACCCAATACTAGACACCATGGCCTCAGTAAATGCACATAGAGGCAAGGACTCCGGGTACAATACCACACAGACTGTCAGCACATTGTCTAGTGGTTTACCAAACAACGACTGTGCTACCATTGCTAAGTCAGGCTCTGATACTGGGTCGGGTGAAGACTCGGACAAAACTAGTGGATCTTCCCAACCCACTACTCAGCAGTTCTATGCAATATTTTCTGATCAGAGCCGTGATGGAGGGATGCAGGTGCCAGGGGTGCAAGGTTTTGAAGGTCAAAGGTTAACTAGGAGAGACTCAGGAGAGGCCCTACCTGAATTTAGATCAGAAAGTGGAGAAAGGAAGTCTCAGATGCCTACTTTAGTATTGAGGAGATCAGTGGAGAATGATAATAATTCTGATGATAATGTTCACAGATCTCAGGGTTCTGATTTAAAATCATTTCAAGCCAGTTCTACGTCTGACTCCAGAATGGTGGACATCAAACGTGGTGATTCTGATTTGAATGATGCTCCCAAACAATCTTCATCAGCATCTGACTCAAAAAAAGGATCAAAAATAAGAGATGTTGCCTATGTTCCAGTGCTTGACAGAGAATGGCTGATTGGCCAGCCTGCAGGTAATCCAGAACCACGGGAAACAGAAAACATAGTTCAAAGTGGAAGTTCGGCAAATGTTCATCAACAGATAACTGCAGATACTGCCACCACAACTCACGGAACTGAACCATTGTCCTGTACTGACATGTCACAGCGTGTCGCCAAACTTCTTGATGATGCCAGTTCATTAGGAGCTACACTTCACAAACAGTTGTACAACAGAGAGTCACTAGGCCTAGGTGAAGGGGATCATCATCAAAAAGATGGACCATCACTGGAGCCGAGATTGCAGGGAGCCAAGGATAGACCATTGCCATGTTCATTAGAATCCAGACCACCCCCACCTCCGTACGATGTAGTTCAGGCAGAGAGAAAGATCGATGAAGTGAAAGAGAACCTGGAGAACCAGTCTCGAAGTCTTGGGTCATTGGGATCAAATGCAGAAAATTTATCAAAGTCTGAACAGAGTATGACCTCGTCCCTGGGTGAAGAAGTGGCCAAACTGCTAGTGAAGGGGGATTCCACAGGGACAGGCAGTCTGAAACTTGACCTGAAATCTGTCACTGAGGAAAGGGACCTAAGTAATGAGAGTGCTGCTGAACTTGAGTCTTTGCAGCGCTACTACCGACAGGAGAGGGAGACAGAGAGACTTCTTGAGGAAACACGTGCCCGTCTCAACTCAGATCGCAGTACAGATTCAGCAGACTCTCTGGGTCAACGAGTGCAGAATGTTTTAGCAAAAACAGCCTACGTGGAAAAAATGCAGTATCCACCTCTTGAACAAGCACGACATACAGATAAAGCATATAGTGGTGTCCAAAATCCTGCACACATAGACTATTCACTGTTACAGAGGGACTTGCAGGACATACAGAACAGCCTTAACCAGCAGGTCGGGGAAGAGGCCTACAATAGCCATGCTCCCAGATCCAGAGGTGCTGACATGGACAGAAGTGGTGAAAGTTTCTCCTCAAATCCTGAGAGTGCTAGAAACCGTAAACTTCTCTGGGATCATGCAGCAGACTTTGGGATCAATGTAAGTGGTGCAGGTGTGTTCCTTGGGACTATGAAAAATGACACTGAGACTGAAACTGATACTTTAGGTCTGACAGCTTTAGGGGAATCCAGACCCAATACAGATGATGAGAGGCCATCCCCTGAGCAGGGGCGTAGGAAGGTAGATATTGTAGGTGATCAGCTTGATTCTGAATCGGAGCTTGACAATGGTCAACCCAGAACTCTTGCTCCAGATGTGGAGGAGATCATAAGAAAATACCAGGCTAAAAATGAAGAAAAAGATGCATTGGACAACTCTGGTTTGGCAAGTCGAGTTTTCACCATTCTCACGAAGGAACCACCACAGAAACAAGTATTTGGTATCCTGGAGGAGGCTATGCAGCAGGAACGTGTGATGATGGAGAGGATTGCCAACCGACCTAAGATGGACTCTAGCTATGACAGTTATGAATCCCCAAATGGCAGTTTTATAGTTCGAGACAGAGACATCAAGAAACAATTGGAGTGGTCACAGATGAGTTCTTTAAATGGAAGTATGCATCCAGACAAAACAACTGCATCAGAGTTGTCTTTCTTGAAAGGTGGCAAGCATGCACCTTTCAATGCACTTGGGAATGCAGAAAAATACCTGTCATCTCAGATACAGAAAACCACAGATCGCACATTTGACCACAGTATAAATCTGCGTACGCCATATCGTCAGGTCATTGACTGCTACCCTGTGTATAGAGACAATCAAAGGCAGGCAGATCCAGGTGTCCCCAGAGAAGCTTGGCCAGATCAGGGGGAGAGTCGAGGAGATACTGAGAGCAAGGATGAGGAAGTTTACCATGAACTGAAGCCGTCTCCAGCACGGCCTCCTAGGGAGCTGGATCTTAAAGACACAGTTACACCACAGCTTGCCAAGTAAGTTTTTAATGAGTGAATTCCCTACCGGCTAGTATATATAGAGATGGAAATTGGATGAATACCATATTGTTCCCATCTCCTGCTGTCTGCACATTTTGGTAATTAGGAAAACAACTTAGATGACTCAACTTATATAGCTTTTCTCTTTAAACACAAATAGATTTACAGTAGTTTATATTATTCTGTATTTTTGTAATTTGTGTATGAATGTTTTCGATCTGAGAGTAGACAGTCACAATCAGTAGTGATATATCTTTCATTAGTATAGTTAACTAAAATAATGGAAACATAAAAAGAATTCTTAAACATTCTCATGTGCACTGTTATTTTACACTGTGAAGTCATTTATGTCTTTTTATTTACATTTCATTTTCTCATTTTAGCAGCCTTTTGAACTTTTTTGTTATGACACACTTTTTAATCATCAATGTTCACACTCGTTGTTGTAATGTATCACCAATATAATTTGTAGGATTTGATATTTAATTCATTTTTCTTAAATGGAATTCACATAATTTCACTTCACAATAAAATGTGAGTAATTAATTTATTTGTAAATGATAAACTAGAGCCTATGGCATTTCCATCACATCATATTCGTTGTCAACATTGAACTCACAACAGCAGTTCACTGCACATTCATCTGTTCACAGCGCTCAGTACATACATCACTTCACATATCACTTAATATTTCAAGTAGAAAATTGTCAGTTTGGATAAAAGAATCCTGCTCTGTATGTAGATCAATGATTATAACTGCAGACTTCTTGAGCTGCACTTTACCAATATTACATAGAATTCTTGTAGTAGATGGAATTTACTTAACAAGTTAGTTGATTGTTATGTGTTAATGATCTTCCTAGTAATATTTACAATTAACTAGATTGCATCCATTCCATTAGAGGGAGTTGTCTCCCATGTTTTCATCCGCCATCAAAATGGCACTAGACATATATTGTAAGGAGTAAGAACATGGCTGTCTGTGATTTCAGGTATCATGGTTAGTTTTTAAAGAAGGATTTAGGTTAATTTTATTGTGCGTTGAAGCACATCATTGATCTCATGATGAACATCCTAGTATTGGTATTCATGCAATTACTGATTTCTCTGATATAATTCACTGACTTTATCACATCACACCCTGTTTTATGAATGTTTTATCATGTGTTTTTCCCAAGTATGGCAATGTCTGGAACTAATACTCTCTTGTTATGTAGAGCTATAATTGACCTCAGGGGAAGCTACTCTAGCTTCATGTGTGAATATCATGTGAAATCATCACAGGAAAAAAGTTACGTTGGAATAAGTGCTGAAAATTTTAAGGTTTGCATTCAGAAATGTATATTTAAAAAATGATATCTTTATGACAGCAATAAAAAAAAAACCTAGGTATGTATTGTATAAACATGCAAACAGAGAAAAAACCTTAGATATATCTAATTGGTAATATTACAATTTAAATTGAGTGTAATTATTTGGATTTTTTAGGTCCAGACATTGAACATATCAAAGATAAATCACAGTTTTTGAATCACAGTTGTGTTGAGTGTGTTCCTGGAGTACATGGCATTATTTGGATGTCAAATAGTACATGTGTTTATGGCAACAGGGTGGACAGGAGGCTGGCATTACTTTTAGGAAATAGATTAATTATAAAATGATTCTGAAAAAAAATGCTTTGATAAAAGAATTTTAAAAAATAAGTAAAAAGCTTTCAGAGATCCCTAAAGATAAATAAATATGTAAATTGTTGATAAATGTGAACATTGAACTCACTCTATTTAAATGTTTCTTGTTTCAATGTAAATACCTCCCTAAAAGTGATCAGTTCATCAATATTAGGTAGTACATGACATTGTTCTTTTTATTGGTTGGGGGTTAAATTTTTCATATAACAAGCTTAAAAACTCTGTACACAAGTTTGGCTTGTATAAGTATGCATGTTTCTGTCATTTGCTTGTATATCAAACTTCATGTCACGGTTGGCATATTCCTACATAATTTTTGTAATCATATTTGCTGAAATTTCAATCTTGATAAATGAAAATGTTCTGCAACATTCATTATCAGTCACAGCTGTGGCTATTAATAACTTGGGTTTGTTTTGTAGAATTAGTATTTTATCAATGTTTCCTGTATATGATATATGATTGGGTTATGGAGCATTACACCAGTGTATGCTTTTATAATCTGCTGTTACACATTATCAAAAAACAGAACAAATACCCAAAATTGATAGTATGGGACCTTACTCAAAATTTCTGAAAAGCTTCTTCATTACTTAAATACAGAATGCAAAATTTTGGTTTAACGATCAAAATATCTGTATCCGAGAACCATGTAAGATACATGTTACCATTTAACTTGTACACTTACCTATTTAAGTGTCTTTTAACAAAACCCCATTTTCTAACCAGTATAAATCTCATTGAAATAAGCCTTATCGTATCCAGAGGGACTGCCCCTCACTGCCCTGTGTGCCACAGAGTGTATCCGCACCCCCTACCTTTCACCACCAATCCTGTTTTGCAGTGAACGTTTTTTTCTTAATGATCTGGACAACTGCCCAGTCCAGCAGAGAGACCAACAGCGACGATTGAGCGACCCTCGTGACCTCTCACCCGACTTCAGGATTAGTCCCGACAGGTACAGTGTGGCCATCAATTAGACACACAAAAAGATTATTGTTGAAAGTATTTGGCACCTAAAGAGTCCTACCTCAGTTATTGCAACACTTATTATCTAAAGAGCAAAGCTTCTGAAGAAATGTTTGAAAACTGTTTCAACTTTTTTGAAATATCAAAATTTTGAAATTTTAAAAGGGATATCCATTCAGAAAATAAGATGTTGTATGGATATTTCTTAGAGTAAAATACAGGAGTATTCTTTGGCCACTAGAGGGATGTTGATGGCAAGGAGTCATGTCTATGTCAACAATGTCCCTTCAGGTTTGATATACTGTACAGTATTAGAATATAGCCTATAGACTCCCAAACCTGCATGTTTTACCTCACTGCCCATTGTAATGCACTTTACCTAACCAAAATTCACCTCTTACTATGTATCCCTAATTCATCAGATAAACTTTATTATTCATTAAACAATTTATTGGGAATTAAGAGTAAAAAGGATTTCATTAGTCGTGAAACTTTGTTTTCTATTCATTATGATTATTGTATAGATCTTGTGTTCTGTGTATATGATATAATTTACCTGGTATATAATAACCATTATATAAATTGATTTGATTAATTTGCAATATGCACAGCATTACTAATTATTTAGATACTCAATATTCCAAACACTTAATAGATGAATATGTATATGTTTATATGTAGTCAATATTCAAAATGCTAATTGGACAAATCTGTTTATGTGTACATAATTGCTTCCTGTCTTATACATAGAGAATATTAACACATTAATGACTCCTACACAGCTCAACATCAGCAATCCTATAAAACCTTCAGTTGGTTTTAAGTTTTGTACTAGACATACATTTTTTTTCTATATTCTAATGCAGTGATTTGAATTTTACATTTTGTTACATTTTACCACCCCTCCCCCCCATACATATAGTTGATGCCTAATGCACTTTAAAAGTCTAGTATATATGTATGTATTTGGTTTTATACATTGTATTATGTGTATTTTCCTTATCATTACTGTAATGGATATATATCCATATAAAAGTGCTGTACAGTGTACATTCAGTCATCCTTTCATTGTAAAAATCTTAATTTTATACCTCTGGTGTGTTGTGTATATACTGTAAACCTGTGCAAATTCATATCTCAAGTATCAGCATTAATACCTCAGTGGCATTATATATAAAACACAGTGGCATTATTTGTTCCTCTGTAGCATTATTTATACCTCAGTGGTATTATTTGTACCTTAGTGAAAAGTTTTGTTTTCTGAGTGGCATAATTTGTTCAATACTTGCTTTATTGATACTTCAGTGGCATTATTTGTGCCTCAATGGCATTATTTGTTCCATAGTGGCATTATTTGTTCGATAGTGGAATTATTTTTACCTTTGTTCCATATTGGTATTATTTGTTCCTTAGTGGCATTATCAATACCTAGGTACCTTAGTAACATTATTTGTACCTCAGTGGCATTATTTGTTCCAAAGTGGCTTTATTTTTACCTCTGTTCAATAGTGGCTTATTTATTCCTTAGTGGCATTATTGATACCTAGGTGCCTAAGTGATGTTATTTGTACCTCAGTGGCATTGTATGTACCTTAGTGCATTATTTTTACCTAAGGTCCTTAGTGGCAATATGTATACCATAGTGGCATTATTTGTTCCTTAGAGACATTATTGTCACCTTAGTTGCATTATTTGTAGCTCAGTGGCATTATATATACCACAGTGGCATTATATATTCTTTAGTGGCTGTTTTTATACCTCAGTGGCATTATTTGTACTTTGATGGCAAAATTTTTACATCAGTTGCATTGTTTTTGCATTATTTATATAAAAGACACTTTTCATTTACAAACATCTTTTTAGAAATTGAAAAACTTTTGTATTCTTTGGCCTTTAAAAGTTTCGTTATGCAAAATCTCTTATTCTTTTACTGATGGTCTGTATTTAGGGAACGACATATCAGAAGTAGGTCAGAGGAAGCGGCACCGTTGAGTCGTGATGACAACACAACATCGCTGACTGACCGTAGACTCTCTTCATCACCTGCTGGGTAAGAGCTGTTTACATCAATAAAAATTTTAAGAAAATCTCAAAGTTTGCTTTAAAGCTTAGAAATTTCCATCAGAATTTGTTAAATAAAAGTTATATTTTTTAACAATGAACTGTTCTTCTGATAACTTAACCATGCAGTTCTTAACAAACTTCCTTCTTCCAGTAACTCTGGCATACTGTTCTTCACCAACTTCCTTCTTCCATTAACTCTGCCATGCTGTTCTTCACCAACTTCCTTCTTCCATTAACTCTGCCATGCTGTTCTTCACCGACTTCCTTCTTCCATTAACTCTGCCATGCTGTTTTTCACCTACTTCCTTCTTCCATTAACTCTGCCATGCTGTTCTTCACCAACTTCCTTCTTCCATTAACTCTGCCATGCTGTTCTTCACCAACTTCCTTCTCCCATTAACTCTGCCATGCTGTTTTTCACCGACTTCCTTCTTCCATTAACTCTGCCATGCTGTTCTTCACCGACTTCCTTCTTCCATTAACTCTGCCATGCTGTTCTTCACCAACTTCCTTCTTCCATTAACTCTGCCATGCTGTTCTTCACCAACTTCCTTCTTCCATTAACTCTGCCATGCTGTTCTTCACCAACTTCCTTCTTCCATTAACTCTGCCATGCTGTTCTTCACCGACTTCCTTCTTCCATTAACTCTGCCATGCTGTTCTTCACCAACTTCCTTCTTCCATTAACTCTGCCATGCTGTTCTTCACCAACTTCCTTCTTCCATTAATTTTTACATGCTGTTTTTCACTCACTTTTTGTATGTCTATTTTTCAGGGATGATGGTCGCCCGTCCAGCAGTAAGAGTGCCCGCCTGTCACGATCAGGGAGTGATCGTCAGGAGACGTATGGAGGCAACAGCCCACAACAAGGTCAGTAAGAACAAGAGCATGTCACCTATACATAGCTTAGTTATATTATCTTTATTATGTTGTATTATTTCATAGTTTGTTCTTCCCATTCCTGTCACTCTGTTCACAGAATTTGTAGATCAATCTCTTATAGTTTCTTACTAATTGCCAAAGTGGGTCACTTCTTTATTACCTTAATTTGAAAAAATATATTTAGTAGCATATTTACATGAAAGAAAGATTATGAAAGCATAAAGAAATAAGTTTGTGACCTTCAGTGACTTCAGTTTTTCATCTTGGCTGCTATCGTTATTTTCCATAATTGTTTTCATAATACATGTACTGTGAATAATAAAGAAAAAAACACATGTGGATGGTTGTTTAGATATAAATGTTTGAGGAGAAAGTGCATTTTTGTTTACTTTTTCCCAACTGTACCTCTTTACTAAGTTTTGCCAACAGTAGTTACTATAGGTTTCTTAGATTTTCATATAATTACTATACATGTCTTTACAGGAAAGTGTGGTCGAAATTCACTGAAAAATAAATTTGATAATCAATTAGATACTGGTGATATGGGAATGACCAAATCTCTCTTCCTAAATCAAAGATTTTAAGGGATTTCTCATTAAAGCTCAGAAGGAACTGACTGATCATGTATTTAAGAACTTGCCATCATAAGCAGTTCGGTGTTCTGCATTAAGGGATGGTGAACAAAAAAAGTCATTGCATTAGCTACAAAGCCAAGAGTTACCAACTAAAGTGCTTGGATCATCTAAGGATCAGGATTGATCTGAAGTCAGAATGATCATTGGAAATAACTGTGAAACAATTGCCATAGGTATAAAGCCTCACTGCATGCTCGGATAAATGGAAAGTTGATGATGTAAAGGGGGCCCTGTTCCCCCTAAAGGGGAATTGTGATGGTGAAATGACAAATGTTTTAAATACATGTGCTGAATTAAGTTTTAATAAAGTTTGAAGTGTTGTAAACTGTGTGCAACATTCTTTAGAAAATTGCATTCTACAGCAAACATTTGTTTACAGTGTTTATCACTACTATCTATGCAAATTACTTCATGAGTATGGCTGTCTCGTTGGAAATTAGTTATGTGCTAATTCACTGATAGTTATTTTCTGATCATAAGGAAGTCAATACACAAATTACAAAAGGAAGTTAGGTTTCTTAATTCTGAAAAGTATTACTTTGTATATTGTAAATATATGTATGCCTGAAGATGGTAGATATCAGTATGATATTGTGTTGTGTTTTCTGTTTATATCACCATCATCAGATGATGGGCTGTTCCAATTGCCCTGCTTCTGTGGTTCGTTGTCAGGATCTACCAGGCTATCCTGAAACAATTCTTGTTATTGCTATTTTTGGAGAAGTATTTGAAAGATCTTTTTCAAATTTCATATGTAAGGACCTCTTGGTCACTTTTTGAGCATTGTCCCATTTTCGGACTAATCTGAAAAACAACATGGCCAAGAGGTGGCCATCTTGGATTTTGGCAGTAATAGTTTGCTATCACTATTTTGGGAGAATTGCTTAATTTATCACTCTCAAATTTCATATGTAAGGATCCCTTGTTCCCTAGTTTGTACATTCTCACATTTTTAACTTATCTGAAAAATAACATTAAGGACAGGTGGCCTTCTTGGATTTTGGCAGTAATAGTTTGTTATTACTATTTTTGGAGAATTACTCAGTGAATGAATCATTCTCAAATTTCACATATAGGGACCCCTTGGTCTCTAGATTGTGCAGTATCCCATTTTCAGACGGACCTGTAAAACAATGTGGGTGACAGGGGTATATCTAGGATTTTGACACTAATAGATTGCAGATCACTCTTAGATTTCATATTAGATTCCCCTTGGTCCCTAGTTGTACAGTGTCAATTTTTGGATTGATTAAGAAAAGAAAATAGCTGGCAAGTGGCCATCTTGGATTTTGATTACTGGTATGAAAGTTTGTTATCACGTCTTGAGAAGATCTTTCCCAGATCTTATATGTAGATTCCTCTTGATCTCTTGTTGTGTGTGCCCCTCAGATTTTAGGACTGATCAGAAAACTGGGCAACCATCTTTGTTGTGGTATTTAAAAATTAATATTGCTTTTTCTTAAAAGGATTTTGAAAATTTCATATAATTAAGAGCAATATTAGAGGAAAGAGAGAAAAAAAAGAGAAAAGATTCAACTTTAAAGATCCACTTCAGGAAGCTGAAGAAGGCAGAAAGGCTTTGCTTTAGTCTTTTTATCGTTTATTATTGTTTCACAAAAGCTTTCTCTTTATTCTCCTGCATGTGTGTATATATATATATATACTTATATTGTGTATGCCAATGCTTACAATTATTTCAGCTCGTAGAAAGAAAAGATTCCGTCGTCATCACAGAGGTAGAGATGGTGTGTTAACACTAACATGTAACACTATTGTGTGTGAATATGTGCATGTTAATTATTGAGTGCTTGTTTTAGACTCACCACAGATTCTTTAAGCTAACTTGGAAACAAGGAGAAACTTGTAGAAAAGTTGATTTTAATAAATGGGCTGAGAAGACAAATTTATGAATTTCCTGTGTTACCCATTTCATGGCTTCAAAATCAGAGAAAAAAACTTTAGGGCAACATTGGAAAAAGACTGAATATTATCTTATAATTCAATAACTGCCATCTTTATTACTCCTGTGAATTTGTTTTTGCTAACACACAAGAAAATAGTAAGGAACCATTGCATCAGAAAAGGTTAAATGATTACCCCAGTAGATAATTGATTACATCTAATCACTGTCCCATCACTAGCTTATACAGTAACTAAGATCATGTATTGGAACACACCTGACATTTGTTATAAAAGACCATAGCAGTTCTGTAGAAACTCCACTTAAGTCACCTCACTCAGCCACAATGTGGAATGCACAAGGTTTTTTTCCCCAGTCTGCACAGTTAGTGTATTTATCCTGTGATAAGCCTGCCCTAGCTGTTACTGTTCATTATCATAACTCTAATTCAGAGACCATGATAATGTCTTATATTATACAGATTAACCCTATATCTACAATATCACTTAAATAGTTCTGATTCTTCCGATCAACTATATATATCACAGACCTAGAATGGAAGTAGTACCTAAGAAATTGTATAAGAAGATAAAAATTAATTCTGTGGTCTGTATATAATTATAGGTGTGCTATTTACATGTGCGTGTTCTAACTATTTTGATATTGGTTTTCCACTTTAACTTGTTTCTCATCCATTTTTTGTAGCATTATGCAACACAATATGATCAGGTCAGAAATTAGTCATAAGTGATGTGTAAGATATTAATTGAAATTGAAATTGAGAAATAGAAACATTAAATTTTTATTGTATAATTGATTTAATTGTAAGGTTGTTCAGTTGGGAGACTTATTGTAAATGAAATTTAAATTGATACATTATCTTTAAATGAAGACCAAGTGTCCTTAATCATAAGATCAGCTATCTCCCGACTTCATATTTACCTGTTCAAAATCTATTAACAGTATCGGAAGATAGATTTCACTCTGCCATTAGGCAAGGTGTAAATTCAATTAAATGTAAATAAAGAGTGAGAATTGGGTAAGAACAAAAAAAGGAGAGAAATTGAGTCAATAAACCTGTATGGTTATGTGACTTTTGAACATTGAGTAAGAGGAGTCCTGTTGTTTCTAAAGGAACTCTAGCAAATGACTCAGCACAGCTGGTGGACATGCATAATTAAATATAGTGTGAGATACAGCTAGGACTCAAGAAGTTAGGTGTTAGTACCTTCAAGGTATCAGATATTGATCTTGATTGACAAGACAGTCACTGCTGTCAGATGTCAGGGAACTTTTAAGTGTAATTATTAAGGATATATGATACACAAGTCATTTATTTAATGTCTCCTTCATTAAAGAGTTCCATGCTGAAAGGAACCTGTAAGAGAACTTTCATCAATGATAAATCATCTTGATATTTTAGAGATTTTATATTATTTATAAAACCAAACAGAAAAGTTGAATCTAGAAACAAAATCCTCAACTATTCTTCTGATTACAACTGTAGAATACCACAGTATGTGATATATGCTACGGAATAGGTACACTACTTTATAGTCTAGAAAATGCTATTCCCTATTAGTTTGATCACCACTGTCCTAACTGCTGACCACCACATGATCGATCTAAATCCAATGACCATTATTGTCCATTTATTGATGTTTTGTTGGGTTTTTCCATAGAGGGTAGTCCATCCAGTAGTGGAGGTGTCATTTCACCTGATGACTCTGACAACAGCTCACGTCGCCGGGAGGGTTCAAGGCTCCGGCCATACAGGTAAAACACCTTTACCACAATGTATTACAAATAAACCAGATAAATAGATCCTTTTCCAGTCAAACAGGTAAAATGCCATATAAACCTGTGTAACAATAATCTTACCCCAGACTCAAACAAATTGATCCTTCTTCAACTGTTCAACACCTTAAAACCTTGTGTAACCAATATACCCCATCACATGACTAGAGAAATGGACTCTTCTTCAACTGTTGAACACCTTAAAACCTTGTGTAACCAATATACCCCATCACATGATTAGGAAATTGTCCTTTGAAGCCAGCATTAAATGACAGAGATGGTATTTAATTAAGCAAGTGTTGATGACTCTTGGAAATGAAGCTGGTATTTAATTAAGCAAGTGTTGATGACTATTGGAATAACAGACTGCATGAAAGCATTCACAATAGGGTATTGAAGATGTGGGATGTTACCCTGACAGACTGCATGAAACCTCACCATATCCACAATACGATGGAGATAGGGTGTTGCTGTACTCCCTTTACCATGGTATACTCAATTTCACCTGTCATATGTAAGGAGGATCAACATAATTTGATGATATACCTTGAAGCAATGCTAGTATTGTCATTGTTAAATATCGGTAGATTTAAGATGCTCGTGTGATTTCTCCACCACAAGGGGATGAGAATGCTGCAGAAAAAATTGGTCATGGTCATGTTACTTGTCTATGATGGCAACAATATCAGGAACTATCTCTGTAAGATCTCAAGGTTAACTGTTTGTGACCTTCACACGGTGATGTAGTTTGGGAGCATAAAGAAGATATTTGTTTTGGAGCATCAATGAATGTGAGATTTTCTCTATAAAAAGGAAATTTTTGTGGAGGGCTTTTATCAGAAACTAGAGTTGTAACAGAATATTTAATGTGACATGATGTGTAGTCTACATCGTTGGGTGCAGTCTGAGAAAGACAGGTTGACCTCTCGTGACCTTGACCTCATGTTTGATATGATGGATTGGGATATGATTTACCACCTAATGTATGTATATGGAAAAAATTTTTTGATGGAAGTAGTTGACAGCAGTAAAATTTTGAGATATAATACATGCATAAACATTTTTTAGATAACATTGATATATAACTTGATATTTTAGTAGAACTCATCCAGTATTTTTATTTGTTTTCATTAATCTTCTTAATCAGGACACTTCTGTTCCTGAAAATTGTTTCACATAATGAAATCTCTTAATTAAGTAGTAAGTATTGTATGTTGATGTGTCTGACAGACCGTATGGGAGTCGTGATCTATATTACACTGAAGACCATGACGACTCTGGGTCTCTAATGGACAGTATTGCCACGGTGGAGAGTACACACACAGGTAAGTGACTTTAATGCTAGTGTAGAGTTTCTGTCCACATCTCACCTTGTTAGGTACAGTAAAACATGTCTATTACAAACAGAAGTAGGAGCTCTTGCTGTATTATAAACAAATTTACTATTCTGCATGAAACCCTCTTAAGCTTATCAGATATATGGATCCTACAAATTAGCATCATGTTTCAATTTCTATAAATGGAAACGCTGCAAATATGTAGCTGTTTGGATATATATGGTCAGAGCTAAACAATGCTTGAACAGCTTGCTGTTCAGTGTCAACTAAATACCTGTTTTTTATGACAGTTCACATTATGCAGCCTTTTCATATATCCGGAGCTGTTATAAGGATGTTAAATCCTGCACAAAGGTCATATCAAAGATCAAAATAATGATAATCCAATAAGATCAGCTACATTCAGGTCTATAATGAAACATGCCTATAGGGTCAGCAGAAGTTATTACATCCTCGTGTACTTTCTCTACATACTTAACAGGCCACTAAACAGACAGATTATCTAGTGTTTATTGTAGAAATGTTTTACTGTAATAGTTTGAAATGCAATGACCTTCAATTAGCACAAGTTCAATTTTAATACCTTAATTTTTCACTTTGGTAAAGCATGCATATATCTTTTGCTTAATCTTCTTATGAATACAACAGTGTATTTAAAATATAGATTATAGTTGAAGGTTTTGATCATAAAAAGCATGAAGTCCTGTCTCTTTTATCAGCATCCTTTTCTTTGATAATTAGTTTCTATCTTGCATGTATAACTATATGAGCTGGTATTATATATTCCAATGCCAATCTTTTGCAGCTGTAAATTCTACCATGGAAAGTTCTCACTCAGGTGAACCTCCCTTTTTGTTAAACCTGCCACCTGTGTCTCCTTATTTACCTGCCATTCTCACAAACTTCTAAGCATTCAACTGAGACAACATGTTAGATGTATTTGGCTCTACCTCTCCTATTTAAGCTTTTATAGTTTCATTGCAATTGATCAAGGCAAGCAACAAAAGAGATCTCATATTTTCTCACAGTATCAATTAGCCTCTAGGGTATCACTGCAAGGTTTTTTTAACTTCTTTATGAAATTACACACAGCATTTTCACTTACTGCTGTCTCATCCAATATCTTATAATAGAAACTGCAAATCGATAGATATGTAGTCATAAAGGTGCGTAAGATTTCTTGCATGATGATGATACACCAAAACATCAGGAAAATATGTGGTACTTAAAATTTGGCTTACCTTCACCTGTGTACGTGTCTGTAATACATATATATATATATATATATATATATACAATGGTAGATATGTTGCTAGATAAGTTCTGTATCACTTGTATAATATCTTCCTGTTTCCTTCCTGGCGTAACTTTTCCTTTTCTTCCATTACATGTGAAAAACTTCCTTATAAGATTTATATTGATTATACAACCCAGATCAAATGTCTCTCTGAGTTTTGTTTTTTATCTGATTTCTTCTGAAATTCTGGATATTTCCCAGCGAAGTTCTTTCTTATTCCCTTATACCAGTGTCCTGTGTTAATGAGGTGAATCATAGTGATAGGTGACTATAAGGTCTCAGAGATTCTAATTCAAAGTCTGCACAATGTATACATTTTTCTAGGTATTTTCTGTCATTTTAGAGAGTATTGTAAACAGAAATTTCTATAGTGTCCATTAAACATGATACTTTGTACGTATATCATATTTCATTTTTGAGTACCATATTTTCGAGAATCTAAATTTTCTGTCATGATCTCTTCAAGTTTAAAATTCTGAGATAATCAACCTTTAAACCAGTAGTGCAGGTATCTGTATTTCTGTGTATCAGGGAATCATTATATCATGAGTGATGGTTAGTATGAATCTTCTGAGTTGGTTAAATTTCCTTGTTTTAATTCCAACCAAACGTTTTATCATTCATTTCAAGTAAGATATTTGTTTGTGAGATGTGTAATTACATCGTGTTATATTCATTGATTGTATGAGTGTGATCAGAAATGTGTGTTTATATCTGGTTCTGCTCTGTGTTCTCTTATTATTGCAGTTCTCTGGCAATAAGCCCATGCGTAGTATTAAGCCCTGTCACATATGTTGCTGTCAAGTAAATGCTTTGTCATAGTCCTATAATAAACCTACCCGCTGACCTTGAATTTTGATATGATATATTTCAGTTTTAGAAATCTATGCTATTTCATTATTCTGTAATAAGCCCGCCCCAATATGTTATTGTTCAGTCAAGTTATAAACCATTGTTATTTCATTGTTCTGTAATAAGCCCACCCACATATACTGCTGTTCAGTAAAGTTATAAACTAACGTTATTTCATTGTTCTGTAATAAGCCCGCCCAAATATGTTATTGTTCAGTAAAGTTATAAACCAATGTTATTTCATTGTTCTGTAATAAGCCCGCCCCAATATGTTATTGTTCAGTAAAGTTATAAACCAATGTTATTTCATTGTTCTGTAATAAGCCCCCCCCCCCATATGTTATTGTTCAGTAAAGTTATTGTTCAGTAAAGTTATAAACCAATGTTATTTCATTGTTCTGTAATAAGCCCGCCCCAATATGTTATTGTTCAGTAAAGTTATAAACCAATGTTATTTCATTGTTTTGTAATAAGCCCCCCCCCCAATATGTTATTGTTCAGTAAAGTTATAAACCAATGTTATTTCATTGTTCTGTAATAAGCCCGCCCCAATATGTTATTGTTCAGTAAAGTTATAAACCAATGTTATTTCATTGTTTTGTATTAAGCCCGCCCCAATATGTTATTGTTCAGTAAAGTTATAAACCAATGTTATTTCATTGTTTTGTATTAAGCCCGCCCCAATATGTTATTGTTCAGTAAAGTTATAAACCAATGTTATTTGTATTGTTCAGTAAAGTTATAAACCAATGTTATTTCATTGTTATTGTTCTAAAGTTATAAATAAGTAATAAGCCCGCCCCAATATGTTATTGTTCAGTAAAGTTATAAACCAATGTTATTTCATTGTTTTGTAATAAGCCACCCCCAATATGTTATTGTTCAGTAAAGTTATAAACCAATGTTATTTCATTGTTCTGTAATAAGCCCGCCCCAATATGTTATTGTTCAGTAAAGTTATAAACCAATGTTATTTCATTGTTATGTAATAAGCCCGCCCCAATATGTTATTGTTCAGTAAAGTTATAAACCAATGTTATTTCATTGTTTTGTATTAAGCCCGCCCCAATATGTTATTGTTCAGTAAAGTTATAAACCAATGTTATTTCATTGTTCTGTAATAAGCCCGCCCCAATATGTTATTGTTCAGTAAAGTTATAAACCAATGTTATTTCATTGTTCTGTAATAAGCCCGCCCCAATATGTTATTGTTCAGTAAAGTTATAAACCAATGTTATTTCATTGTTCTGTAATAAGCCCGCCCCAATATGTTATTGTTCAGTAAAGTTATAAACCAATGTTATTTCATTGTTCTGTAATAAGCCCGCCCCAATATGTTATTGTTCAGTAAAGTTATAAACCAATGTTATTTCATTGTTCTGTAATAAGCCCGCCCCAATATGTTATTGTTCAGTAAAGTTATAAACCAATGTTATTTCATTGTTCTGTAATAAGCCCGCCCCAATATGTTATTGTTCAGTAAAGTTATAAACCAATGTTATTTCATTGTTTTGTAATAAGCCCGCCCCAATATGTTATTGTTCAGTAAAGTTATAAACCAATGTTATTTCATTGTTCTGTAATATGTCCACCCCAAGACATTACTGTTCAGTAAAGTTATATTTCATTATCTTGGTGGTTGACTTTGTGATCATGACTTTGTGGAGGGGGTAGATGTGTCAAAGTTGAGTTACAAAGGTCACTTTACAAATCTCTGCTGGTGGGAATTTCCCTTCAGCCTAGTGTAGGTGCCTGCCTGAGGAGCAACAGATCTCTAGTGAAAGTCATTATGAGGGCATGTCATTACTCCTTTATATTGCATATGTATTGAGTCCTTTGAATATTCTTTCAGTGTTTATTCATGGAAATAACCATTCTTCAGTTTAAGTATCCTGAAGATTCATATCAATGAGTGAATGTACCTGTATCAGTAATGGCTGTTACAGCAGTTTTTTTTTATATTATTATACTACAGATGACATACACAGAAACTGGGATCATAGTGATGAAACTTTCAAATATCTCCATGACGACCAGACCACCCCTGTCAATACTTACATGAGCTATTCCACAGATTCACATAGCAAATATAATGGTTATTTACCAAAGTCTGAGTGGGACTCGAGGACTTACTCTGATTATCAAAAGTATGATAGTGGTAAACAGAAATTTGATTATGATGAAAAAGACAAGTACAGCAAGCATGATATTGTAAGTGACGTTCACCCAGAGAGCTACTTTGGTGATGTAAAGAGCCGAGATTATAGCAACACACGCTATACTTCTGATTATATGAGAGACTATCGTAAAAATCATCAGAATGGTCTAGGTCGTCATGGTGATTACAAAGAACGTCACAATGGTTTCCATGGTGACTATGTCAGTGGACAACACAGTGTCTCGTGGAAGGATTATCGAGGTATCCCATTGTTGGTTTCTATAATCAAACAAAGCCTAACAGTAATGCTACCTGTGACAGTTATAGATATTGTTGATGTTTTGCTTCATGTTATAAATATTTATAATATTTGTGCTTAATAGATTTTGTGGTATAACAAATTTTAACAACTTCAAAAGAAAAATTTTTGTAATGTTCTGTGAGACTACTTAATTAGTGTTTAGAGAAATAAGTGAATTATGCTTTATTGTTGAATGAGCAAGTTTTCATGAATTATTAAGTATTACGTGAAAAAATTCCTCATATTTGGTTTAACAATCAGATGTGCTGCACTACAATAATTAACATATTTTCATCCATAGATAGTATGAAATTTATAGTATATGTGTGTATGTCTGTGTATATCTTAATGGTAGATAATTAAGTAAATAAATGAGGTTTGAACATCATCAGTTCTATATGCTCCATCTGTCACTGCAGATCAGAGATCAATATCATTTACACACAAGGTGTTATCCAGTAAACCGATAGGTGTCTACTCATGAATATTTAATTAGCCAAACTTATCGTACTAATTCTTCGGCTCTGTTTATGTACATAAGTATTTGTTAGGCCATGTGGATGTATATATCAGTGTGTTTATAATTGTACAGTTGTATGCGTGTATGTACGTGATGCATGCTTTTTTAACTCAGATGTTGGAAGGTATATTAATTTTTGCTAATTGTTTGTATAATACTTTCAATATTGTTCAACTTGCTTTTGTTTCAGTGAAGTTTGCAAAATAAGTTTTAACGCTTAGAGATAACTGGATTAATTTTGATGATTTTAAATATGTCCTTTGTTTTACTGTGCTCTGTTTTATATATTTTATATATATCGTAATTTTGAGTAACTGTTTAGCTTAAGCATAAATTAATGCAATATTAACTGCGAAAGGTTATGTAAAAACAAACTTCCTTTTTCTTACTAGATACTATAATTTTTTTTTGTAGAATGTAGTAATTAATGATGCTTCATCTGTTATAGTCCTGTGTTGTGAAATACTGATGGTGAAGTGTTGATTTGTAAGTGAAATGATAGTGTATGATGATTATGTGTATCACTGGTATTGTAACACCTTAAGTTTATCTTTGATATTGTTTATGCTGTAGGTTCTGATGATGCGATTGGGCCGTCTTTTCCTTCCCACTGCCTCGGATCAAGACCTGATGGACCAAAAACTGGAGGCATTTACTGTGGTCACCGGCTGTCATCAGAGGGACTTTCCACTATAGAGGAGAAATCAATGGCAGTAAGTAGTTTACAGTACAGAATACTATTTACACAATGTGTTTGGTGTCTCCATGTTCTATCCTATTTCGGCCCAATCAACATCATATATATCTTGAGAACCTGTCAACACTTTCAACAGGTTTGGTTGATGTCTGTTTGCATAGGAGCAGCAGTATTCATGGCTTGTAGACATTCTCTAACTTTGGTTTACATTATGATTATATCATGTTGCTAAATGTACATACATGTAAGACTTTTCTCACTGTATATTTTTCAGGTGTTGATATAATATGTTATGGTTGGTTATGTATTGACAGGATGACCGGGATAAGTCAGGGACAGACAGTGGCTTGGACAAGCGATCTATACACTCAGCCAATTCAAGGGGAGACAACATTACATCAACAGAGCACCGTCCAGACAGTGGCCTTGAACTTCTGTCGGGTCGCAATGTAAGACAGGATGGTGACCAGGATGCTCCATACAGTAGCTCAAAACCAACTTCTGCAGATTTACAACGTGATTTACCTTTAAAAGACAGAGAATATGTAGGAAGTTATAACCCTACTAGGATGACAACATCAGCAAGTCAGCAGAGGAACGGATACAGTTTGTTGCCTGGTGATGATGTCCTGGGCGGCAACAGAATGATTAGTGATGGAGGTACAAACAGTTATAAGTATCGGAGCATTGGATCAGATCATTCAGATCTCACTTCTGCAGATGTACGACCTAAGGAGAGGATAAGCACTGGTACAGAGAATGATCCCCTCTCTGTAACAACAAGGTCCGACCCTGGTGATATCTTCACCCCTCGTCCAGGACGGGAAAGTGACCTGTCTGTCTACCCACTGGACAGGCATTCTGAAGGCCGAAACTATTACAAGCAAGATCCTGTTGGTGTCACAAGATCTAGGTCAAAATCGGAGACAGATCTCATCGCTCTCAGTCCTGAGAGTCACAGGAATTCCTCACCTGTTCATAGCACTAGATTAATGGATTTGTCATGTCAACCATCCCCAATTTTCTCTCATCATACAACAATGGATTCCCCAGCAATGGCTGGTAGCAGAGGAAGCCCCAATCAGGGGCAGGCTCATGATCATATGGCCAAGTACATGGAAGAGAGAATCAGAAAACGACCTTTGGAGAAAGGAAGAGACTTTCAAGATTTGAGGAAATCTGATCATTTAGACAAGAAAATTGATTACAATCCAAGGTTGAGGTCAAGGTCACTTGAACCTGGGGAGGCTTATAGAGATCTTGATGTTAGAGACATTTACCAAGGGCAGCCTGGACGAGAAACCTATCATCCTAAGGGAGACCGGGAAATCTACCAGAACACAAGGGAGACAGGAGGAGGTACCATCAGTGATGGCGGTGTTGATGTACGCAAGGGCAGTTTTAGGATAAAGGAAGATAATGCACCAGTCGAATATGTCACCCAAGCTGAACGTCAAAGACTCATGAGTCCATCTTGGGCAAATTCAAAGAGAGACTATCCACAGAGCAACAGCAAGGTTGAAGTTACTGCCACATACTGTGACAAAACTGGACAGCCTCTGGACAGAGGTTACAATCCAAGTGCTGACCATCCACTTGGTTCCAGGGTTGAAAGACCTCTGGAACCAGGGGAAGGGCTGATAGCTCAACCCTTGGAGCCAGGACTTGATTTCCAAGAGACATTAGGTAGGAACTCAGACCAAGATAACAGACGAGGAATTGCATACTTGGATCCTGGAGAAGATGGACAATTCAAGGAACTAGAACAGGTGATTATTAGTCATGCATATGATAAAGTTAGCTTGTGTCTCTGCCATCAATCTGTGTCTTAACTAACTCGTGTGTAAAGTTCAACTTCTATGATTCAGTGTTATCAAAGGCTAATGTGTGCCATAAAGGGTTAAGGTGAAAACTCACATCCAGGTGTATCAATATAAGAAAGCCAATTTACTCTGTATTATTTTATCTTGAGTGAGAGGGTCTGTGTAGAAGGAAGGGTGTTGGTACAAACATTTTTGTGCCTCTGTCATGAAATGGGTAGCATATATTGCATTAGCCATATCTGTCCCATCACATCATGTTCCATCCCTTCCCATCTTGATTCAATGGAAGCACCTAGCAACTTCCTTCTTTGACAGATGTTGGTCAAACCATCAGATATGAGTATGCTTTGGACATCCTTGTGTTTAATGGTCCTAAGGTCAAGGTCAAGGTTGCCCTTGCTATATATAGCAAGTAATCAACTGATTCAATTTAAACACATTTCTTTCATGGATTTTGGTCAAACGTTACTCACTATCAATGAAGAGTATACTTTAGACAATGTTGTGTTTCAGGGGCCTAAGGTCAATGCCAAGGTCACCCATGCTATATGTAGAAAATCATCAACTGATACACTTTAAGCACTTGGCTATTTCATTTTTTCATGGAATTTTGTCAGACTTTATATAAAGGTCAAGTATGAGTATAATGTAGACATAATTGTGTTCTAAGGGTCTAAGGTCAAGGCCTTGGTGGTGGGGACTTTTATGCCTTGCATTTTCTAACCTAGTTTGTTGCTGGTTCACCTGTCAAATATTTCTGGAAAAAATGAGCTGTTCTCTGGTTAATCTTGAATGAAATATACTCTCTATTTTCAATGTTCTACTTGTCTGATACATGAGATTAAATTTGTTTTCATTCCTTCAGCTTCCCGATTCTGACTTTGAGGATGCTATAAATGAGGAGAAAGAAAAACTACTGAAGGAGAAACGTGACAAATTGATCAGGGACCTGGAGATGAAAGCAAGGTCAGACTTTTAGGATCAGAGCCTCTTATAATGTAACAGTTTATAATAGATTGTGATTAGATAGATGTAACACATGTGATCTGTGTATTATAGAAACTTCGGTAGAATCACATGTAATTCCATTGTTCTTTTCATCCATAGGTCACAACACAAATTTGTTCCCCTGGTGGATAACGAGAGTGAATATGATGAAGAGTTTGACAAGAGGCCCCCAAGCAAGCGTGTTGTTATCCTTCGCGAGAGTTTGGAGAAGGAGTATCGAGAGTCTGTCCACCCCGACATCAATGACATGTGGCAACGGTTCAAAGATGTTGATCCAAGCAATGCCAGTGAGAGCAGCTTGAACACACCACGCATGGATACTCTTACCAGCTTAATTAAAAACCCAACAAAGCACGTTGTTCAGAAGTACATGGATGATGTGACATACGAACGCGCCAAAGAAAACCGCTTGATGAATGAACTTAAAGCATTACATGAGGAGGGAGATGATCGTCAGTCATCTCAAAAACAGGAAGTGGAGAAATCATCGAAGCAAAGAAAAGAAGCTGAACGACTGAGATGGGAGGCAGAGTACAGGAAGAGGTTAAGTGGAGATGATGAGAGCAATGGGAGCTATGCTGAGATCCTGGCACACCAGGAAAAGAAGAAACGAGCAGAAAAAGAAAAGAAAAATAAGGAAAATAAAAATAGAAACAAAGAAACAAAGCCAGCTCGTGTCCAGAAGCTTGGAGACAGTGCTGACACTCTTTACTCAATACCAGAGGACACAAGCTTTGATACGACAACACCAAGTAAACTGAATGACTCTGAGCTGATGTTAAAAGCCAAGCGTAACAGACGACGACATGTCATTGATCCACTGATGGCCAAGCTTCATGACAAGGTACTACACCAGCGGGATAAGATCGACAAGGAGAGAAAGAAGGAGATGCGTAGAATGGAGAAGCTCAAGAAATTGGAAATGTTATTGACTGCTAAAAAAAAAGGGAAACTTTCAGACAAAGCCATCGGTGTCGAACTGGACTTGGTGTCATCAACAACATCTATATCCATGACAGATTCATCCACCACTCTTTTAGATACAGATTCCACGTTAACCTCACAGGCAGATTCCAATGTTGCTGTTGCCGATACAACCTCATCTAAAGAGAGTAGCACAGATGTACCCTTCCAACAGCCAAACAAAAGTCGACAAGTGGCATTTCAGGATCAGGGCAGGGTGCCAACACGTGCCAGGATCACCATGAAGGACAATGTACAAACAACAGGTATCCATGAGGATTCTGAATCTCAAAATGAGGACAGTATTTTTCATCGGCCATTTTCAGCCAAGAAAAGAGGGGAAAAATTCAGCAGTGAGAAAAAAGGAAAGCAGAAAGGAAAGAAAGGAAAGACTGCAGATATTTATCAGGAACCGAAAATTAACCAGAAAAATAAAGAAAATGTTGAGAGGTTTTTAGCACAGATGGAAGAAAGTGGTATATATGGTGACAAGTTTGAAAAGCCAAGGAAATCAAGGTCGCCCGCATCTCGAAAGTATAAGTCTGTATCAACAATGTATCCATCTCCAATCCACGTTAGTCCTCCGCGGCAACGTGGTAAGAAATCAGGAAAGGTCACAATGGTGTCTGAGGCTGTTCAGACCAGTCCCTATGTTCCCTCTCACAATGACAGAGGGGTCATACCTGTTCCTCTCATGTCGCCAGAGAGAAGACGCAAACATGTCTCCACCTCACCTAACAGGTCAAGTTCTCGCTCTCCTGCTCGCCAGAGGTCTGCTCATACTAGTATTTCATCGTCAGCTTCACCTCTTAGGTCTAGGTCAAGGTCAAAGTCACATGAAAACAAGAGGACAACATCATTTGAGATAAGTATGTCACCAGAGAGATCAACTGTAAATGAGGTCAGAAGAAAGCCAAGGTCACCGTCCCCAAAGACAGACATTGATTATGGATACTTGTCGAAGGCTGTCCCACCTCCTAAGTCTCGAATGTTTACTCCAGAAACTCCAGACGACACCTGTATTGCCAAGTTACAGGACAGCCCAAACAGTAAGCGTTTTTTAATTGATCTTTACTGGTATAAACACATTTACAGGACAGCCCAAACAGTAAGCTTTTTTTAATTGATCTTTACTGGTATAAACACATTTACAGGACAGCCCAAACAGTAAGCTTTTTTTAATTGATCTTTACTGGTATAAACACATTTACAGGACAGCCCAAACAGTAAGCATTTTTAATTGATCTTTACTGGTATAAACACATTTACAGGACAGCCCAAACAGTAAGCTTTTTTTAATTGATCTTTACTGGTATAAACACATTTACAGGACAGCCCAAACAGTAAGCTTTTTTTAATTAATCTTTACTGGTATAAACACACTTAGGAAACTACACCACAGGGATGGTTCCTGTAGAAACAAATGACTTTTCCAAATACTTCACAAAGTTATGATTTCATGGTGGTTATGTTATCTATCGAGATAAACTGACATTGAAGCATACTCTTCTTCAGCCGTTTTTGTTTCTGCATCATCCATCCCTGTGAAGTAGTTTTCTAGGCGTGATAAAGTGACCTGGTATCTACTGAAATATTGTTTCATATTTGGACTTAGAGCTAACTACTAATTTCATTATACAGCTCTCTAAATAGATAAAATGAATATCCAGCAACAGCTAGTTAGAACAAGCTTAATTTAAGCATATCACAGAATATAGAAAGGAAAAATATGAGAATTGGTGTATAAGATAAAGTGGTTGACAGCTTTCACTGGTTATAATTGTGATGAATGTTTCAGGGGGCATATCTTGGTACATTCCATTGCCTGAATCTCGACCATGGAGACAACCTCTAAAGGAACAGCAAGCACATGCTGTAAAACAGAAACCATGGCAACCTAAATCTATGCACCCTGCAGACTGGAAGGCTGCTGTTAGTAATGATATCCTCAATAAATCACGAGACACAAAGTTTGACCTTGACCCAAAAGGTCAAAGAATAGGTGATGATGACATGGATGCCAAAAGCTCTGATGAAGAAAATTATGATCCAAAGCCATTAAATAAAATGTCCTTGCAGGTTAGTGAGATAAGTTCATATTTGAGTTTGATAAAAATTCTAAATCCAATGAGATCATGGTGACATACATTTTTTAGATAGTAGTTTCAAGTACACGGATGCATTCCAAACAATAAAATCTTTATAACTTTACAGGAGGCTTTTAAGACTTTCAAGCAAGGCACAATATCTCGTGTGGGTGAACGTCAGAAGCGAGTCCTGTTAGCAGCACACGAGCGCCAACTGCAACATTACCTTGAACAGGAGAGAAAGGAACTGTTTGAAAACCAGGGAGGCAAGAAGGAGTCGAACCCAGAGGCTCATCCTTATAGTGGTAAGTGTATAATCCATACCTCTATACTCAACATTACACACCATTATAGCAGTTAGTGCTGTAAACACCTCTGTACTCACATTACACACCATTATAGGGGTTAGTGAAGTCCACACCTCTATACTCAACATTACATATCCCTCTTGTGGTAAGTGAAGTCCACATCTCTATACCCAACATTACATATCCCTCTAGTGGTTAGTGAAGTCCACACCTCTGTACTCAACATTACACACCATTATAGGGGTTAGTGAAGTCCACACTTCTATACTCAACATTACATATCCCTCTAGTGGTTAGTGAAGTCCACACCTCTGTACTCAACATTACACACCATTATAGGGGTTAGTGAAGTCCACACTTCTATACTCAACATTACATATCCCTCTAGTGGTTAGTGAAGTCCACACCTCTGTACTCAACATTACATATCCCTCTTGTGGTTAGTGAAGTCCACACTTCTATACTCAACATTACACACCATTATAGTGCTTAGTGAAGTCCACACTTCTATACTCAACATTACACACCATTATAGGGGTTAGTGAAGTCCACACCTCTATACTCAACATTACATATCCCTCTAGTGGTTAGTGAAGTCCACACCTCTGTACTCAACATTACATATCCCTCTAGTGGTTAGTGAAGTCCACACCTCTGTACTCAACATTACACACCATTATAGTGCTTAGTGAAGTCCACACCTCTGTACTCAACATTACACACCATTATAGTGCTTAGTGAAGTCCACACCTCTGTACTCAACATTACATATCCCTCTAGTGGTTAGTGAAGTCCACACCTCTATACTCAACATTACACACCATTATAGTGCTTAGTGAAGTCCACACCTCTATACTCAACATTACATATCCCTCTAGTGGTTAGTGAAGTCCACACCTCTATACTCAACATTACACACCATTATAGTGCTTAGTGAAGTCCACACCTCTGTACTCAACATTACATATCCCTCTAGTGGTTAGTGAAGTCCACACTTCTATACTCAACATTACACACCATTATAGTGCTTAGTGAAGTCCACACCTCTGTACTCAACATTACATATCCCTCTAGTGGTTAGTGAAGTCCACACTTCTATACTCAACATTACACACCATTATAGTGCTTAGTGAAGTCCACACCTCTGTACTCACATTACATATCCCTCTAGTGGTTAGTGAAGTCCACACCTCTGTACTCAACATTACATATCCCTCTAGTGGTTAGTGAAGTCCACACCTCTATACTCAACATTACATATCCCTCTAGTGGTTAGTGAAATCCACACTTCTATACTCAACATTACACACCATTATAGTGCTTAGTGAAGTCCACACCTCTGTACTCACATTACATATCCCTCTAGTGGTTAGTGAAGTCCACACCTCTGTACTCAACATTACACACCATTATAGGGGTTAGTGAAGTCCACATTTCTATACTCAACATTACATATCCCTCTAGTGGTTAGTGAAGTCCACACCTCTATACTCAACATTACACACCATTATAGGGGTTAGTGCTGTAAACACCTCTGTACTCACATTACACACCATTATAGGGGTTAGTGAAGTCCACACCTCTATACTCAACATTACACACCATTATAGTGCTTAGTGAAGTCCACACCTCTGTACTCAACATTACACACCATTATAGCAGTTAGTGAAGTTCACACCTCAATAATCAACATTAAACACCATTATAGGGGTTAGTGAAGTCCACACCTCTATACTCAACATTACACACCATTATAGGGGTTAGTGCTGTAAACACCTCTGTACTCACATTACACACCATTATAGGGGTTAGTGAAGTCCACACCTCAATACTCAACATTACACACCATTATAGTGCTTAGTGAAGTCCACACCTCTGTACTCAACATTACACACCATTATAGCAGTTAGTGAAGTTCACACCTCAATAATCAACATTCAACACCATTATAGGGGTTAGTGAAGTCCACACCTCTATACTCAACATTACACACCATTATAGGGGTTAGTGCTGTAAACACCTCTGTACTCACATTACACACCATTATAGGGGTTAGTGAAGTCCACACCTCTATACTCAACATTACACACCATTATAGGGGTTAGTGCTGTAAACACCTCTGTACTCACATTACACACCATTATAGGGGTTAGTGAAGTCCACACCTCTATACTCAACATTACACACCATTATAGGGGTTAGTGAAGTCCACACCTCTATACTCAACATTACACACCATTATAGTGCTTAGTGAAGTCCACACCTCTGTACTCAACATTACACACCATTATAGCAGTTAGTGAAGTTCACACCTCAATAATCAACATTAAACACCATTATAGGGGTTAGTGAAGTCCACACCTCTATACTCAACATTACACACCATTATAGGGGTTAGTGCTGTACACTCCTCTATACTCAACATTACACACCTCTGTACTCACATTACACACCATTACAGGAGTTAGTGCAGTACGTACCTCAATTCTCAACATTACACACCTCTATACTCACATTACACACCCCTATAGTGGTCAGTGTATAATCCACACTTCTACACTTAATGTTACACACCCTTTTAGCAGGTAGTGAATTCCACACCTCAATACTCAACATTTCTAACTATTATGGAGTTAATGTGGTACACAATTTTGTACTCAATATTACACATCTCTGTTGTGGTTAGTAAACTTGTCCAGATTATCATTAGGCTTTTAAGAAAGAGATCTGAGTGTCCATTTAATTACGTAGCTTGAGAGAAAGACTTAGATGTCTCCTGGATTATTTGGCTTGAGATAACAATCTGGGTTTCCATTTAATTATTAGGGTCAAAAGAGAGACCTAGGTGTCCATTTAATTATCAGGCTTGAGAAAGGGACCTGGATGTCCATCTAATTATCAGGCTTGAGAAAGGGACCTGGATGTCCATCTAATTATCAGGCTTGAGAAAGGGACCTGGATGTCCATCTAATTATCAGGCTTGAGAAAGGGACCTGGATGTCCATCTAATTATTAGGCTCTATAGAAAGACTTGAGTGTTCAATTATGAAAGATTTCAGAGAAGTCAAATAAGTTAAGAGCTGAGAGAAGTATTAAGAATGTAGTCAATTACCCACCCAAGCAAAGAAATAGAGAGAGACAAGGAATAAAAAAAATAATTACTAGAGCTGAGAGACAGACAGTTAATACTTCACATAGCCAGAGAGAAATATTTAGGAATTTAATAATTGAACTGTGATAAAGACAACAGAGACTCACATTTCATGGTAAATACGTGTAATGAATATTGTCAACAACTGGTTCCTCTATCTCCATATTTTATTATTTCCAGAAAACCTACACAAGCCAAAAAGAAGATCCATGTCTAAGAAAGAAATGAAGGAATTAACTAAAAGGTTGGTTGAAAGATTTCACTTTTATTTCTTCAAAGATAAGTACTGGCAAAGTCATAGCATGTAAGTTATTAATGTTCCCACAAACAATATAAAATCTGTCAATCTGTCCATACTGTGGCGGTTCATGACTTTTTGTCATTTCAATTGCTTTTGTTGTTGTGCTGTTGAGTGTCATGTCCATGTTCTGAAATTAAGCAATGTCAAATGTGGTCAGCACTTGGATGAGAGACTGCTCAGTTGTACCTTGGATGGACTTCAGAGTACCTCAAACTGTTGCTTTGCCCATACAGTTTGCTTTTTTATTTGTTGACCTGAAACTCTGATTATACACTAACATCACAGTGAACGTTGTCTTTTCTTTCACATTTTTGATTAGCCATGTTTCTTTAGGAGACTTTGGATTTAGCTCTATTTTTGCGGTTTGGACAATGTGTTCAGCAAAATTAAGACTTCACACTTTCCCATCCAACTAAAGACACAATGTGTGCTTTACAAAAGCATCTTCTAGAATTACAAATGTTTTGTTCTCAGCATTGCTTTTCTATGAACCAACCTTTATCTGAACCAAGCTGTGGCAAGGACATCTAATCATGAGTAATACATTTCAGTGGTAAGAAAGTTTCTTGTATTATACATATAATTATACATCATATTTTCACACAGGTTGTACAAAAAACTCCCTGAAGTGCAGGCCATGAAGTATGTAAAGAAACGAGATGAGGATTACTCACTGAATCGTCTCCGAGCACGGGTCTTCAACAGGGTAAGACAAGTTCAAATTCTTCATGACTGCATTATGAGACACTTAATAGTATTAGTGTTGTATCATATACTGGTGATTGATTTCTTTCTGTGTTGATTACAGTGATCTCATCTTAACTGAATGTAACACCATAAAAAAATATGTAAAATTTTCTAAAGACCGTTTGTGTCGGTAATGATTTGCTGCTTCTGTTAACTCCTCCTTGTCTCTGGTGTTATAGTGCTTATAATGATTTTTATTTCTTTGTGCAGAAAGTCCAGCGGAATGTTTTAAGGAAATCAGACCAAGTAAGATAGCCTGATCTGTGAAGTGATGGATTCCAGCACAGATGAAATTATATCATAAATAGATAATTTATATCTAGTGTAGCGCTGTTAAGTTTGCTAGAGTTTTAAAAAATAGTTTATTACAATTTCAGTACTTTTGATAATGATACAACTTTTTCATCAAATTCCTTTGGAAATAGAACAAAGACATATTTATATTTTTGGTTTCTGTAAATTTTTTGAAAGATCATGCATAATTCTCCGAGAATAACTTACGAAGTGCCATATTTCCAGTAACTTCATAAAACAGGAGAACGGCAGTTTATAGGGTGTTGGTTGGTTTGTGTTAAGATATTCTGCAGAAGTCTGTGATATTATGTGTGTATAAACATGTATTGTGACAAGGTTGTCTCTGACGTTGCACTACTGTGATATGTTGATACGTAGAATTAGCATGAAAATCTACTCTTATTTTGATGTCAAAATGTATAGTTCTCATGGTAATCAAAACTGATACTGCTGTGAGTGGTTTACCTGTGCCCATAGTGCTCCAGTCACTAAAAGTTCTAATGTTCTTTGCCAAACCCATCTATGCCATTTCTTAATGAATAGTGGGATTGAATTGTCATAGATTTAGGATAATCAAATCCTGTCACTGCTGTGTACGTTTGGGTGAGACAGTTTGGTGTATTGTTATCAGGACTATGTTTGATTTTTCTGAGATGTTAGTTAGATTTATTAAAAATTGCATCATCTACATGTATCATTGGTACACTGGTATCATTGAAGTGCTAGGTATGTAATGTTACACTTTATATAGAATTAGTCAAAGCAACATAAAGGTATAGAAACAGTATGATACAGTGATATGTTCTACACCACTATAAAGGATTGCCCTTTACCCGAGGGGTTTACTCAGGAACTGTTTATTAAATGTTGAGGAAGAGTAGTTACGTATACAGACATGTCATTGTTTTGATCACACCATATTTTACTATCACAGTAGTGTGTATCTATTTATATGGAAATTAATCATTAATGTGAATATATGTTTGCAAACACTTACTGAAATTAATATTGTAAAATTCTGCTTGTACTTTGTTATCTAAGAAAATATTAGATAAAAAAGGCTGATATAGGGAGTTCTTAATATACCCATTTATAACCACATTTTGTTCCTGTAAATAGGTTCTATATTTATACTTGGTAGAACTCTATTATCTTGCCATAAGTGGAATAGTTGTAATGTTTTTATCTGATCAGTAGAAGATGGTGAACATTAGTCCTAGAGTGTATAAAGTGTCCATGGTAGTAGTATACTATTGGTGAATGAGTGGTTTATAACCATTGTACATCTAACAATATCTAAATGTATTACAGCATTAAACAAAATAAAGCTGAAGATGACAGCGTCTGTTGTATTTTCCGTCTTTTCATAATGCAGAGTTATTTGCTCTTGTGAGAAGGTATTATATCGTCAATTGTTAGTGAGAGCAACATGATAAAATCTGCGAGAAAATATTGTTATTTTCTCATGCTAACTAATGACACAAGTCAATGCCTGCTAATAAGAGCAGATAAATGCATTAAGTAAAGACAAATAGTTGTTAGTGTGCTTTGTCAGATGAAGCATAGATTTCAAAGAACCAAAGGGACTTATATTTTATAGAGAAAACCAAGTGGAGTCCTATTTATTGAAGTGAGCAATATTGGAGGTACTCTGTATTTATCTAGCAGAAAACCTTTGTTTAGTAATAAGCCCACCCTTATCTATGGCTGTTTAGAATCATCAATAAATGCTATTTCAATGTCCTGTAACAATAATAAGCCCAGTACCTAATTAAGGGGCAATGTGCCTGTTCTGTAATAAGTCCAAATATTGACAAAATCAGGGATGATGTGTTAGCCCTGCAATAAGCCCAACAAAAGAAAAATCAAGAGATACCTCTGTGCCGTGATAAGCCCAACTGACTGAATAATGGTTATGTATTGGTGCTGTAATGAGCACAACAAACTAAACAAGAGGAAATGTGTTGGTCTTGTGATAAGCCCAACAACAGACTAAATATGAGGTTATGTGTAGGTCCTTCTATTAAGCCCAGCAACTCACTTTAAATCAAGGGTTATGTGTTTTCCCCAGGGCTTTATCGCAGGATACATAAAGTAACTCTCAGATAAGGTATTATTTACAGGTAAGTAAAATTTACTCACAGAAATTCCACTGGATAGTTCAGTTATTGTCTCCTTCAGCAATGAAGAGATACATAATTTTTCTATCTCATATGACCAGAAGGCCTATCCCTTTTAATATTTGGTAAGGAGGTACCTTGGTTGGAGTACTAGGAATGTTTCTCATATAAATTACCTTGACCTCTATTCAAGGTCACAGGGGTAAAATATGTTCAATTAAGAGGCCTGCATCGCTCACCTGGCTACTACTGCTATTCAGTCATTTAACAAAGATTTTCAAATACCAGTAATTTCTGAAATTATTTCCCTATTAGGTATGGCCTTGTGATCATACAGAAGTCAGATTCACCTTTCAGCATTCCCACAAAGGAGTTTTCTCCATTTCCTTGACTGGACCCCACCCCTCTGGCCCCAGGGGGCTGAGACCCACTGTTAATACAAATTGATTTCCATTCACCAAAGCATGCTTCAGACCAAATTGGGACAATATCCAAGCATTTCTACAAAAGAAAAGGATTCAAAAGAAAATTTGCTCTATTTCCCCTATGGAGTCCCTCTCCTGCCATAAGGGGACAAGACCCACCATTTTTACAAAATTGATTCCTTTCACAGAACATGATTCCAAATTTGGACAAAATCCTATCATTCCTAGAGGAAGTTGGATTTTGAAGAATTTGCTCTATTTCCCCTACTGGGCATTGCCCCTGCTGCTCAAGTGGGCCGAAACCTCCCTTCTCCCAAAGATGCTTCAGACCAAATTTGGGCAAAAATCTAATCATTCCTCAAGGAGGAATAGGATTTAAAGAATTTGCAAAATTTCCACTTTTGGACTAAGCCCCTCGGACCCAGCAGGTTCCAGACACAAGATTTACAAAGGATATGTTCCCCTTTCCCTAAGGATACTTCTGACCAAATTTGGTAAGAATCTGCTTGGTTGTTTATGGCATAAGCTCACTGGTCCTTTGGACCAGGTCAGCTAAAAAAAAAAAAATCAGCCTTCAAGAATTTCCTCTTTCATCAAGCAAGTGTCTGACCCTTTTCATTTGTATGATCCCCATGGTCTTCTTGAATATGTTCATTTTTCAAAGTGATCAGAAAAACAAAATGGTGCAATAATTTTAAGGATAAATTGTAAAAACAAAACGGACAACAGACAGCCATCATAAATTTTGCTCTTTGTGCATGCTCCATTTTGGGACTGATGAAAACAAAAAACAAAACAAAGTGGATGACAAACAGGAGAGAAGACGAGATAGAAACAATGGGAACATATCCAACTAAAAATAACCAATAGATTAAAGGCCATGATGGTGGGTGCCAAGAGCCTTCTGGAATATTTTATTTGAAAATACATTCCAGGCAGGATAAACTTATGATGTGCACTTTTCTCAAAATAAAATGTTTTGATCACATATCTCATGGGCAATAGCAGCTTTATGATAGAGAAAATGCTTATTCCCCTTCATTGTTTAATATGTTAATTATAAAAAACAAATTTTCCATTACGTTCACTTTATTTTAACATGATAATACAGTAACAACAATAAACTACATCATCACACTATAACAGTCTTAGTGTGATGAGTTGTCAGATCAGACATCAGTACAGCCTCCTGTCTGATTACTTCACCTGTCCTTGACCCAGTATGAATTCTACCAGCAGGGCCTCCCATATATTTCACCAGTCCTTGGTCCACAGATTCCTACCAGCAGAGCCTCCCATTTAATTACCTAACCAGTCTTAGGCCCAGTGAGATTTCTACCAGTAGAGCCTCCCCTCTAATTACCTAACCAGTCCTAGGCCCAGTGAGATTTCTACCAGTAGAGCCTCCCCTATAATTACCTAACCAGTCCTAGGCCCAGTGAGATTTCTACCAGTAGATCCTCCTATCTAATTACATAACCAGTCCTCGGCCCAGTGAGATTTCTACCAGTAGATCCTCCTATCTAACTACCTAACCAGTCCTAGGCCCAGTGAGATTTCTACCAGTAGAGCCTCCCCTCTAATTACCTAACCAGTCCTAGGCCCAGTGAGATTTCTACCAGCAGAGCCTCCCCTCTAATTACCTAACCAGTCCTAGGCCCAGTGAGATTTCTACCAGTAGAGCCTCCCCTATAATTACCTAACCAGTCCTAGGCCCAGTGAGATTTCTACCAGTAGATCCTCCTATCTAATTACATAACCAGTCCTCGGCCCAGTGAGATTTCTACCAGTAGATCCTCCTATCTAACTACCTAACCAGTCCTAGGCCCAGTGAGATTTCTACCAGTAGAGCCTCCCCTCTAATTACCTAACCAGTCCTAGGCCCAGTGAGATTCCTACCAGCAGAGCCTCCCCTCTAATTACCTAACCAGCCCTAGGCCCAGTGAGATTTCTACCAGTAGAGCCTCCCCTCTAATTACCTAACCAGTCCTAGGCAAAGTGAGATTCCTACCAGCAGAGCCTCCCATTTAATTACCTAACCAGTCCTAGGCAAAGTTAGATTTCTACCAGTAGATTCTCCAATCTAATTATTTCACCAATCTGATGCTTTCAGTAGACTGGGCCTCTAATATGATTATTTCACTAGTCCTAAGATTACTACCAGCATTGTTCCATATATAGTTTTCTGATTTTTAAGCTATTAATTTTTCTACTTAGAAAAATAATTCTTGGGTCAGGCTTACTGGCTGTAAGTTTCAGATTAACTTATCTTATCAGTTAAATGAGTAGTAACAGACAGGTAAGGGTGCTGACCTGCGATCTTCACCTAGTTCACTCCACCTAGAGTAAATCACACAAATCTGTCCCCATTCTCTGCTATCTTATACACTAACAAAAAGTTGTGCAACATTATTAGCCCAAGAACTTTTCGTCAAGGTGTGAACTTAAGGTTGACAGGAGAGAGGCGACCAATCGGTGTATGATCGTTAGTGTGGAAGCGCTCTGTTGTAATGGATCCCATACTGTCATCCATTCTCATAGGAGTGCTTAAGCCTTCCTTCTGTGCACGAAGACTCTGAATGTCACGTAATATACCCTTTGCTTCTTCTCGGGTCTGTAAAAACAACCATTTATTCTAATTTCAATAATTCTATTTTCATCTTTTCAACTTTGATAAAAAGTATCACAAAATACCTTACAAACAGCATTTACTCCCATGGATATCAAAGCAAAGGCTGCCAAAATAATCATCATGTACTGGATAATCTTTGTTTATAGTGTAAATTACAAATGACATGTAGTGTAATTGTACATGATGTGGTATATAATGGTTGTTCTGGCTATCTAGTTCCAGTTTGATTTTAACCAATATTACTATATTTTATCAAAACAAAATGTGTCTAATAACATATAGCCTACAATAAAAAGAGAGAAAAAGAGACATGGCTACTGACCTCTGGAAATTCTGAACACTTCTGGGCTGCAGTGAAAGCTTCGTCCAGCTGTCCAAGTTTAAGGTGATAGTTAGCCAGATACTTGTAGGCTTGACTCTGGTCTTCTGGATTATAGTTCTAGCAAACAAAGTAAGGTTTCTAGTAAAGTTTATTTCCTTAAACATGGCAAATACTTCTTCAATATTTACGTTCTGATCTATAACAAACTTAAACCATGACCAGAACAGATAAACAAGAGGTCCATAGGCTTTGTCATCCAACAAGCGAATAATTCATTGCAGAAATCATTGTTTGAAATCCACTCAGGCATTATGGAGTACTTACAATGGAAAGAGAAATTTGTGCCAAAATCTCTCGTTTAGGAACCCATCGCCATCCCAAGGATTAAATCGACTTTATCTATTTATGAAATAATTGCCCACCTCTAACAATGCTTCAGGCCAAATTTGATTGAAATATGTGTGGTGTTCAGGAAGAGCAGGGCTCTTAAAGCAGAATTGTAGCTAAATTCCCCATTTGGGGCCCTGCCCCTCTGTCACAATTTTCTGGATTTAAGAAATGATTGCCTATCCCAATTATGTTTCAGACCAAATTTGGCTGAAATCTACTTATGCACTAAGAAGTGTTTTAAAGGAAAAGTTGATGGAAGGTCAGATGGCATATAACGATTACAATTAGAGAATGTACTGTACATATCATTGGCTGCTTGTTTACATAAAATAACAAACTTCCTTATAATAGTCGACAAAAGTGAAAATATGAAAAAATGTCAGAGAAAAACTAACTTTGATAAAGGTTAACATTTTTTGTTAAAGCAAGGACAATAACAGCATATGTATTTGATTCTTTTGATGTACTTCAGGTTGTAATTAATCCTAACCATTAAAATGTTTTTGTTAAAATTTGTGATGATACACAACACAACTTACCCCTTGTCTACTGGCCTCATTGATATAGTCTGTGTAGGCCGAGGCTGCCTGGTCCTCCTCGTGTAGTTTCTCGTGAAGTCTGTGACAAGAAGTGTTTGTAGTTAGCCATATCTCATATCTATCTCAGTTCCTGACATTTTCTTTTCTAACATTCAATAACATTTTAGTCATTTGAGAAGTAGGGCTAACATTCGAAGCCATTTCCTTGCCAAAAAAAGTTTTTATAGTCACCAGCACTTCAAATTGTCCTTACCAGTTTCTATAGATTATCTAATGAAGGTAGTGACCATGCTGACCTATGTAGTTAATTACAAATACTTACCTGGCTAGTTTGATGATAGTCATTCCCTCAATATCACCTATACAGTTTACCATAGTCACTACCCATTACTTACCTGGCTAGTTTGATGAGATCTGTTCCCTCTCTACCCATTACTTACCTGGCTAGTTTGATGAGAGCTGTTCCGTCTCTACCCATTACTTACCTGGGATAGTTTGATGAGAGCTGTTCCCTCTCTACCCATTACTTACCTGGCTAGTTTGATGAGAGCAGTTCCCTCTCTACCCATTACTTCCCTGGCTAGTTTGATGAAAGCTGTTCCCTCCATATCACCAATACAGTTGGCAGTAGTCACTACCCATTACTTACCTGGCTAGTTTGATGAGAGCTGTTCCCTCTCTACCCATTACTTACCTGGGATAGTTTGATGAGAGCTGCTCCCTCTCTACCCATTACTTCCCTGGCTAGTTTGATGAGAGCTGTTCCCTCTCTACCCATTACTTCCCTGGCTAGTTTGATGAGAGCCATTCCCTCTGTGCCCATTACTTACCTGGCTAGTTTGATGAGAGCTGTTCCCTATCTACTCATTACTTACCTGGCTAGTTTGATGAGATCTGTTCCCTCTCTACCCATTATTTACCTGGCTAGTTTGATGAGAGCTGTTCCCTCTCTACCCATTACTTACCTGGCTAGTTTGATGAGAGCTGTTCCCTCTCTACCCATTACTTACCTGGCTAGTTTGATGAGAGCTGTTCCCTATCTACTCATTACTTACCTGGCTAGTTTGATGAGATCTGTTCCCTCTCTACCCATTATTTACCTGGCTAGTTTGATGAGAGCTGTTCCCTCTCTACCCATTACTTACCTGGCTAGTTTGATGAGAGCTGTTCCCTCTCTACCCATTACTTCCCTGGCTAGTTTGATGAGAGCCATTCCCTCTGTGCCCATTACTTACCTGGCTAGTTTGATGAGATCTGTTCCCTCTCTACCCATTATTTACCTGGCTAGTTTGATGAGAGCTGTTCCCTCTCTACCCATTACTTACCTGGCTAGTTTGATGAGATCTGTTCCCTCTCTACCCATTACTTACCTGGGATAGTTTGATGAGAGCTGTCTCTCTCTACCCATTACTTACCTAGCTAGTTTGATGAGATCTGTTCCCTCTCTACCCATTACTTACCTGGCTAGTTTGATGAGATCTGTTCCCTCTCTACCCATTACTTACCTGGGATAGTTTGATGAGAGCTGTCTCTCTCTACCCATTACTTACCTGGCTAGTTTGATGAGATCTGTTCCCTCTCTACCCATTACTTACCTGGCTAGTTTGATGAGAGCTGTTCCCTCCATATCACCTATACAGTTAGCTTTCCAGAAACATTTCTTGGCCTCCTGTAGTCTATCTAATTTCTCATAAGTCTCTCCCAGTGCCATTACCATGCGTGAGTCATTTGGTCTGAAAATGAATGCTGAGAAATCTAAATACACACAAAATATGTATACAAATAATCCCAAATTAAGTCTTATCTATTAACATACGAAATCAGAATAACTGGTCTGCTTTTGTCTTTATAATTCACCTTCCTTACTTTTATAAAAAAAACTGGGCAAATGGAGAATATCTAAGTTGACATGCTTGAGGTTTAAAGTTCAATGAAAATACAAACTTTCCTGAAGTTCTATTGCATATTCAAAAGACCTATTAGTTATAGCATTTTGCCTGAGGTTTTAGGGGTGATGTAAGTACTGATGCACCTGACTGTCTGTGACTGTGAAAAATAGTGAATCATCATATGAGTTTCTGGGTTGGACAACAATTTGAGATGACCATTGAGATCAAAAAAGCTATCACGTTAGTATTGCATTAGTAAAATAACTACTGTGATATTATTATGATAGTTAGGTGAGTATTGCAATACTATCATGATGGTGATTTAACCTTAGCATGTGTTTTCTAATCAACAAATAAATACTCAATTTACCAAATGTTAGAGCTGAACATTTTTGAAAATATCATATTTTGGCAATATGTAGACAATCAGGTATGTTGCACAATGATAGTCTTAGTTTTATGATAGATTAGTATAATTGCATCTTTATTTCAAACTTGACTTACGTTTCAAAAGGTGATTAAAAATTCCGCAGTCATACAATTATTTGGTTGAAGTCTGACTTTATAAATCTTTGCCATATCAAAGAAATGTATATTTAATGTTAGTAGGCCTAAATAGTAAAGGTATGATATATATAGCTATTTACCAAACAAAAGTGTCCGTACTTCACAAACTGGAGATTAATTGTGAACAGTTATGCGACACTTTGTCATTAATTTTCATGTAACAAAATGTTGTCCTACTGCCGTCGTGACTGTTTATTAGGAACAATTTTTGAAATGCCACTACCTTCCACTATGTTGTTTATCGAAATGGGCCATTTCAAGGATGAAAAATGGACCCAGAATTAAAGTCACCATCTCCCTTACTATAATTTGTTGATTTAATTACACCATATTGGAAACAATAACAATACAATACTTATTTAATATATAAACTCTCATTTTTCTTTTTCTATTCTAAGCAGGTCATTGTGCCATTCTTTTACCTAATGTTACCCCCATCAAGGTCCCAAAGATGCTTTTATAAATAGGCAATAACTTGGTGAAAAATCTTGCTTTCAAGTAGCATTTTTATTTAGTTAAAAGGAACTATCATTAACAATCAATAGATGAACAAACTATTGCAATAGTTATTGCCGTGAAAATATCTTATTCACTTATTGCTATCGAGACAAAAGCTATCGCAGTAAATTGATAAGTGGACATATCATTACACAGCTAGAATAATACAATAACTCACCTGAGTTTTTGGGCTTGTCGATAGTAGTAGAGACAGTAGTAATGCATCTTCAGGATTTCGTAGGTTTGTCCAAGTCCGTACCATGCTCGGTAGTCTCGCCGTTCAACCTCTGATTTAAAAGAGTTACATTTCAACATGGTTAATTAGCTGTACTAAAAGTGGAATCAGTCTAAACTATAACATTCCAATAAATGATATCTAAATAACCTTATTCACCCAAAACTTAATTTTTTGGAAAATTTTACACCATTTCCACTATCGGACCTCTCGTCTGATTCTGAGGGATAACAAGAGGTCCATTGGGCCTACAGCATTCACCTAGCATATATTTATATACCAGCCAAATATCATGCCTCTAGGCCTTTTAGTTCATGAGAAGATGTCATTTAAATGTTTTAACAAATTTCATCCCTGTGACCTTGAATGTAAGTCAAGGTCATTCTTTTTCGCAAACTTAGATAGTTTTCATCCTAGTAAAATACTAGCCAAATATCATGCCTGTAGGCCTTTTAGTTCATCAGAAAAAAAAATCATTAAAAGGTTTTAAAAAATCTGACTCTTGTGACCTTGAATATAAGTTTAGGTAATTTATATTCGTAGACTTTGTCAAGCTTCATCATAGGTACAAACCAATCACATAACATGCATCAAGGCCTTTTAGTTTATAAGAAAAAGTCATTGAAGTTTTTACAAATCTGACCCCTGTAACTTTGAATATAGGTCAAGGTCATTTCTTTTTGCAAACTTTGTCAGTCATTATCCTAGGAACATACCAGCCAAATATAAAAACAATGCCACCTTTAGACTATGTGAGCATAAAGCCTTTAACTATCACATAATGCTGAAGTTCATCTGTACAGAAATTGACTCATACTGTGTGAGATTAAAATCCATACTCTTCACCTGACGGTAGCTTGTAGTTCTTCTCTGTGAATGCCTCTGGTTTCATAACATTCTCTGTTAAACAATAACTGTGTATAATTATACAGAAATAATATTATTTTAAAGTGAATTAAACTGTCAGCTTTTTTACCTATTGCCTGTCTGTAAGCCTGAAGAGCAGCAGACGTGTTCTTCAGTTCCATGAATTCGTGGCCCATCAGAGTCCAGGCAGATAAGTAGTGGGGGTTAAGTTTTAGTGCCCTCTGGAAGTACAGTACCGCCTTCTCATGCTGTTGTCGTATAGAATAGTAGTTACCTACAAATACAGTGTACAATATCATAACCTTGTCAAATGTATATCACACAACAGTGTACAATACCATAGCCTTGTCCACAGTATATCACAGAACACACAGTACAATATCATAGCCTTGTCCACAGTATATCACACAACACACAGTACAATATCATAGCCTTGTCCACAGTATATCACAGAACACACAGTGTACCATTATCATAGCCTTGTCCACAGTATATCATAGAACACACAGTACAATATCATAACCTTGTCCACAGTATATCACAGTACACACAGTACAATATCATAGCCTTGTCCACAGTATATCACAGAACACAGTGTACAATATCATAGTCTTGTCCACAGTATATCACAGAACACACAGTGTACAATATCATAGTCCACAGTATATCACAGAACACAGTGTACAATATCATAGCCTTGTCCACAGTATATCACAGAACACACAGTGTACAATATCATAGCCTTGTCCACAGTATATCACAGAACACAGTGTACAATATCATAGCCTTGTCCACAGTATATCACAGAACACAGTGTACAATATCATAGCCTTGTCCACGGTATATCACAGAACACAGTGTACAATATCATAGCCTTGTCCACAGTATATCACAGAACACACAGTGTACAATATCATAGCCTTGTCCACAGTATATCACAGAACACAGTGTACAATATCATAACCTTGTCCACAGTATATCACAGAACACACAGTGTACAATATCATAGCCTTGTCCACAGTATATCACAGTACACACAGTACAATATCATAGCCTTGTCCACAGTATATCACAGTACACACAGTACAATATCATAGCCTTGTCCACAGTATATCACAGAACACACAGTACAATATCATAGCCTTGTCCACAGTATATCACAGAACACAGTGTACAATATCATAGCCTTGTCCACAGTATATCACAGAACACACAGTGTACCATTATCATAGCCTTGTCCACAGTATATCACAGTACACACAGTACAATATCATAACCTTGTCCACGGTATATCACAGAACACACAGTACAATATCATAGCCTTGTCCACGGTATATCACAGAACACACAGTACAATATCATAGCCTTGTCCACAGTATATCACAGTACACACAGTACAATATCATAGTCTTGTCCACGGTATATCACAGTACACACAGTGTACAATACCATAGCCTTGTCCACAGTATGTCACAGAACACACAGTGTACAATATCATAGCCTTGTCCACAGTATATCACAGAACACACAGTACAATATCATAGCCTTGTCCACGGTATATCACAGTACACACAGTGTACAATATCATAGCCTTGTCCACAGTATATCACAGAACACACAGTGTACAATATCATAGCCTTGTCCACAGTATATCACAGAACACAGTGTACAATATCATAGCCTTGTCCACAGTATATCACAGAACACACAGTACAATATCATAGCCTTGTCCACAGTATATCACAGTACACACAGTACAATATCATAGCCTTGTCCACAGTATATCATAGCCTTGTCCAACACAGTGTACAATATCATAGCCTTGTCCACAGTATATCACAGAACACAGTGTACAATATCATAGCCTTGTCCACAGTATATCAGTACACACAGTGTACACACAGTACAATACACACAGTCATAGCCTTGTCCACAGTACACACAGTACAATCATAGCACAGTACACACAGTACAATATCATAGCCTTGTCCACAGTATATCACAGTACACACAGTACAATATCATAGCCTTGTCCACAGTATATCACAGTACACACAGTACACAGTACAATATCACAGTAGCCTTGTCCACAGTATATCACACAGTACACACAGTACACACAGTATCATAGCCTTGTCCACAGTATATCACACAGTACAATATCACACAGTATATCACATATCATATAGCCTTGTCCACAGTATATCACAGAACACAGTGTACAATATCATAGCCTTGTCCACAGTATATCACAGTACACACAGTACAATATCATAGCCTTGTCCACAGTAAATCACAGTACACACAGTACAATATCATAGCCTTGTCCACAGTATATCACAGTACACACTGTACAATATCATAGCCTTGTCCACAGTATATCACAGAACACAGTGTACAATATCATAGCCTTGTCCACAGTATATCACAGTACACACAGTACAATATCATAGCCTTGTCCACAGTATATCACAGTACACACAGTACAATATCATAGCCTTGTCCACAGTATATCACAGTACACACAGTACAATATCATAGCCTTGTCCACAGTATATCACAGTACACACAGTACAATATCATAGCCTTGTCCACAGTAGATCACAGTACACACAGTACAATATCATAGCCTTGTCCACAGTATATCACAGTACACACAGTACAATATCATAGCCTTGTCCACAGTATATCACAGTACAAACAGTACAATAGCATAGCCGTGTCTACAGTAGATCACAGTACATACAGTAGAATATCATAGCCTTGTCCACAGTATGTCACAGTACACACACACAGTACAATATCATAGCCTTGTCCACAGTATATCACAGTACACACAGTACAATATCATAGCCTTGTCCACAGTATATCACAGTACACACAGTACAATATCATAGCCTTGTCCACAGTATATCACAGTACACACAGTACAATATCATAGCCTTGTCCACAGTATATCATAGAACACAGTGTACAATATCATAGCCTTGTCCACAGTATACACAGTACACACCTTGTCCACAATATCAACACACAGTAATATCATAGCCTTGTCCACAGTATATCACAGTACAATATCATAGCCTTATATCACAGTCCACAGTATCATATCACAGTACACACAGTACAATATCATAGCCTTGTCCACAGTATATCACAGTAACACAGTACAATATCATAGCCTTGTCCACAGTATATCACAGTACACATATCATAGCCTTGTCCACAGTATATCACACAGTACAATATCATAGCTTGTCCACAGTATATCACAGTACACACAGTACAATATCATAGCCTTGTCCACAGTATATCACAGTACACACAGTACAATATCAATATATCACAGTACACACAGTACAATATCATAGACTTGTCCACAGTATATCACAGTACACACAGTACACTATCATAGCCTTGTCCACAGTATATCACAGAACACAGTACAATATCATAGCCTTGTCCACAGTATATCACAGTACACACACACACATGTACAATATCATAGCCTTGTCCACAATATAACACAGTATAACACACACAGTACACACAGTACAATATCATAGCCTTGTCCACAGTATATCACAGAACACAGTGTACAATATCATAGCCTTGTCCACAGTATATCACAGTACACACAGTACAATATCATAGCCTTGTCCACAGTATATCACAGACACACAGTGTACAATATCATAGCCTTGTCCACAGTATATCACAGTCACACAGTACACACACAGTATATCACAGTACACACAGTACAATATCATAGCCTTGTCCACAGTATATCACAGTACACACAGTACAATATCATAGCCTTGTCCACAGTATATCACAGACACACAGTGTACAATATCATAGCCTTGTCCACAGTATATCACAGTACACACAGTACAATATCATAGCCTTGTCCACAGTATATCAACACAGTACACACAGGGTAGCCTTGTCCACAGTATATCACAGAACACAGTGTACAATATCATAGCCTTGTCCACAGTATATCACAGTACACACAGTACAATATTATAGCCTTGTCCACAGTATATCACAGTACACACAGTACAATATCATAGCCTTGTCCACAGTATATCATAGAACACAGTGTACAATATCATAGCCTTGTCCACAGTATATCACAGAACACAGTGTACCATTGTCATAGCCTTGTCCACGGTATATCACAGAACACAGTGTACAATATCATAGTCTTGTCCACAGTACATCACAGTACACACAGTACAATATCATAGCCTTGTCCACAGTACATCACAGTACACACAGTACAATATCATAGCCTTGTCCACAGTACATCACAGTACACACAGTACAATATCATAGCCTTGTCCACAGTATATCACAGTACACACAGTACAATATCATAGCCTTGTCCACAGTATATCATAGAACACAGTGTACAATATCATAGCCTTGTCCACAGTATATCACAGTACACACAGTACAATATCATAGCCTTGTCCACAGTATATCACAGTACACACAGTACAATATCATAGCCTTGTCCACAGTACATCACAGTACACACAGTACAATATCATAGCCTTGTCCACAGTACATCACAGTACACACAGTACAATATCATAGCCTTGTCCACGGTATATCACAGTACACACAGTACAATATCATAGCCTTGTCCACAGTATATCATAGAACACAGTGTACAATATCATAGCCTTGTCCACAGTATATCACAGAACACACAGTGTACCATTGTCATAGCCTTGTCCACAGTATATCATAGAACACACAGTACAATACCATAGCCTTGTCCACAGTATATCACAGTACACACAGTACAATATCATAGCCTTGTCCACAGTATATCACAGTACACACAGTACAATACCATAGCCTTGTCCACAGTATATCACAGAACACAGTGTATAATATCATAGTCTTGTCCACAGTATATCACAGAACACAGTGTACAATATCATAGCCTTGTCCACAGTATATCACAGTACATACAGTACAATATCATAGCCTTGTCTACAGTATATCACAGTACATACAGTACAATATCATAGCCTTGTCCACAGTATATCACAGTACACACAGTACAATATCATAGCCTTATCCACAGTATATCACAGTACACACAGTACAATATCATAGCCTTGTCCACAGTAAATCACAGTACACACAGTACAATATCATAGCCTTGTCCACAGTATATCACAGAACACAGTGTACAATATCATAACCTTGTCCACAGTATATCACAGTACATACAGTACAATATCATAGCCTTGTCCACAGTATATCACAGTACACACAGTACAATATCATAGCCTTGTCCACAGTATATCACAGTACACACATTACAATATCATAGCCTTGTCCACAGTTTATCATAGAACAGTGTACAATATCATAGCCTTGTCCACAGTATAACACAGTATAACACACAGTGTACAATATCATAGCCTTGTCCACAATATAACACAGTATAACACACAGTGTACAATATCATAGCCTTGTCCACAGTATATCACAGAACACAGTGTACATTATCATAGCCTTGTCCACAGTATATCACAGTACACACAGTACAATATCATAGCCTTGTCCACAGTATATCACAGAACACAGTGTACAATATCATAGCCTTGTCCACAGTATATCACAGTACACACAGTACAATATCATAGCCTTGTCCACAGTATATCACAGTACACACAGTACAATATCATAGCCTTGTCCACAGTATATCACAGTACACACAGTACAATATCATAGCCTTGTCCACAGTATATCACAGAACACAGTGTACAATATCATAGCCTTGTCCACAGTATAACACAGTATAACACACAGTGTACAATATCATAGCCTTGTCCACAATATAACACAGTATAACACACAGTGTACAATATCATAGCCTTGTCCACAGTATATCACAGAACACAGTGTACATTATCATAGCCTTGTCCACAGTATATCACAGTACACACAGTACAATATCATAGCCTTGTCCACAGTATATCACAGAACACAGTGTACAATATCATAGCCTTGTCCACAGTATATCACAGTACACACAGTACAATATCATAGCCTTGTCCACAGTATATCACAGTACACACAGTACAATATCATAGCCTTGTCCACAGTATATCACAGTACACACAGTACAATATCATAGCCTTGTCCACAGTATATCACAGAACACAGTGTACAATATCATAGCCTTGTCCACAGTATATCACAGTACACACAGTACAATATCATAGCCTTGTCCACAGTATATCACAGTACACACAGGGTACAATATCATAGCCTTGTCCATAGTATATCACAGAACACAGTGTACAATATCATAGCCTTGTCCACAGTATATCACAGTACACACAGTACAATATTATAGCCTTGTCCACAGTATATCACAGTACACACAGTACAATATCATAGCCTTGTCCACAGTATATCACAGAACACAGTGTACAATATCATAGCCTTGTCCACAGTATATCACAGTACACACAGTACAATATTATAGCCTTGTCCATAGTATATCACAGTACACACAGTACAATATCATAGCCTTGTCCACAGTATATCACAGTACACACAGTACAATATCATAGCCTTGTCCACAGTATATCACAGAACACAGTGTACAATATCATAGCCTTGTCCACAGTATATCACAGTACACACAGTACAATATCATAGCCTTGTCCACAGTATATCACAGAACACAGTGTACAATATCATAGCCTTGTCCACAGTATATCACAGAACAGTGTACCATTGTCATAGCCTTGTCCACAGTATATCACAGAACACAGTGTACAATATCATAGCCTTGTCCACAGTATATCACAGAACACAGTGTACAATATCATAGCCTTGTCCACAGTATATCACAGTACACACAGTACAATATCATAGCCTTGTCCACAGTATATCACAGAACACAGTGTACAATATCATAGCCTTGTCCACAGTATATCACAGAACAGTGTACCATTGTCATAGCCTTGTCCACAGTATATCACAGAACACAGTGTACAATATCATAGCCTTGTCCACAGTATATCACAGAACACAGTGTACAATATCATAGCCTTGTCCACAGTATATCACAGTACACACAGTACAATATCATAGCCTTGTCCACAGTATATCACAGAACACAGGGTACAATATCATAGCCTTGTCCACAGTATATCACAGTACACACAGTACAATATCATAGCCTTGTCCACAGTATATCACAGAACACAGTGTACAATATCATAGCCTTGTCCACAGTATATCACAGAACACAGTGTACAATATCATAGCCTTGTCCACAGTATATCACAGAACACAGTGTACAATATCATAGCCTTGTCCACAGTATATCACAGTACACACAGTGTACCATTATCATAGCCTTGTCCACAGTATATCATAGAACACACAGTACAATATCATAGCCTTGTCCACAGTATATCACAGAACACAGGGTACATTATCATAGCCTTGTCCACAGTATATCACAGAACACAGTGTACCAATATCATAGCCTTGTCCACAGTATATCACAATGCAGTGTACAACATCATAAACTTTTGACATACACATGTAAAGTATTTAGATTACATACCTATAACACAGCAAGTCTCTACCCGGTATTTATCAATATCACAACACTTGTGAGCTAGGTTGGCAAGTTCAGCTCTCATCTCCTACAATAGCATGGGACCATCTGTCACAAGGTTATCATAATGTCATTCAGAATGCACCAACAACTAACATTAAATAGAAAGGATCTTATATGAGTCTTGATTCAAATGGAAATGAAGGAGGTCTTTTAAATTTTTATTCAATCTGAGATATGAAATGGAAATATATGCAAGACACTGTTTATCACATAATAAGGATATTTTCGCAACATTTGTGTCAATATAATTTTACAAGGCTAATACAAAATCTATGGTCCATCTCTTTTTGATGATGTCACTTTCCACATGATGCCACAAAGCAATGGGAACCTTCATGCAATCACAGCTCTGCTAGGTCATAATACACACATATTAATTATGTAATAGGTGTTTTTAAACTGTTAACAGGATAGTTAAGTGATAAGCAAACATGTGCTATTATGACTTAGATAGAGATACACTAGGAAACATAACTGGTGTATGTACATCTCTCTGATCTGAATGACTGTAGAGATGGAAACCTTCTAGAACTAATCAGAACAGTAAATTTTCTAACCATGAAATAATTAACACAGAAATGTTCAAGAGAGTGACATATTGATCAGAGTTTAACAACAGCACTCTCGATCTGCCAGATTTGGGGCTGATATTCGGCTCCATTCCCAATGCAAAATAGTATCTTTTTTCCCAATTTAGACCCCAAGTTTTCCCAATTCTAAGGAAAACACCATTATTTTACCCAATTCTAAGGGCCCCAGGCCCTAGTCCCAAAATGGGGTGTGAGAGCTCTGAACAAACACCATCCAAACAACTAAATTTATAGATAGATATAAGATTAAGCTTATGGAGTATTAATTGATATAAAATTTCTGCCATTAGATATGAACATTACAAGTATCAGATGTTCTTTCTTTATTAGAATTATTATAGAATATAGAGTAAACCTTGATATAGAGCAGGTTGGAGAAAATGTCCATATTTTCCAGTCTGTAGGGGTCCATTTCCTGAAGCTCTGTGAACACAGTCATTGCCTGATCTACATCTACAGCAACAAAATAAACCACTGTCACTGACCATACATGTGAACCATGACAGTTTAGTAGATTTTCTTAATGACTCAAAATGTAGGGATTTTTCTACAAATATAAAACATTCAATGTTTTTAAATCACAAAATCAAACTAATGAAATTCAGTTTAGGGTTTTAAAACTACTCACCTCTCATGTTGTGGTAAGTCACTGCTATCTGTGATACAATGTAGGAACTACTCACCTCTCATGTTGTGGTAAGTCACTGCTATCTGTGATACATTGTTGGAACTATTCACCTTTCATGTAGTGGTAAGTCACTGCTATCTGTGATACAATGTAGGAACTACTCACCTTTCATGTTGTGGTAAGTCACTGCTATCTGTGATACATTGTTGGAACTATTCACCTTTCATGTAGTGGTAAGTCACTGCTATCTGTGATACAATGTTGGAACTACTCACCTCTCCTGTTGTGGTAAGTCACTGCTATCTGTGATACAATGTTGGAACTACTCACCTCTCATGTAGTGGTAAGTCACTGCTATCTGTGATACAATGTTGGAACTACTCACCTCTCCTGTTGTGGTAAGTCACTGCTATCTGTGATACAATGTTGGAACTACTCACCTCTCATGTTGTGGTAAGTCACTGCTATCTGTGATACAATGTTGGAACTACTCACCTCTCATGTTGTGGTAAGTCACTGCTATCTGTGATACAATGTTGGAACTACTCACCTCTCATGTTGTGGTAAGTCACTGCTATCTGTGATACAATGTAGGAACTACTCACCTTTCATGTTGTGGTAAGTCACTGCTATCTGTGATACAATGTTGGAACTACTCACCTCTCATGTTGTGGTAAGTCACTGCTATCTGTGATACAATGTTGGAACTACTCACCTCTCATGTTGTGGTAAGTCACTGCTATCTGTGATACATTGTTGGAACTACTCACCTCTCATGTTGTGGTAAGTCACTGCTATCTGTTATACAATGTAGGAACTATTCACCTTTCATGTAGTGGTAAGTCACTGCTATCTGTGATAAATTGTTGGAACTACTCACCTCTCATGTTGTGGTAAGTCACTGCTATCTGTGATACATTGTAGGAACTACTCACCTCTCATGTTGTGGTAAGTCACTGCTATCTGTGATACATTGTAGGAACTACTCACCTCTCATGTTGTGGTAAGTCACTGCTATCTGTGATACAATGTTGGAACTACTCACCTCTCATATTGTGGTAAGTCACTGTTTCTGTGATACATTGTAGGAACTACTCACCTCTCATGTTGTGGTAAGTCACTGCTATCTGTGATACAATGTTGGAACTACTCACCTCTCATGTTGTGGTAAGTCACTGCTATCTGTGATACATTGTTGGAACTACTCACCTCTCATGTTGTGGTAAGTCACTGCTATCTGTTATACAATGTAGGAACTATTCACCTTTCATGTAGTGGTAAGTCACTGCTATCTGTGATAAATTGTTGGAACTACTCACCTCTCATGTTGTGGTAAGTCACTGCTATCTGTGATACATTGTAGGAACTACTCACCTCTCATGTTGTGGTAAGTCACTGCTATCTGTGATACAATGTAGGAACTACTCACCTCTCATGTTGTGGTAAGTCACTGCTATCTGTGATACATTGTTGGAACTACTCACCTCTCATGTTGTGGTAAGTCACTGCTATCTGTGATACATTGTTGGAACTACTCACCTCTCATGTTGTGGTAAGTCACTGCTATCTGTGATACATTGTTGGAACTACTCACCTCTCATGTTGTGGTAAGTCACTGCTATCTGTGATACAATGTTGGAACTACTCACCTCTCATGTTGTGGTAAGTCACTGCTATCTGTGATACAATGTTGGAACTACTCACCTCTCATGTTGTGATAAGCCACTGCTATCTGTGATACAATGTAGGAACTTTTGGCAAACCCATTTTCTGCCAAGCTCTGGTAGATCTTCATTGCCTCCTCATTCAGTTGGAGTTGGAGGTAGATGTGGGCTAGAAACACATTCTTTATCCAGTGGTTTGGCAGGTACAGGGATAACAGCTGTTGGACACAAAATACTAACAGAATCAAAGTGTCGCTGGGGACAAGATAGTTCACGCTGACCACTCTTAGTGATAAATATCAAAACTGGTTTTGTTTTCCTTTAAATCAAGTGTGTCTTACCATCAAAACAAAAAGAAAAAAATTACCTACACAAATTCCTACAATCTACAATCAGCCACCTTTCCCAACATCTACCATCTCCATATCTGTGATGAGTCCAGCCACCCTCCCTTGACATTTACCATCTCCATATCTGTTAGGAGTCCAGCCACCCTCCCTTGACATTTACCATCACCTTATCTGTAATGAGTCCAGTCCCATCCTCTCCTGCCCTCTCTACCTACCTTATCCTTATCATCAATGACTCCAGCCCCCTCCCTCCTCTGCCTCATCTAACACCTACTATCTTCTATTTGTGATGACTCCTGCCCCCTCCCTCCCTTTAACATCTTCTGTCTTTTATCTATGATAAGTCCAGCCCCCTCCCTCCCTCCCTCTAACATCTTCTGTCTCCTTATCTGTGATGAGTTCAGCCCCTTCCTCCCTCTAACATCTTCTGTCTCCTTATCTGTGATGAGTCCAGCCCCCTCCCTCCCTCTAACATCTTCTGTCTCCTTATCTGTGATGAGTCCAGCCCCCTCTCTCCCTCTAACATCTTCTGTCTCCTTATCTGTGATGAGTCCAGCCCCCTCCCTCCCTCTAACATCTTCTGTCTCCTTATCTGTGATGAGTCCAGCCCCCTCCCTTCCTCTAACATCTTCTGTCTCCTTATCTGTGATGAGTCCAGCCCATTCCCTCCCTTGCCTCCTCCAACACCTATCATCTCTTTCACTGTGATGAATCCAGCTCCTCCTTCCAACACCTACCGTCTCCTTGTCTGTGATGAGTCCAGCCAGTTCCTGCCACGCACCCCAATGTAAAGGCTCATGTGTTATTGCCTCCACAAATATTTCCATTGATTCTTTAATTAATTCCAGTTTTTTTAGAACCACTCCATACCTGTTGAAATGTTTAGCATCATAAATTCACACCAAACTCGCTGTTTACCTATAACTTTAGTATATAGCATTATAGAAAAGGAACCAATTTAAAAATATGTTAATTTGGATGAAGTCACAAAAGCTTAATAGAACATCTTCTGTTAAGTGGTATGTTGATTCATATCTGTTTTGTCAAAACAAATTGAAAAACTGAAAATGTTTCAAAGTTTTATGGGAAATGAAACCGAGACAATTTACATGTGTTGTCTCGGAAGTCAACCTTACATTTACTATGTTTAAAATAAATGAAAACAAATTTCCAATACTTACAGATATAAACAAAAACCATCAAGTTCCTTGTTAGCATATTTTTTACACAGCTCCATTTTGAGGGTCTTCAACTGTTCATTCTCTAGTTTGTTAGGAGGACCTTTAAATAAAAGACATTTAATAATCTCATTCCTTGATAAGAAAAGTTTTCATCTAAATTCTAAAGTTAAAAATGCTTGTATTCAACACCACAGCCCTCAATTATGATCAGCAATTATAGAACATTGTACAAAATTTACACATTAAGAAGCTATTTTTCTATTGATGAATCTGTAATATATTCTTCATCCCATGTAACATTTTAAAAATTTTATTTTTTCACCAACCTATGGAGTCAGATGCATTGTCATTTTTTCGTTTCTCTTCAGCCAGGTAGCGAGAGTACATGTAGAGAAAGTAGGCTTGACTGCTATGACAATCGTGGACAAAGTGGGCAGCTCTGTCATATTCCTTCAGGTCAAAGTAGCTCACTGCCAGTGTGTACTGGTCATATTCTTTTAAAAAGTCCTGTAACAAATACAAAGTATATACACAAACAGAATATAATTATTGTAGAGAGTACAAAAACAAGAACAAAGGAAGGTTGAAGATAAGGAATTAAGCTTGAACATTGCATTGTCAGGAAGCAGTACATATTGAAAGCAGCAATACACCTGTCAAAGTTATTATTTACCAACACTTTTTATGGAAATTCCACTGAGAAAACAACTAGACAAATTAGAAATTAATCAATGTTATGTGTATGTTCTTTATTGTATATTTACAAAGTATTCTGGAAACACACGTAGTAGGGTGAAGTTGTTACACAATGTCATCAACAGGCACATACACTGCACATGATGTGAATGATATTTGAGTTCTGAGTGAGTGTCATACATGCATTGTACTGTCTACTCTGCATGTACCTGCCCAGTGCCCTCATTATGTACCTGATCGCCATCCAGCGCAGACCTCCTTCCCTGGTAAGTGTCTTATTTATAAATAAAGGACGTTCAATATCAACCTTCTGTATTGTTATCATAATGTTAATATGCCAGTCTTGTGCTAAGCAATACATCTGTATTGCAGGTTTCCATTGAATGTCCCAGGTATATGTCTGCTATATATCAAAATGTGCACATTGAACAGATGCATCTTGTCATAATTGACTTAATGGCTAAAACAAAAAGCACTCATAATGGAGCTGTATAGGCTATCTAGTTCCTGATGTACCAAACTGAATTGTCTCTTACAGAAATTGTTTGAAGACAAGTAATTTGTAATTTGATCAGTTTCTCCAATAAGAATAATGATTTTCCTTAACTTTAGTTTGTTTATTCTTTGAAATATCTAAACTGCTATCATAAATTATGAAATCAATAAAAAAATGTGATATTAACCAGAAAGTGACATTAACAGACGTGACATTAAGTTGGTTCCACTGTACCGATGAAAAGCTGAATCTGATAAAAATAAAACGAACAAGAGGCCCAAGGGGCCTTAACGGCCACCTGAGGAATATATGTCAATAATTTAGGGATTTTAAAATGTTGCAAAAATGTAACAACACTTGTGAAGGACCATGTGTAAAACATCTGTACCAAGTTTGAACATGATCCACCCAGTGGTTCTTGAGAGGAAGTCCAAAATGTCTTAGCCAAACAGAGGCCAGGGTTGCACATTTATATAAAGCAAATCATGCTTTCATTTACAAGTTGAAAAATAGCTTAGTAGATACATGTAGAGCTAAAGTATACAAAAAATCAGATCAATTTCAAGCCTATCCACAATCTTTTCCTTGCCTTATACAATAAGGCGTCCAACTAAAAATACTCACATAAAACAATGTGAAAAAATCTTGTGGTACTTCTGAGACGGGAATATATATGTATCAAGGCTGAGAAATGTAGTGTTACCACAGGTATTGAACCATATTATACATGTAGCTCAGAACATAGAAGGTTCAGCTAGTAATAAGATCTGGGTTTGATGAAAGATCTGGCTACACATTTTTTCTCGCCTATATGGTTGTCATAAACACACAACATGTCTTTATTAAAGATTGATACATAACAAATATCAGAAGGGCTAATTTTGGACCAGTTATTTATATTCTCACAAACTTTGCAGTCCTTTCCCTAAAGATCATCTATATGAAGTTCCACTTTTGGTTCAGGACAACAAGATTTGCAAAGATTTAACAAATTCTACCCCTTTCTGCCCCTTAAATATGCTCCCATTGAGGCCACACCTTTTTCTATTGTAAACTTAAAGAAGCTTACTTTACCTAATTTTACTCCTTTTTTACCCCCACCTGGGGCCCCTATTGCAGCCATTACTTTTTTCCCCCAAACTAAATGTGTCTTATTACACAGATGCTGAGTGCTTAGTGTTGTTGTAACCCAAAAACATGGTCAATGCCATTAGAACCCATTTTCAAAAAAAAAAAAATTATTGACCCCTTTTTGCCCCCCATGAGGCCCCAAGAACCCCACAGACACTTTTTTTCAACTCAAAGTCACATGTTCTTCACAAGGGGACCTTATATACTAAATTTGGTTGAAATGTCAACTTTGAATTTTGACCCCTTTTTAGTGCCCCCTGGAGCGCCTACCTATTTATGACCCATTTTTTTTCTAATTCGCAAACTTTGTAGACCTTGCTCTCAGAATCATTAATTTTGAATTTTAGGAAAATCTGATACTTGGTTCATAAGAAGAAGATTTTTAAAGATTTACCTAATTTTACCCCTTTTTGCCCCCTCCTGTAGCCCCTATTAAAGCCACACCCTTTTCTTTCACAAACTTGATGCATCTTACTATATGGATACTTTGTGCCAAGTTTGGTTGAAATCCATCCATTGGTTCTTGAGAAGAAGTCGAAAATGTGAAAAGTTAACGACGCATGACGACAGACAAATCATGATGGCAATAGGTCACCATGAGTCTTTGGCTCAGGTGACCTAAAAATTCTGATTATGTGAATATTGAAATATATAATTGTGTCAGATCACACTCATGTAGCCAAGTTTTAAAATAAAAAGAATGTTATGATATATGGCTATCTCCTGAACTATTTCTTCTTTCTTTCTAAGAATGTTGAATTAAAAGAAAAAACATACATGTTAAATTGCTTGGTATCTACACACTGAACAAGATGAAATAACCTGAGTGTTTAATACATAAAAAAAGAAACTGAAAATTTCACAAAATGTGATGAAGCCTGAAGTCCTAGTAAAATAACGTAAACAGTGATTGTTTTCTCTGGACTTTTCCTACTTTACCTACATATATGAACTAGTATGAACATTCGTCCACAGGAATGTGGTGAAGATGATTCCAGAAGCAATGACTTTTTTGTCAACTGTTCTCATTAATTACCTCTCTGTCTTGATGTCGCAACTGAGATGTTTCTATCTCTACTTCCAAACCATATGACATTTCAGCAGCCCTGAAACATCATAAATAATCAAATAAATGTGATATGACAGTAATACTAATATATTATGTAACATTAACCACTCTTCAGGACCCTGGAGAGTATGATCTTAAAGTGTACCCTGAGAGTAATTTTATATTTAGATATAATGTTAAGAATGCCGTAAAAATAATAATAATGAAAACCCCGTCAAAATCCGTCGCCCCAGTGTCGAGTTATTAAAGCTCAAAGTTGTCGATTTTCACCTGTCCGCCCAGACCTAATCAGCTGAATCGTCATTTCCGCGGAATCGAGGCTCTTCTACTCGTGACGTCATAAGTTCAACAGAAATGGCAGTCAACATGACTGACAGTGACAACGACACTGCAACTGAGAGCGATTTGAGCATGAGTTTTGAGGAGTCTGATTATGGTGTGAATGATATGTCTGAAGACGGAATCCAGCCCTACCGATTTGAACTGGAATTACAAGACGATGTATCCAGTGAGGAGGAAAATGACCCTTCAAAAAGTGACGATCGCTTGGGCAACATAGATTGGCACGTACTTCACTGGGTCTCACCAGTAGTCGTGAAAGTAGTCGAACAGTGAATCGTCGTTTCAAAGAAACAAAATAAAATTGGGTGTGGTTTTGGACTAATTTTACTATCTTCAAGTCTCGATCAACAATATCTGACGTCGGGAAATCGCGTTTGTGCAAGACTATGCATATATTCACGAGGTGTCGGGAATTTTCTTACCGAAGAAGTTTCGTCCGAGGGGAATTTTTCTTTCCAGGGAATTTTCGTAGCACTATGGATATATATAGATAGGATGTCAACAACCAATTATAACACCCTCCGCTGTGTTAATAATAAAAATTTGATGTTTTAGAAGTTTAAACAATTATTTGACTGGTTTTTACCCTAGCACTGGTACGCGTCTGTTGTTAGCCGACAGGCGTGTCGCCTCACAGGTGTCACAATTGTTTTTTCTTAAGGCAACTACAATACACCAAGGGATTCAGAAAACATTCACATATAATGTCATGTGTTTAATTATAATATTAAGAATACTACTGACTGTTGGAAAAGGGAAAGAGGGATAGCTTGACACTGATTGCAGTATATACTAAACAAAAAAAGAAAGGTAACACTACTTTATTCTGTGTAACCCCTTCACAAAATCCTTACCAATCATGTACGAATAAAGTAATTGATCAATTCTGATAAAACTGCAGTCATGATTTATTATAAAACTTTGTGTTCAGTTGATTTTATTCGACTGTAAAGGACGTTGGGGTCAATTTCAAAGGTAACACCATTAGTAACGGGTATGCGAAGTAAACAGCATTGCAGGGTCGTCGCATAAAACTCGTAAACCGATAATTCGAGGAGAGATGTTGTTCCATTCAGCGATCAAGGCTTGGGCCAGCTCCTGCAAGTTTGACGGCTGATTTTGACGTTCTCTCACACGTCGTCCAAGAACGTCCCAGACATGCTCAATCGGTGATAAATCAGGTGATTTAGATGGATGTTGACCCAATTTGGTTTAAACGACTTACCAACTGGCAAATTGTCTTAACACTGTAACCAAAATGCCGTGCAACTCGACGGCGAGACTCCCCAGCCTGGATCATGCCTACAGCCCTTTCTCTCTGTACTTGTGACAGCCGGGGCATAATGATAAAGTTGATAGATAGCAGGATTCGGTGATTTCTAAGTCCTAAGGATCTAGGGAACAGTTGTCAGTTTGAATGTTTATGAAATTCAAGCGAAGATACAAGTTAGTCGCAGAAAACCTCGTGCAGCTCTTTCGCTAATACAGACTTTCACGCTTCAATGATTTTGGTAACCCCCTTGGATTTTGTAATGTAAAACATTACCATTTTCTAATATTGCACAAATGTCATTTTGTTTTCACTCATTTACAGGTATTCGCCAAGGAAACATGATAACCTTTCTTTTTTGGTTGAGTATATTACAGTAGCTTTCAAATGAAATGTAATACATAGGGTAGCTTCCACCTGTCACATGGAATGTTAATGTAGCCTTCACCTGTTATTTGGCACCTGGTATATTAACATAGTGTTCACATGTAATGAAGTACATCAACATAATGTTTAAAAGTAATATGGTATGAATATGAAGCATTCAAATTTGATGCAGTATATACATATATATATTCAGTAAATTTTGTAAGATTTTTTTCTGGTGAGTCCAGAGCACCATTTCCAAAAATTTGATGAGTCCAGTTACAAAGAGATATAATGGGTTTCCAAAATCTGAGCAAGTCCCACAGGAAAAGCACAAGCCCTGGACTCAAATATCTGAGTCCTAAAACCACTGGTATCATAATGTATCATTCTCTTTTATTATAGTATTTTCATGTAGCATTCACAGTTAACACTGTATGTTTATGTAGCATTCATATGTTATATGGCATGTTAACATAGCGTTCACATGAAATTAACACAGATTATTATCATGGCTTACTGTTAATAGGCAACACTTCTGTTTACAATGGTACTGTGTATATATAAATGTCATATTGATATAGCAATTTTGAAAGTATCCATCAAAACAAGATATTATGTCATATCTGACCACATCGGAAGTTTGCTACCTTTCACATATTTACATCATGGTCTTTTTCAATTTCATTGTACTAGTGTGCCAGATATCTATGCTTCAGCCTTCAAGCAGAGTAACCGTCCTTCCTTACCACGACTGGTCTGTGCCAGTTGTATCATACCAAGCATTTGATAGATGTTCCAAAATTATGGGTCAGTTTGTACCACAGCCATGTTGATATATACCACTATATACTCTTACCAAAACAAAAGTTGGAATTGTTACGCACCAAACAATGAAGTTAAATTTGTACCTAAAACTTGTTTTCTAAGCAAGTTTGTTTGCTCGTCACTTTTTTTGTTTTTTTTTTGTTTTGGTTGATGTGCAAGCAGAATTGTCACAGTTGCCTTCCTTCACACAGTCAAAGATTTTATGCAAAGTATTGGATAAATACACATGTGTGTATGCTGTTCACTAAAATTCCTGCTGTGGTTACAATTCTATTACTTCATGAGACTTATATCATATGTTTGTATAAATGGTAAATTGAGGTGTACAAACTCCATTAGAACATAAGTAGATGATTTTGTTCAGTTTTCTTCAAAAGCACCCCATGAAATCCTAGCTAGTGCAGAATATCCCTTTCAAGTCTTTTTATGTCAAAACATTCAAGACAACTAACAAAAACATCTGGAAGAATATTACCAACACTGCATTGACAAGAGATTTTTTCATCAAAGGCACCTAGATTATACATCATGTACAAGAGTATCAATGAAAAGTCAGTAGGTATTATCAATTCCTTCAGATACAATCTTTACCGCAATGCTCTTTAGGATAAGTTGATAAATGAAATTAGAGATGTATATATGTCTCTGATAAAATCAATAAATATTCTGGAAAATACATCAATTTCAGATATATGTCAATATATAAAAGTTTAAAATCTATATCATGCAGTACAAAATTATTAATTTCATTTAATGTGCAATTGATAGCAATCAAGACTCTCCCAAACATGTCACATCTTTCATATTAAGATCCCTTAAAAAGCTTAAATTACCTACAATCAATATCAAAGTATGAGAGGGAATATAATAGAAACTTATAAGATAAAACTGGGAATTATGAAGCAAAGTTTACGGAAAATTTTGGTCACTTTAACACCATATGTAACAACTAGATGTTATCACTTGAAAGTAGCCAAACTAAGATCACACCTGAATATCAGGAAATACTTCTTTACAGAGTAGTCGATCTTTGGAACGGACTACCGGAAAATGCAAAGATTAGTTCGTAAAATGTATAAACATCGGAAATCGCTTAAAACATGTTAAAGTGTAACCATCCTATGATTTACAATTACAACACTGACTATAACCTTAATATCCAACCGAAAGTGCAGTCTAATGTTGATACCATCTACTATCGCACATTGGAACTCTCTCCCAGCCACTGTAGCTGAGGCCCCTGACTTGGTATCCTTCAAGCAGGGGCAATCAACTCTTTCTTTTTAATACACTATCCAGACTTTCTCCTCTGAAACTGGTAGAGCTGTGCCGGTTGGAGTTTATCTCCTGAGGCCGCTACGGTAGCCGGATTGGTCAAACTAGCAGTGGGATAAGGAGTTAGTTACAGGACACACACTACACAATACACACATTCAGTACAAATATATATCTCTTCTTTAATATTATCTTATCATACTTGTTTTTATAAAATTTGTCAGATGAAGCGCCGCGCACACACTGTATAATGGTCAGCCAAATGACAGAACAGTGGACGATGTAGAATGTAGAATACCGTGGGACCAACTTCGTCCCTGCTTTCGGAACAGACATAAGTATGTATGGTACGTAACAATAATAGTACGTACCGACTTTCGTTTTCGGTACAAAACTACCTAGCTGTGGTACGACACGACTAGTACGAACCGGTCATGGTACGGAACGAATGGAACCCTTCAAGCAAGTCTATGGACTTGGCAAAATTTAAGTTCCAGTTCAACTATTTACCAATTGCAAAAGGAGCGTTCAATATTCTGAACACATGCTGCAATCAATTCTATTTACTACTTAATACAAACCATTTCGCACTATTAAGGAGTTTTCTCTGTGAACATTCCCTTGTTGCGCGAATCAAATCAAACTTTATCTTTGAAATAGGTGGGAGATCTAGTGCTTGAAAAGTTGAAATGTCCGCCATCTCTCAGTGTTTCGTGCTCAATCCTGAGCAATTGAGCGTTTGCTAGTAAAGAAGAAATGATGTGAAAGCGTCTCTATCATAGAGAGTGTAAATGTAAAAGTCGAGTCGTCAACGGACAGCTATTTCCGTGATCTCAATTTTTTTCAATAATGATATTTTCATATCAAACTAAGTCCATTAAAACAAATTATCATCATTTTATAAATATAAATATTTAGAATCCCTCGAATAGTAATCAAATTTTAAAAGTTCGTTAAACTACGAAATTTCAATAATGATGCAACGTATACAATGAAGGATCCCTGCATCCGGGTTCCCAACAGTATGGTGTCTTTGACGTTTGACAGAAGAGAAGTGAACATATTACCTGCTTGTGACCAGCGTGTATAGAAGCAGAAACAGCTTCGATTTTGATTACTGGTGTGGAAAGGCAGTCGTACATCGATGGATGAGCCGGACAAGAGGACGTAGTTGTTGCTCAGTCGAAGGTAAACATCAAAATGAAGGGTAATGACGGACCGCTGTTATTTTCCTGAAATGCGACGTTGGCAGAATATATCGAGTGTCTGGATTTGCTTTGTAACAAACAAAACGCTGATCATCATTTATCTTAAAACCTGCAGATTATTTCATTGTTTAATACTCTTTTCTTGAAGTATCTTAATTGTACGATCATGAACTGACCAGCATATAGGAAGTAATGTACAATTTTACACATTAATATGAAATAGATACTGCCTAAAAGCGAGCGCAAGTTGATCATGAAGATGCTCGTGTATATATAACTATATACCACACACACACGCGCGCACGCACGCACACACACACACACACACACACACACACACACACACACACACACACACACACCATTATGAACTGTCCGTTCCATGGCTTCATACAATGCACTTCAGTTTTAAGTAAATTTCATAAATATTCAAATAATATGATATTGGCACTGCTTATGAGCGATCACAACATGTTTAAAACTGGGAAGTGCAAATTTAGCTAAGAGCAGGGTTGTTTTTGCTAACATTTAGGTATTGTATTTGTTCAAATGAGAAACATTTATCAACACATCAATATTTGTCAATGGACTCCACATTGATTGCATGTATCATTTGCTTTCGGCAATAAAATATGTTTAAACTAGCATGTATCATAATGAAAACAAGTGGATGGTCTAACAAGCGTTGGTTTACCAAGTGAACAGTGAAGATACCCTTGATAATGCTCATAGGAGCATGATCGTTTTCATGATATATTCTTGACTACCTACCTTAGTACAACTGTCACTGTTCTGTATTCTTGTAGCGATTTGTTCTTTATCATATTGTTTAGTGTTTTAATATGTCACACACTTTAAACCAGTAACTGGATCAACAGGAAATCAAATGTTATTTATATCTACTGGCTAAAATCTACTTTATCAAAAACAAGTTTTTGGCATTACAGGCTTTAATTTTTTATGTCATTTGAGATAAAGTCTCAACTGATCTATTCTAATCATGTTTCATCTGTGATTGTGCTTTATCCTGTGTCCATCATTCATCATGCATCTGTAAACAATTTACTTTTTCTACTTTTTCCCAGAAACCCCGACTTGAATTCATTGAAATTATGCAAGGGCCTTCCTTTGTCAAAGATGAACAAAACATATTAATTTTATGATCATCACCTCGAGAGTTTCAGATGGGAACTGAAATATTAAGTTGCTTCATCAAAATTATTCATTTCATGACCTAGGGCTCCATGTTTGCTCTACATATTTATGAAGTTTACTGTAGTTTATAGGAGAATGATACTTTTGTGTATATTTTGGTCAGCGCATTACCAATCATTCTGAATTGATTGGAAATCATTCAAACTTGATTGATATTATAACTATGAGATGAAGTTTGATACTATGACAGTTTTGTCATGGTTTGTAAAATAGGATGTAATTTTATATTTTGTGTATTACACTTATTATATATAATTAGACCTAAATCAATGTAGTTAAAAGACCTACCTGCTCATAATCGGGGTCGACAAACATCACTTGCAGTTACTCCAACCTTTCTCAATTTCCTCTATGTGCAAGGTCTTAGATGACAAAACTTACAAGTCTTTATTGCAGGGAGCACAGAATAAAAACCTACAATTCATCACCCCTGTTTCCATCCATTAATATCAACTTTTTGGACAGGTGTGGCATTATGTTTTCTGATTCTGGGAAGTTGTCGTCAAACACATATTTAATTACACTGATGTCTACTTATTTCTTTACGAAGGTTGCTGGATCCAATTTACTGTTTTTTCACCTTCTTTCTTTTTTCTGTCTGGGAAACCTAGTGATAATAGTGCTTGTTGTAAAATGCCCATATGTCTATCCCTAGAGCTGTCTGTTTGTCTAACAGTTGGCAACTCCTGATTATAGATTAAATCAAACATTGCTGCACACAGAAATATTGGTATACATTTGGATTTTGACAGGAAGTCATTATTTACATTCCTAATACCTTCAATTTCAACAATTTTCTACTCCAGACCAAGACACCTAGAAAATATACTCTTGATAGAATGAATGTTCATGAACTCGAATTAATAATCTCATATTTTCCCCTGGGATAGGTGTAAAGTTTACAGTAATCAATCTACAGTTCACTTTCATCAATCCTTTTAAAACTTTATTGTAATCACTATTGGTCCCACATTGTTAAATTTAATTATATCCAGAAACTCAGTGAGTTCCATGAAAATTCTTTGAGTACAGGACTTAGTGCTCATATGTAGATTTCTCATTGGTTTATATAGGAAAATGATGCTTTTGAACCTTTTTTTTTGATTTGCAATGAAAATAATTGGAAATTAGTTAGAATTATTAGTATAAGATGGCAGTTTAATGGAATGCACATATTCTTCTTGGGTGATCTAAGGGGCTGATGGGAGTGGGGAGGGCAAAAGAGATAAAATTGAAAGACATTTCACAAATTTTCTCACAACTCTGATAGAGTTGAATCCAATACTCTTTATGAATGGAAAGGTTTGAAGATATTGTAGTACATTATGAATTCTCTGACCCCAAGGTATCACATTTTCCCCTGGGGAGATGATGAAGTTTGATATACATGTAATTAATTTTAGAAAATGACACTTTTGAACATAGTTTGTTTAATTGCCAATTAAAGTATAGTAAAACATCAATAAGTCAAAGTTGACAGGACCAAATAAAATATTCAACTTATCAGATGGTTCAACTTAGCTGTGAACGGAAACATTGTGCATCAAAGATTAACGTTATTTTCATCGGTTGTTTACCTTATATGTGTCTCATAGCACAGTGTCACAGTAAAGAATAAGTAATAAATGAAAACATTCTATATATTCACATTGTAATAAGATCTTTTATTTAAATAAACAGTACGAATATGAAATAAAAAATGTAACGTGAAACACTCGTCATTGGATTGCAGCACACGTTTGGGTACACACCCACTCCCATACACATAACTTGAAATCAATACTTAAAGTTACACAAATATTGAACTCACATATATATCCTTAAGGGTAACAAGTCCCATCAACAATATCTTTAAATGAAACTCAATAAATACATACTTATGAACATTCTACGTTGATCTAAAATCAATAGCACTGAGGTTGGTTATGAAAAGGTGAAGGTAGAGGCAACATCAGTGAAGCATAACTTTAAATACACAGAAGAGCGTAACTGTAAAATAGAATAAAATTAAACTTGCACTTTGTATATGTACATGTATATCAGTATATGTGTTTAAAAACAAAAACAAATGTGTCAATGACAAAATAGTCTTTTTATCAACCTGCTTCAGCATGGTGGTTATCGCTTGTTTTTCCCTTTTGGTATGGGCAGCCATGTGCATAAAAAAAGTAAGCAAGACACAGTAGATTTACAGTTAACAAACTACAGTGTATTTTGTTTTAAGTTTGGTTGCCTAATTCTGTATGAATTCTAACTTTCACCTTTTCACCTGTGTAAACACATGGATTAATATTTAATGAAAAAATAAAAAATTAACACAGATATGGCTAATCGATCACACTCAGTCATTTGGAGCAAAGTCAGGAAATTTTACCCGAGACAAGGTGACTTTTGGTAGAATTTAGAAGGATGGACCGCAAAATATATTTGACACAAACACAGTATTCAACTCAACAGTGTTCGAATCATCCATTTCGTTTCCATTGTGTTGATTCAAGTGTGTTTGACACAAGCGAGTTTTACTGTACATTGGTCATACTAAGGCAATGTGCAGTATATCAGTGTCAGGGCCTTTGACCCCTCTATTACAGAGTTATCGCCCTTTGTTAAAATATTGTGTAATTAGCATATCTTTGCTTTATTAATACTAGAATAATGAAACTTGGTATACATTGTTCATATTAAGAGAATGTATGGTGTTCCAAATTCAGTGCCTGAAACCCCAGAATTATTGCTCTTTGTTAAAATTTTATGTCCAATAGAGTCCTTTTTCGGGGAACATTAATTAGTTTTACTGATACTCTTGTCTTTGGTCCTTTTAGGTTAGAGTACCTTTGGGAAAAATACTGGTGGAGAGGGTTATTTCCTAACTGTAATTTTAACACTAAAAGATTAAACCTGATATTCAGATGCCTGTATATGTGTACACATTTTGTATTGTCTCTGTTGTAGCCCTAATGTACCTGTTTTGTTTGAATATGGGTAATTCCAAATCAACAAAATGTGACACTGTATCACTTGGAATGCCACAACGGGAGAGGGAGCTACACCTGGCGGTGATGGCTAATGATCGTGAGGGTGTAAAACAGTTGATATCACAAGGAGCAGACATTAACTACCCTTGGAGCAACCCAACTGTTCCTAGTGTTAAAGATAGCACCACTCCGCTTCTGGCTGCTGTGTCCCTTAACCACGTAGAAGTCACTCAGGTCTGCCTTTATTGTAGAATAAGTAAATGAATGATTCAGTTTTATACTTAATTGGTATAAAGTACCGGAGTTATAGTAAAATTAATAACATCAATAACACAGTAACATGCTTTAACAAAATGAAATAAATATTGTTGGTCCTATTCAAATTATATAATTATGAAGCTTGAGAAAAATTGATATAGCTTGAACTATTGTCATCACAGAAGATGACATTGAAGTGTTTGATAATGTGTTAGAGCAAGGCAGGAACTACTGATTGATGAAGAAAATGACCTATGTAGAATTTTTAAAATTGTATTGAATGTAATACCATTGTTTTTTGAATAACTTACCTTTTAATTGCCTGTTCAGAAATCAAAGGTTTCATTTCAATTTTTATAATGTTGGATTTCGCAGTGAAGAGTCAACTTGTCAAGCAATTGTCAACAGAAATGAATTGTTATGGAAAATCATGAAATTTGAGTTCCACAAAAAATATGTAATCTGTACAGTATTGTTATTGAAAAAGTCCTGTGTTTGAAGTGCCCACCTGTTGGAACTGATAGGAATTTTACCGTTATGGATAATAACAGCTTCTGTGAACTCAGGGCTCTCATACCCGATTTTGGGACTGGGGCCCGGGGCCCTTAGAATTGGGAAAATAATGGTGTTTTCCTTAGAATTGGGAAAACTTGGGGTCTCAATTGGGAAAAAAAGATACTATTTTGCATTGGGAGTATTCGGCCCCCAAATCTGGGAGATCGAGAGCCCTGGAACTGTTGTAAAATTCAAAACCTGTTGACAGTAAATGCATTGAATGATTTTGATCCTCTGAGTGCATCGTGTATCTCTAACAGATTTTGCTAAAAGCTGGTGCTGATATCAACATGACTGACAGGAATGGTTGTACTCCATTGTACAAGGCGGCCTTCCATGGACGACCTGTCCTTATAGACATGCTACTTGAAGCAGGTAAGAATAATCCTTATTGACATTCTACATGTATGAAGGTAAATGTTGAAGATTCCTGATTTTGACAGAAAGTTGCTTATACCAAATACTTCATCAAAATGTCCTGTTGAACTTCAAATTATTTACCAATCACTGTTACAGAAAGTCTTTAAATTGTTGAATGGCGACCTGAAGATGTATAAAACATTCATAATATACATTCTTTCCAGCACCCTAGCATCAAAATATGTTGATAGACAGTAAGAAAATTGTAATTACCATGAAATATTTTTTAACTGATATTAGTGATTATATTTTTTGGACAGAATATGCTTTGCTATTTCAGGAGCAGATATAAATAAATCTGACAAGGAGGGTCAGTCTCCTCTGTATATCTGTGTTCAGAATGCCATTGTTCATTCAAGTTATGCAGCAGTCAAAAGACTTCTAAAAGCAGGGGCTGCCATTCATTTGTAAGTACAAATATCTACCACTACTTTTTTGTCAGTTATATATACCTATATGGTCAATTTTTAAATCATTCTGAAGGTGCAATGATACATGTAGAGTTACTTCCCTTAGTTCAAGTATCAATGCACCTTTCATCTTTGTCATTATAAATTGGGTACAAGATTTTAACAGAAACAGAGATGTATGGTTTAAGGTACAGAAGTTTTATTTTAGTTGATAAATTATAACATTTATGAGAAAAGGACACCTGTATCTCGTAATTTTTGTAGGATTTTTTGTGAGTCCAGAGCACCATTTCCTAAATTTTGATTAGTCCAGTTAGAAGAAATATAATGAGTTCTCAAAAATTATGTGAGTTCCACAGTAAAAGCATGATAATAGAACTCATGCTTACTGTGCACATTGTGCATTTCTGAACATATGTTAATCATTTCAACAGACTATACACAAACTGCCCATGTGGAACAAATGTACTATCATGGTTCCTTTATGAATTTTCAGCTTTTTTAAGACAAAAGCTGAAATCTGTTCTGTTTGTCTATTTAAGGTGTGACAATTTAGGAAAAACACCAATTCATGTAGCTGCTCATTGGAAATTAAAGGACATGAGTCGAATGCTTCTGAATGAGAATGCAGATGTGAACAAGCTCGACCACATGGGTAGAACTCCATTATATGTTTGTGTGAGCTCTCTGAGTACAGGCTTGTATAAAGAAGACCTTAAGTATCAGGTACCCTGCATCAAAGTTTTGTTCGCAGCTGACTGTGATATGCTGAACTTAGTGGACTGGCTGAAATGGAAGGGACCAGGCATTCCGGATGAACTTTTGGCAGATGATGAACCATTTTTCTTATGGCATAAAAATAACATGAATTCTCCACATTCTCTCATGAATTTGTGTCGGAAGATGATACAGCAACGATTGAAAGAGCGTGGAAATCTGTTGGAGATGGTGTGGCGTTTACCTGTTCCAGCCACTCTCAAGAACTACTTATCTCGTACCATGTTTCACTTACCACAGCCCAAGACACAGGAATGATGACATGAGTTAGCTTAAGTTTAAAGAAACGTTGATAGTAATATAATGAAGGTTGTGTGTTGAATGGTCACTCTACAATGTGCTGAGTCGTATGATGTAGTGTTCACTATCTCAGAATGTTTTTGATCCTGAATAACAGTGTGTATTTTGTGTGGTAATCCTCTCGTAGGAACTGGAGGTTTTACAAAACACCTGCAAAGCTGAATCATTTCATCGCAAATCATTCAGTCAGTGAGAAATTATTGTAGAAAACAAATCTCCTGAATATGTAGATGTTATCATAATTGGATATTGAAACTGCTTCATGTTGCTTCCTAAATAATCTTGCATTTTCATGACATTTTAAAAACATCCAGTCTGTAGGCCACGACTTATATGTCTCAAAAGAATTTAAGGTGTCCTGAAAAGTTCACAACATCCACCCATCTGAAGAGTTTAAAGAGGACAGAAAATTATAGTTAATGAAAAATTTGTTGGAGAATGGTTTGAGTAACTTCTGGTATAAATGTGTTGTTTTATTGGTCACAGGTGGTTATAATTTAAATCAGATTTGAAAAGATTTTCATAAACTGTCAACGGATTAAATATTCACAAGTCTCTAGGAGGCTCCTACCAATATGTGTGTATATGGGTTAGCAATTTTATGTGAGATAAACTGATTATGTATTTTTTCCTTATCTAAGGTAACTTTAATATTTTGAAATATTAGCTTTAGAAAATTGAACCAAAAAAAAAAAAAAGACAAAAAACAAACAAACCTGCAGCACAATTCAGGTAAATTAAAATGTATGTTGTAATTTTAGACTAAATACTGCAGAAACTAAAAAGCCTGAAAATTTTTTAAAACAATTCAAAATCAAAATACATATTCAAAATGAAATGATGGTTGAATCTCATTAGTTAATTTTGATATGCTTCAAGTTTACTGATAGACTGCTTTTGTTTATCATTGAAGAAACTGCACATAGTAAAAAACGTTTTGCTTTAAATGAATACATCTACACAAGATATGGCCAAAATAATGAGAAATGCACAAAATGTACAGTAACAGTTGTGTGTGTATCATTTGGATAAGTGGGAGACAACTCTTGCATAAACTATTTAAATATTGATTAAGTTGATTTATCATACGGCAAATTATCACTTGGTCATGATCATGTGATAGATACATATAGTCAGAAGTGTATATATTTGTCATGCAGATATTGTTACAGTCCTCTTAGACAGTCAAATCTACTGCATATTATAAATTGTTTAACAACTGATAAATAGATCAGTTACCAGTATTGGTATTTGTTTGATAATTTTTTTTATAGATCTTTCATATGGTAAATCATTTACAAAGTTCTGTCACCATTTGACATTTAAAGTGTGATGCTTGTTAAAATGTCGGTGGTTGTTGTTTAACTTTAGATTGGAAATCATGATGTCAGATTTATTGCTATAGATATCTGTTTCATGAACTGAAGATAAAAAGAAAATCCATTATGTGACAAAAAATGAAGGACACATTTCAAATCTGAGCTATAATGTCTCTAAATATATTCTTGTTAAATTAACTCTGCCAAGTTTTCATGTGACCAGTAGAAATGCATTCACTTTTACAAGTATTGTTAAAGTATCTGTTGGGTGAATTTGGTTTTCATTTACGTCATATCTTATAGCTCTAGATCGTTTATAAGTAGCTGACCTCCTGTTTATAGCTTAGATTGTTAGCACCTGATGGCTGAGTATTATCTGATACCTTGATCTTGGCCTATGGTTTATGACTTCCACCTGAAAGTTTTCTTTGACTTTAACCCCATATTTATGAAGTTTTGTGATGTAAAGTTACTATTTCATTTAAAATTGATGAGTTTCAACCTTTGTTACATGTATAAAGGACTATTTTTATTATCTAAGATGGGTGGATTTTGACCAGAGAATACCGGTAATGGATTAGAAAATTGGTTAACTTAGGTTGACATAGTTTGATAAAAATTAATGTAGATTGATGACCTTTGATCTGAGAATGAGGGAACTTTGTTTTAAGATTAACTTTGATTGAACCGAGAAATATTGATGAATTTTGATTGATTGATTGATTAATTTTGATATCACTTGATCACAGACTAATGGTCTTTGATTTAAAGGGACAATTAAGTCAACATATAAATTTGATCAGATACTGAAAAATTTATCACACATACTGAAAGTTTATATATTCAGTGTTAAGGCAACTTCTAGCCAATGTCCACTGTGACCAGTGTTAGTTGAAAGCCTGCGATAGATTTATGGTTATTCTGTACCCAAAATAGCAACATCTGTGCCAGTTGTTATGGACTGATAGCTTTTGATTTCACTTACAAAGTTTTATTACACGCATGAACACAGTAATCAAAATATCACAAACAAAGTTGTTTTGTTTTTAATCAATGAATTTAAACAAAAACATATTTTTAAGTTTATAAAAGACATGCTGTGTATACAATGGGTTGATGAAGGCAGTGAATCAGACAACCAGATAAAGTAAGGAGAATTTGATAGAGGTTGGATGATCCTTGTGATCATTTAATTTTTTTCATTGCCAAGAAAACCTGTCAGGTCTTGCCAATATTTTAGCAGGATTCATTCAAAAGGAGTATCAAACAAGTATTTTATGATGGACTTTGAAACATTGTAAAAATTTCCTAAATTGTCCCTTTAATATTGATAAACTTTTATCAAATTCTGTAAAGATTGCTGAATTTTGACCTGAGATATTTTGTTTCATTATTGATGATGCATGTATTTTGTTTGTGTAACGGAGAAAGAGTTTCATGGTTAAGATGTACAAGTATTGTTATTGTTTGTTTAATGAATGGTTCATGATTTAGTGTTTAAAAGGGTGTGTAGGTTATGTGTTTGAATGTAGAAGTCAAGAACACTGTGTTTGTATTCTTTAAGAACTGTGGATTATGCTTTAAGAGATCTAAGTGTAACATGTATGGATCATGTTAAGAAATCTGTATGAAAGATGTATGAACCATATATATGAGATTAATGAGTAAGATTAATGGATCATAATTAATAGATTTATGTGTAAGGTGTGTGGATCATAATTAATAGATTTATGTGTAAGGTGTGTGGATCATAATTAATAGATTTATGTGTAAGGTGTGTGGATCATAATCAAGAGATTTATGTGTAAGGTGTGTGGATCATAATTAATAGATTTATGTGTAAGGTGTGTGGATCATAATTAATAGATTTATGTGTAAGGTGTGTGGATCATAATTAATAGATTTATGTGTAAGGTGTGTGGATCATAATCAAGAGATTTATGTGTAAGGTGTGTGGATCATAATTAATAGATTTATGTGTAAGGTGTGTGGATCATAATTAATAGATTTATGTGTAAGGTGTGTGGATCATAATTAATAGATTTATGTGTAAGGTGTGTGGATCATAATTAATAGATTTATGTGTAAGGTGTGTGGATCATAATCAAGAGATTTATGTGTAAGGTGTGTGGATCATAATTAATAGATTTATGTGTAAGGTGTGTGGATCATAATCAAGAGATTTATGTGTAAGGTGTGTGGATCATAATTAATAGATTTATGTGTAAGGTGTGTGGATCATAATCAAGAGATTTATGTGTAAGGTGTGTGGATCATAATTAATAGATTTATGTGTAAGGTGTGTGGATCATAATCAAGAGATTTATGTGTAAGGTGTGTGGATCATAATTAATAGATTTATGTGTAAGGTGTGTGGATCATAATCAAGAGATTTATGTGTAAGGTGTGTGGATCATAATCAAGAGATTTATGTGTAAGGTGTGTAGGTCATAATTAATAGATTTATGTGTAAGGTGTGTGGATCATAAGAGATTTATGTGTAAGGTGTGTGGATCATAATTAATAGATTTATGTGTAAGGTGTGTGGATCATAATCAAGAGATTTATGTGTAAGGTGTGTGGATCATAATTAATAGATTTATGTGTAAGGTGTGTGGATCATAATCAAGAGATTTATGTGTAAGGTGTGTAGGTCATAATTAATAGATTTATGTGTAAGGTGTGTGGATCATAATTAATAGATACATATGCAAGGTGTTCAGATTATGTGTAAGAGATTTATATGTAAGATGTATAATTTTAATTCAGAGACTGATGTGTGAGATGAATGTTTTTGATTAAGAGAGTGATATGTTAGATGTATGAATTAGGTTTAAGAGAGCGATGTGTGAATTATGTTTGAGAGATTTATATGTAAGATGTATGAATTATGACAAGAGGTTATATGTAAGATTTATGAATTATGTTTAAGAGAGTTATCTGTAGGATTTATGAATTTTGTTTAAGAGAGTGACGTGTAAGATGTCTGTATTATTTTAAGAGAGTGACATGTTAGATGTCTGTATTATTTTAAGAGAGTGACATGTTAGATGTCTGTATTATTTTAAGAGAGTGACATGTAAGATGTCTGTATTATTTTAAGAGAGTGACGTGTAAGATGTCTGTATTATTTTAAGAGAGTGACATGTAAGATGTCTGTATTATTTTAAGAGAGTGACGTGTAAGATGTCTGTATTATTTTAAGAGAGTGACATGTAAGATGTCTGTATTATTTTAAGAGAGTGACGTGTAAGATGAATGAATTTTGTTGAAGAGATTTGCATGTAAGATGTATGGGTCACATTTAAGGGATTGACATGTAAGATGTATGGGTCACATTTAAGGGATTGACATGTAAGATGTATGGGTCACATTTAAGGGATTGACATTTATGATGTATGGGTCACATTTAAGGGATTGACATGTAAGATGTATGGGTCACATTTAAGGGATTGACATTTATGATGTATGGGTCACATTTAAGGGATTGACATGTAAGATGTATGGGTCACATTTAAGGGATTGACATTTATGATGTATGGGTCACATTTAAGGGATTGACATGTAAGATGTATGGGTCACATTTAAGGGATTGACATGTAAGATGTATGGGTCACATTTAAGGAATTGACATGTAAGATGTATGGGTCATAATTAATAGATTAATTTGTAAGATGTATACATTATGTTAAGAGGTCTGTATGTAAGATGTATACATTATGTTAAGAGGTCTGTATGTAAGATGTATGGTTTATGTTATGTATGGTTTAT